GGTGTTCATGACAACAAGACGCTCCGAGCGTGCCCACCTTGCCTCATGTGTCGTTCGTCAGCGCCGCGGGCCTCAAGAGAATGCTCAAGCGGGGCCAGCCAGTCCTGATTGGAGCCTTGAGCACCGCAACTCCGGAAACAGACCTCCCGCTCCCAGACAAATACGAAGACTACAACGATGTGTTCAGCAAGCAACAGGCTGACCACTTGCCCGACCACCGACCGTGGGACCACCGCGTCGAGCTGGTCGACCCGGACAAGCACCCGGTCCGTGGCCCGGTGTACCCCCTCACAGAGTTGGAGATGCAGGCACTGCAAGACTATGTCAAGGAGAACCTTGACAAGGAATTCATTCGCCGGAGCACCTCCCCGGTTGCCGCTCCAATTCTGTTCGTGAAGAAGAAATCCGGCGAGCTACGGCTGTGCGTCGACTACCGCCGTTTGAACCAAGCATGCAAGAAGCAGTTCTACCCACTCCCAAACATTCGAGACCTGTTCAGGAAGATCCGAAGCGCCCGAGTCTTCACCAAGCTGGACCTCCGAGGGGCGTACAACCTCGTGAGGATCGCCGAGGGCCACGAGTGGCTCACCAGTTTCACTTGCCCTTTGGGGCAGTTCGAATACTTGGTGATGCCATTCGGGCTGCAAGGTGCGCCGGCCACATTCCAGGCGTTCATGGATCATGTCATGAAGGATCTGGGACACTGTGTGGCTGTGTACTTGGATGACATTCTCATTTACTCCGAGGACCCCGAGCAACACGAAGACCATGTGCGTGCTGTCCTGGAACAGCTCCGCCGCAATGGACTGTACTGCAAGCTCGAGAAGTGCCATTTCGACACGGACGAAGTCGAGTTCCTGGGACACATTGTCAACACCGAGGGCATCAAGATGGATCCCCGCAAGGTGCAAGGTGTCCTCGACTGGGTCCCGCCCCAGTCTGTGAAGCAATTGCAGATGTTCCTGGGTCTTGCCAATTACTACAGGACATTCATCCACGACTTCAGCAAGATAGCTACCCCACTGCACGCCCTGACGGGCAACTCGGGGAGTTTCGAGTGGTCTCCCACGGCTCAGGAAGCATTCGATCTGCTGAAGCAAGCCTTCACGACGGCACCTGTGCTCGCACACCCAGACCCGGATAAGCCATTCGTTGTTGAGACAGACGCCAGCGACTATGCTTTGGGAGCCGTGCTCTGCCAGCTTGGACCCGACGAGTCGATGCATCCGATCTCGTACATGTCACGCAAGCTGACGGCACCAGAGATCAACTACGAAGTGTACGACAAGGAGATGCTTGCCATTGTCACGGCACTCAAGGAGTGGAGGCACTTCCTCTCCGGATCCAAGCACAAGGTGGTGGTCCACAGTGACCACAAGAACCTGGTGTACTTCACCACCAGTCGCATGCTCAACCGTCGCCAAGCGCGATGGGCGATGTTCCTGTCCGAGTTTGACTACGAGATCGTGTACAAGCCTGGAAGGGAGATGGTCGTGCCCGACGCCCTCTCCAGGAAGCCCCAGCTGGAGATCAAGCCGGACGAGCCGGCTTACACACAGCAGCACCAAGTGCTGCTGGATGCAAGTCGCCTCAGAATCGCTGCCCTTCAGGTGATAGCACTGTCGGCATTCGAGGAGAAGGTCAAGGCAGTTCAACAGACTGACCCCTATGCCCAGGAAGTAATCGCAAACCTGACCAACCCGCGATTCCATGCCTTCCGCCTCCGAGATGGACTCCTCTTCCGAGACGGGTTGCTGTATGTCCCGACCACCGAGCTGCAGCTTGAAGTGCTGTGGGACAGCCACGACTCGAGGACGGCGGGCCATTTTGGGAGGGAGAAAACACTGGAGCTCCTGAGCAGGAACTACTGGTTTCCCAAGATGGCCGCCACGGTGCGCAAGTACGTGCAGTCCTGCGAGACGTGCTGCAGAGCCAAGCCAGCACGCCACGCACCATACGGACTGCTTAAGCCACTCCCGATCCCGGAGTCACCCTGGTCGGCCGTATCCATGGACTTTGTGGTCGAACTTCCCAAGTCCGAAGGCTTCGACGCAATTGCCGTGTTCGTCGACAGGCTCACGAAGATGGCCCACTTCCGGGCTTGCAGTACCTCCATCACGGCCGAAGAAACGGCAACGCTGTTCATGGACAGCATCTTCAGGATCCACGGGGCTCCCAAGTCCATCGTGACGGACAGGGGTCCGCAGTTCAAGTCCACCTTCTGGCGACGATTCCATGAGCTTCTGGGCACTTCGACTGACCTGTCCAGCGCCTACCACCCCGAGTCGGATGGGCAGTCGGAAAGAGTCAACAGCGTCCTCGAAACCTTCATCCGATGTTACTGCGATTACCAACAGGACGATTGGGTCTCGCTTTTGCCGTTAGCTGAGTTCGCATACAATAACTCGGCCCACTCGAGCACCAAGAGCACACCGTTCTATGCGAACTACGGATTCCACCCTGCCTGTGACTTCAAGCTGTCGACCCAGTCCGAGGTGCCTGCAGCCGAGGAGCGCATCGAAAAAATCAAGCAGCACCTCGAACAACTCAAGACTCACCTCGCGGACGCACAGTCCAGACAGAAGGCCAACGCCGACAGGCACCGTAAGTCTTTTGACATTGCCGTCGGATCCAAGGTCTGGTTGTCTCGTCGCAACATAAGGACGCAGCGCCCAAGCGACAAGCTGGATTGGAAGCGCCTTGGACCCTTCGAAGTCGTTAGGGCGATCAACGAGGTGGCCTTCGAACTCAAGCTGCCGAAGTCGATGGCCCGGATCCATCCGGTGTTCCATGCGTCTCTGCTGGAACCGGTCAAGCCCAATGAGCTCCCAGGACGACAGGCACCTCCTCCACCGCCGATCGAAATTGACGGCCACGAAGAATATGAGGTGCAGGAGATACTGGACTCAAGGGTAAGGGGTAATAAGTTGGAATACCTGATCCGATGGAGGGGCTACGGACCAGACGAAGACTCGTGGGAATCCGAAGAGAATTGCAGGAGCGCACCTCAAGTAGTCCAAGAATTCCATCAACGGTACCCCTTGAAGCCTCGAACGCCGACCAAGACCAAGTCCGCAAGACACCCCAGACATAGGAAGGGGGCTTAGGAAGAGGGTGATGTAATGGGCACGCGGACAGGGAGCTCCGGGACGACCCGGAAGGCATCCCGAGGGGGCTTAGCCCGCGCCAAGGAGCGCAGGCAAGCCGGTCCGCTACCCCCCAGGGATGTAAATGCAAGGCGTCGCCCGCCGAAAATAAACCGGCGAGACGACAACACCGTCCTTCGCCTAGTAAACCAGTCGTTACCCGCTCACTCCAGTCCGTCCGCTCTCGTCCAGTCCCCAGTCCTGTTACAACCCTTGCTTTCCCTGAGCTCACTTCGAGCTCACTTCTTCTTTTGCCGTTGAGTCCCCTTCGGACTCTAACACTGACAAAGGTCTTGACAGAGGCGCAAGAACGACACAAACGATTTGCCGACCATCACCGGGCAGAACCACCGCCGTATGCACCGGGCGACAAGGTGTGGCTCCGGCGGGTCAACATCAAGACCACACGCCCGTCGGAGAAGCTCGATTATAGGCGAATTGGCCCTTACAAGATCAAGAGGAAGGTGAACGAGGTAGCGTTCGAGCTGGACCTCCCAGCACACTTCCGAGTGCACCCGGTGTTCCACACCGCACTCCTGGAGCCGTACCACAAGTCAACGATCCCCAACCGGGATATCCCTCCTCCACCTCCAATCGAGGTGGAAGACCAACTCGAATACGAAGTTGAAGAGATTCTGGACTCGAGAAGGCAAGCGAGGGGAATCCAATACTTGGTCGCCTGGAGAGGCTATCACATCACCGAAGCCACTTGGGAACCCGCTTCGAATCTTGCCCACGCACCACTGATTGTCAAGGAGTTCCACCAGCGCTTCCCAGAGAAGCCAGTTCCCCCCAACAAGCAAGCGCAAGGGTTGAGAAGGGTGTGATGTGACGAACCGGCGTGTTCGTCACATAGCGCGTGCACGCAGACTGAGCGACGCAGCGTGAGAACCTCGACCCGGTTCCCCGCACCGACTCTTGCTGGGCCCAAACTATATAAAGGCGCCATCCCCGTCGCCCGAGAGGCCCAGCAAGAGGAATCACCTGTATTCTCCGCCTTGCCCTGCGTCGTTCGCCAAATAAACGACCGTCTCCAGTCCCCGTCCCCCCGATCCCGTCCTGCTTCCGCCCTGCCGTCGCCTCGCTTCCGTCCTGCCTTCGCTCGAGCCTCGCCCGCCGTTCCGTCCTCTCCAGCCCTGCCCGTCCGTGACACTGGCCTCTCTGCATCTGCGCTGACCACGAATACCAGAAATAACGAAACACCACAGGATCATCTGATGCGATCCCTTATGAGGACCAGAGTCGCAGTATTCCAAGAGGATCGAGATTACATTCACGAGCCAACTTCGGTCCAAGACTGCATTTCATGGCCGAGTCACTCATCTCACTCTCATCGACCATCGACCCAGTTCTATCCCATAACCTGGGACAGAGACGATACTCCCGTCGCATCATTGTCCAGTACCCCTCCTCCTCTCAGGCGAGTTACGGCATTGCTCGCCTCTCCATACTTGAACCACAACACTCTGATGGAAGCCTCGCACAAGTGATCTTGGCCATGACCTCTGCAATCTGGATTCCATCTTGTCCGACCATCAACTGGTGTTGGTTCTGGTGTGCTACGAGATGCAAGGGAATGAGAAAATGAGGGAACTAGGATGGACATGGTTGTGAGCACTGAGTTTGAGATGTGGGCTCGATTCCATGTTCGATTCATGTTCGATGAATGTGGCGGTGCCTGTGGCAGTGCAAAGAACATCGATTCCAGCCATCAAACCATCAGATCGAGCCAGGCTTGTGTGTGTGTGTTCAATGGCCAGTGTATGGCTTGCCAGGGTTTGGCTTGCTTCGCCACAAATTCCCTCTGGCCCCTGTCCATCGCCATCATCCACTTTCCTCCTTCCCACATTCAACATGGCCAGCATGATCGAGTCTGCTTCAACCACCGCATCATCTGCCACTCACCAAAGCCAAGCTGAAGCCAGAGCAGCCTCTTCGATGCCCGATATCACCCAGCTCTCCCTCGAACACAACCCAGACATATTCACCATCATCTGCTGCAACGACACCTTCCAGCTGGCACTCGACTTGAACACAATCAAGACCCTCCTTCTCGTGTGCAAACGAGTCCGTCCTCTCCTGAGCTCCAAGCTGCCTCGTTTCAACAGCTGGTGTTGGAAGGCTGGATTGTGCTCTCCCAATGGACAGTTGCGGATCGGCCTCATGCCCAGCGACCAGATTGCCCTCTCACTGCACTGCGAGGATCCAAACTCAGCCAATCGATCCTGGCTCGTTACCTTGGCAGAGCAGGGCAATGCTGTGGCCTCGTATTTTTTGGCACGGATCCTTCAAGTCGAACTCGCTATCGATCAGTATTTGGAGAAATCCGAGCAGCAAGCTATCCGCCAGCGAATCTTCCGCCATTTGGAGATCGCCGCCAACACAAACCACACGATGGCACAGTTCCACCTGGCTGAGTGTTATCGCAACGGGCTTGGAGTCAACCAAGACCACACCAAGGCCGCCGAGTTGTATCGCAGGCTTGCAGATCGTGGAATCCCTCACGCCCAAGTCGTCCTCGGTCGATGCTATGAGAGTGGTGAAGGTGTCGATCATGACTATAACACAGCCATCAAGCTGTATTCCAAGGCCGCAGATCAAGGCGGCGAAGACGGCCGTCTCCACATCGTGTTCTTGCAAGCTTGGTTCTCATTCCTCGGCCATGGTGTTGAACAGAGCGACGAAATTGCCTTCAACCACTGGCAGGAAGTCAGCACCAAGTCTACAGATCCGATCATCAAACCCATCGCCACCCACATGGTTGGGTGGATGCACTATCTCGGCCGGGGTACCCAGCTCGATAAACAGAAAGGCATCAAGATCATCCGAGACAACGAATCGGATGAGTTCAAGCTTGGGGAAGCAATGTCCTGGGTTGGTAGTTGGGCTCCCTCCGACTCACGCATTTCCCGCAAGCTCTTCCAATTGTGCCAGCTGAAATCGGACCGAGACTGGCTCTGCATGCATCTCATGGCTGTGTATCTGTTCAATGGGTACGGAACCACGAAGGATGAAGAGAAAGCAGCATGCATCTTCGAACAGCTTGCCATCCATGGACACAGTGACAGCCAGTACTGGATCGGACTTTGCTATCGAAGCGGCAGAGGAGTGTCGAAGGACGAACAGAAGGCATTCGAGTGGTTCTGCAAATCAGCTGACCAAGACAACTCGTACGGGCAGTGGATGGTTGGTGTGTGCTACTCCCATGGACACGGCGTCACCAAGGATTATATCAAAGCGGTTGAGTGGTATCGCAAGTCGGCCGAGCAGGGCAATCGGTATGGGCAAGATTATTTCGGGGATTGCTACGAGTTTGGATGGGGTGTCCCTGTCAACATCGACACCGCCGTCTTCTGGTGGCGCAAATCCGCCAAGCAGAGTTACAATTGGGCCATAAAAAGACTCAACGAACTCGGCTTGTGGCCCTGATCACCGAGTGCCATTCCCGAACAGCCATGTCCCAACACTGAATATGCAAGCAGCCAAGCGAACCGCGCCGCCCACACCCACCCGAAACACCATGATGCCAAATAGTGGATCAGAAAAGTGGTTACAATCAATCGAAATTTGCCGAGTGATATTGTATTCGGCATCCAAGAAACCCAATAAATCTCATATTCAAATAATGCTGTCCCATATCCATCGCTCATATCGATCGACAGAAACATCCGATGACTCGACAACGCCATTATCAACATTCACTCATCGATTCTCGTCCTGCAGCCGCAGATGATGAGCACGACCAGGACCATCCTCCCTTGATCCGACACCAGGCAGTGTGCCCTGATCAGCATCTTCAATCGACTCCCTCAAGGGGCTCGGCAATTGCATTCACCTGGCCAGTTATCATATCGGTGCCTCAAGATAAGGAAATGATGTCATTTCATGCAAAGACTAGCTGTGGTTGACGCCTTCTGCGTGGTTAGAGTTTACGCAGCTGGGAGTGCTCTTGAATTCTGATCTTGATGATCTCGATGTTGATGTCATCTCATACGCCAGGATGCTTCAGGACGGTGAGGGACACCACCCAGATCTTTTTGGAAGTGGCGGAACTGACCCTGCGACCGTTCTGGTAGTGTGTCTCAATAATCTCGTTGGTCGAGTGCTGATCCCACAGGAGACCCTTGGAGATATCAACTTGATTGAATTGCTGCAGCAGCCCCGGCAGCTGGCTGTCAATCCTCCCAAGACTTCGAGAGAAAAACAACTGCCGGATGCTGCCCGCGATCATTGCCACTATGATGCCTGGAAACATGATCATGAACGGAGGCGGCAGGCCAAATCCAAAGTTGGCGCCTGCAGCAATGATCCAGATGATGCCGCCGAGGAAGGATCCAAAGCCGAGGCACATGATGGCAAAGAGGAAGACGTTGTTCTTGGCAGTAAGGTTTTGCGTCAAGACGTCGAGGCGATTCTGCAGCTCGTACAGGGAGAGGCGCTGGCCGATGACCGCGGAGAGCATGTTGAGGCAGACAGGGGCTCTGGATCTGCCAGGCGGGTTGGTTCGTGTTGTAGGAGAAGAGAATGGCTGGCTCGGACATGGTTCTGGTGCTGGTGGAGACGAGCCGATGGACTTGGGGAAGCAGGCGGAGACGGGCAGAGACCGGCCAAAGAGGGCTGCCTCCTGGTGGTTGGGAAGAGGGCGAAATCGACGGCAAGAACAGGGGTGGCGATGGGGTCACTATCCCAGAAGCTGGCTGGCATTCGTGGGACAGAATTGCATGGCGTCGTTTGTGGTGCAAGCAATCGGGCGTGTGACTGGCCAGCTCATGAGTGACAGCGGCGACATCGATGGTGTCTGGGAGCGATTCGCCCGGCTGGCGTTGAGTTACGAGAGTATTCTCCCAGATCAGAGGCGCGGTGCTGCCTCGGTCGGATGTTGATAGTGGACTTGCTAATGCTACGCTGAGATGCAGCGCTGTGTGGTGGTGTGTGGTGTGTGGTGTGGTGTGATATGCACGACGACTCTCAGGGCCGTCGCCATCACCGTCTGCATATGCCTGCCCCAGTCCATGCCGGCGCCGCATCACATCAACCAAGACATCTCGCTGCGATGCCAAAGTCGTCTGCCAGAGATCCAATCAGAGATCGGAGCACTGCGATCGCCTGCACCAGCGCTTCCGCTGTCCCCGCTGCGTCGTTACTTTTGGTCGTGCTCATCCTTTCTCTCGCTTGCATCTCCCCGCTCTCCGCTGCTCAAAAGCTCGGCCGCCCGCCCCACGACGCGTCAACCAGCCATCCCCTCTCCTTTCCTCGTCGCTCTGGCTTCCTCCGGCTCCGTCTTCATCTCGCTCCTCTGTCGATCGCCCGCTTCGGACCGACCGTCTTCCGCCCAGCTGCAGCCAGCTTTTGTTTGTGCCGAGGAGCGAGCCCTCTTTGTAGCCGAGCAGCCTCTGCGATCTGTTTATACCCCCAACACCACCAATACCCCCAGACAACACCCATACCCACGGCCCTGCAACCTGACGCCACCAGACCGCTCCCGACAGCTCTCCCTCAGACTTGCTTGCGTATTCTTGCCTTTCTTGAGACGTCCTGTTGGCTGAACCATGGCCAATCCCGAAGCAAGACTTCCTAAACGGCCTGGAATGGGCTCGGTCGGCAGAAGCCTTTATGTGACCACCAACATCGTGAAGATGACCCGATTCTCCACCTCGAATGTCTTTCAATACGACGTGACCATTCATCCTGAGCTTCCTCCCGAAAAGGCCAAGGCTCTCTTCTGGCATGCTCGCAAACTCTTGCCCGCCACCGTCTCGAACGGTGAGCCAGACAAAAAAATCGATCTCTTTGTCGTCTTTGATGGCCAAAAGATTGCTATTGCCAACGCTCGCTTGCCCGAGTCCACCATGACCTTCACCGTTCCCTATGACGAGGACGAGCAAAGCGAAATGGAGCGACTCGCCTCGACGCCTGCCAAACCAATGCCCGCTGGAGGTAGGCAACGAGCCATTTTCCGCTGGCTTGGATCTGCGCTTGACCCCGCAAAAGTGTTCGCGTCTGTCCAATCCTTTATCGTTCCGCCACCACCCGACTTGTCTCTACTGCCCATCTCTGCTTGCGACTGTTTGCGCCAAGCTTCCCTCCTCTTGCCGCCGGTGTCCACCGTTTGATCGGCTGCGCCCTCCATCATCGCCCTTGACCTGCCTATCGTCGACTTGCTATCCTTGTGCGCATAACCGATTGACTCATACTCATATGTCCTTCTGGTCTCCTTGTCCGATCCGCCACACCCAAAGGCAATTTCGGCCCAAGGGGACGCGGCGGTTACCAGCAGAGGAGCCAGGGACGCTACTCGCCACCGTCCACTTCCAGAGCTCCCACTTCCTTTCACAGGCTGTCTCCCCGGAGCAAGGCCCAGCAGAAAGAGTTCACCATCACCTTCAAGGAAGCTACAACCATCAACTTTTTTGAGCTCCAGAGGTTCTGCCATGCCAAAGCCGACAAGAGCGAGAGCATCGAGCACGCTTTGGCAGCCATAGGCATTATTCTGCGCTCCGTCCCGAGCCGCCACTATCTGCGCATCCGCGACAACATTTTCTCGCCAAACGATCGCATCAAAATCTCCAACGGCCTTGAGATCTGGCGTGGATTCCACCAGTCTGCGCGCCCCATGCGCTGCGGAAGCCTCGGTGTCAACATCGACATCGCCACCGCCGCCTTCCGCACCGGCGGAAAGAACCTCGTCGACATTGCCATGGACATTCTTGATTGCAAGGACCCCAGGAATATCCTCCCAGGCCTGGATATCTTGAGCAAGGAGCTCAAGAACGTCAAAGTCGAGACCAACTACCGCGGCGAGGGCGTTCGTCGCCGCTACCGCATCGGTAAGATCCTCAGCGAGACCCCCGACCGTTTCAGGTTTGATATCAAACGCGAAAACGACACCCGAAATGTGTCGGTGGCTGAGTATTTCATGGAGCAGTACGAATATCGCGTTCGCTACGGGTTCCTCCCTTGCATCAAGTCTTCAAACGGGCGGATCGTTGTTCCCATGGAGTGTGTGAATGTCGTGCCCGGTCAGCGCTTCCTCAAAAAGCTCAGCGCAAGACAAACAGATGATATGCTCAAGACCGCCAAAACCAATCCAAACGAACGACGTCGCCAGATCGAGCAGGCCCTCAGCAGCGTAGAGCTGTTCAAGTACGAGACCAATGACACCGCTCGCGCCTTTGGAATCCAAGTCGAGTCGCAGCCCTCCCTCATGTCCGTGCCAGCGCGGGTCCTCCAGTCCCCGGAATTGGTCTTTGGCAACACCAGCCTCCGAGCCAATAATGGCTCCTGGATGCTCAAGAATGTCGAGTTTTACTCTTCGCCTGTGGTGCGGAGCATCGGGTTCGTTTGGTTTGCACCCAAAGGTCAATACGAAGCCGAAGCCATTGCCCACGCTCTTGTCCGGAAGTGGCAAAGATACGGCATAAATATCTGCGCCAAACACATCCCAGTCCATATCGCCAATATTAACCCACAAAATGTTGCCACCGATGTCTCAACCGCGATGATGACATGTTTCAAAGAAACGGAGAAGAAAAACGGCACCAGGCCCTCGATCCTTGTTTGCATCATTCCGGCCATTGGCAATTCCAAGAAGGGCAATACTGCAATCTATGCGGCCGTCAAGAAGATATCGCTGTGCACCGCCGGAGTTATAACCCAGTGTCTTGTGGACAGAAACGTGGCCAATGCCCAGGATATAAATGATCAGTACGCCGGCAACGTCGCCACCAAGGTCGCCATAAAGCTCGGCGGCAAAGTCAACAAAGTCCGCCAGATGCCCCCTCTCATGTCTCGCCCGACCTTGATTTTGGGAATCGATGTGAGCCACCCGCCACCAGGATCGGCTGCTCCCTCCATCGTTGCCCTTGTTGCTGGCATCGATCCCGAATCGACTCGCTTCGTGCCCTTTGTCAAACTCCAGTTGTCCCGCAGCGAAGGCGTCCTGGAGCTCAAGGCCATGGTGATCGAGGCCCTCAAAGCTTTCCGCAAAAACAACTTGATCAACGGCATCCCCATTTCGCCCGAGAAGATCATTGTCTACCGTGACGGCGTCTCCTCAGGCCAATTTGAAAACATCCTGGACTTGGAGGTCGCCGCGATTCAGGATGCGTGCCACGAGCTCAACTTGAACAACATCGGCGTCACCTTCATTATCTGCCAGAAGCGCCACCACGTCCGCTTCTTCCCACAGGACAACGGACCCGGAGGCGACCGCACCGGCAACTGCTCTCCAGGCACTCTGATCGAAGATACCATCACCCATCCGTTCGAATATGACTTTTTCCTCCAGTCCCATGCCGGACTCCTTGGAACCAGCCGACCAACTCACTACCATGTGATCTACGACGACAACAAGATCCGCCCCGATGATCTGCAGGCGCTCACATACAACCTGACCTATCTGTCCGGCCGCGCAACCCGCAGTCTCAGCATCGCCAGCCCGGTCTATTTTGCGCACCATCTGGCAGACAAGGCCAAGCTCCTCCTGGATGACAACTTTAGCGACATCGCTAGTACAAGCACCGCGAGTGGTCAGAGAGGTCCGAGCGACCCAAACAACCCCAGCAACCCGAGCGGCAAAACCCCGGTGGAGGCAACACTCCTCCCGCTTGCCTGCCCCATTGCCGATGCCTATAGTATGTTCTACATGTGAAACCACCCTGTCTGCAAAGTTCACATCCACAAAGGTGGATGCGCCTGGCTCCTCGTTGGTGAGAGCAGCCCAAGCGCAAAGCAGACAAGGATGCTGGCCATGGCGACCCCCAATCCGCCGGTGCTGGTCGACGAGACGATGTGCTTCCTCGCAAACAATGCGCTACATCCGCTACGGGTTTATTGAATGATGCACCATGTTTGCAGCGATCGATTGAATGACTCCTCTTGTGCACATGGCATCGTAAACACTGCAGTCAGATCGTATTCCCTCTCGCCTATCCCATCGGCAGCACACCATCCGAATCTGCTGCCGAGCACACCGACCATAACGACAACCTGTCCATATCCAAATGAGGAACTTGGAAATGCGGATGGCGAGCATGGCTTGCGGGTTGAGCGGTACTTGATCGCGGACGCCTGGCTCGATGACACCCGTCGGCGCTCTCCCTTTTGTGGCAGACTCGACCGACCGCAGCGATCTTGGAGTCTTGGACAAACTCCAGGTGGCAGACACTCGCAGAAGTGATTGAAGCCACCCAACCGAGTGTTTCCATCGCGCTTTGCCCTGGGGTTGTCTGGGCTGGCGCGACGGACGCGCTGTGGGTTTGCGCTTTTTGCGTTTGCTTCTGTCGTGGCCTCTCCATCTCGGCCCGCAACCGACCCACCAGCGAGCGCTCTCCCGCCGCTGATCGATCCAAGAGCCTCTCCCGCGAGCCGCTGATTCAAGGTACGGGTCGGCTTGATACACGGAGCTCCAGGAGCGAGGACACCAGTGAATGCTGGCCAGGCTGCTGTTCGCTGGCTGGGCAACATACCCCTCCAACCCTGTTCATCAACCATTCTCCACCTTCCCGACGAACGACAGATGATTGCTCCTGCTGCGAGAGCCTGCCTCAGAAACCGCACTGCCGCCCAAGGCATCCGGTCCATTACGACAATCCAGCGCCCTGTCGCCACAGCCGAGCCCGAGGATCCCCTCGTCAATGGTAATCATCAACCCCTGTCGACCAACCCGACAGTTACACTCTCGCATGGGCAGCAGCTTTCTTGTCCATTGGCACCAAGAGCAGAGTCCTGTTGCATATGCACGCCGACGTGCCCTGGACTGGACCGATCATCGCAACCCGCTGCGATATCCGATCAGATCTTGACAGCCAACTCTCCCACTCCGTCGGATTTTACTCCAGTGCATGCTGCCTCCAAGTGGATTCAGCCTCCTTCGGAACCAGAGCCGCAGCTCAAGGTGCTTCAGCCCGATCATGCCGGTGAGTCGTCATGTCCAGAGAGATCGACAGCCGATGGCGAACTGCCTCCACGCTGTTCGGCGGCCAGGATATCAGCAGCCCACGAGCCCCATAGCTGATTTCTTGGCTCTATCGGACCACAGGATCGCTGCTTCTTGCTGCCCTCCCTCCGTCCTCGCACATCATCACCGGATTCTCGACCAGCATCGGATACTCCTCGAATGTAGGCTAGGCCGCGCGATGGCCAGGATCGAGTTTGAGGCCAATTGCTGTGGCTGAAGACAATGCCAAGCTGGCGGCTTGCAACCATGGATTGCTGGCCTAAACCGATTGCCGAGCTGATGATTCGATTCTCACCTCTATCTCTGCGCTGGACTCGGGGGGTCATCAGATTATCTCATCGCTCTCCAGAGAAGGCGGCTGGTCCGAATCGGTTTCCCGAAAGGCTGCTGGTGGCCCGCTGTTCTTCCAACAGGTTTGTCCGTCGCTTTGGGGCTCGTGGTCTCGGCAAATATGCCATGTCCCCATCAACAGCCTAACCAGCGTCATTCTCTTGCCTCAGTACACGGCCCGGGACTCTGCTGGCGACGTGCTGATCACGCCAAAGTCGTTTGGCAGCATCGACATTGTGAGCCTGGACGGCTCGCGTGAGCTCTATATACGCCGAAAGAACTTTCTTGCAGCCACCCCTCACATCGCTGTCGACAACCGTCTCCGTGCCTTTGGACTGGTAGGATCGATTTCCAGCCTGCAGCTGCGTGTGGATGCGGTCGAAAGCATCGCTGGCTCACAAGCATGAAATCCCGCCTTGGTGCTCAGAGCGTCGACGGCCTGTTCAACTACAAGGTCAGCGGCAGAGGACAGCTTGCACTGCAGAGCTGCGGTACACTCTACCGCATCCATCTCAAGTCTGGCGAGCAGTACATCGTGCATCCTAGGTATGGAATACCGCATCGATAGCGAGCCCTGCACGCTGCACCCACTCGATCCTAACCTCCTCCCGCCATGCTGCTCCTCCCCCAGCTACATTGTTGGCTGGGACACCTCCGTCGAAACCACTCCTCTGGTCGCACCGTCGACACCGCATGTGGCTCTGGAACAGGCTGCAAAGACACAGGCTCAAGATGCCACTGCCTCTGCCTCTGCCTCTACCTTGGCCAGTCGCATCGGCGAGTCGATTACAGGCTATGCCCGTGCTGTCAAACACAGCTCGGTGCGAACAGTCCTCTGGGTCCTCTGGGCCGTCCGAGCCAGAGTCAAAGCCGCTCTCGATGGCGACAAGGTGCGAGGCTGATGGAAGCAGCAGAATCCGACGGCTTTCTTTTGGATGTGTATACACCGCTCACCCTCATTTCTGTACTCCACCGTCCAGGGACTCTACCGCCTCGAAGGGCCAGGCGACATCTATATCTCGTCCCATGCCGAGTCATCGTCGTACATCTCCAAAATGTAGGCAGTGCTTGTGATATGTCGTTCGTGTTTATGGACATGCCGCTTCCGCTCCTATAGTGAGCCACTTGAAGCCCACCCGAGGGGGGGAGTTGATACTCGCTGCTCAATCCCCCGCTTCCTACTGACTTCTCGACGATCACTGTGACTCACATCGCCCTCAGACTCACGACTCCCAGCCTCAACGAGGATCAAGCTCGCGCCGTTGCCGAGCATTACAAGAAGTTGTAGAGTGGACCACGCAACCGGGCCATCGGGAAAGTCTCTGGTTGTCAATTATTCGCAACTGCTAATACACTTCGCTGCTTTGCGATATGGACGCTCAGCCCACAGCTTGAATACGTGGAGGCATAACGGTGCTGTATGCCTTGCCAGCCTGCACATCACACTCGGCTTTCACTCGTACACGATAATTTGCTTGCCTGCACCCTGCTTGGACGAGTTCTGCAGCGCGGCGGCAATCGAAAGGCGGTCGTCGGCAGCATCTCCGGTCAAGCGCACCAGCTGGTGCCAGGGATCTTTGAAACGGCCCTCGCTCGTAAGCTGCAGCAACTCGTCCACCATGCTCTTGCGCTGCTCGATCGAGTTTTGCTGGTACCAGCGGGTCATCCAGAAGCCCGCTGCAGTAAAGTTCTTGAAAATGAAGGGCGAAGTAGGGAATGTCAACGGCTCCTTGGACATGCCTCCGTACGTCACCATGATGCCATTGTCGCTGGATACAGGTCGAAAAGCGGCGCATCGTGTCCTGCGAGTTAGTGTCTGCAGTGTGTGGCCAGGCTGCTCGACTCGGCCATTAGCACGAACCACATGCACATCGGTCTATGGAGGCACCACTCACCCCAAGAGTCGGACGAGGTTGGTTGCGCTCTTGCCGCCAACGCAGTTCAGAGCCAGCTGCGGCAAGCGGGGACCCAGCTGCTGAACCTTTCGGAGGGTCTCGGGCTTGCGAACGTCGTCTTCCGAAAGAACCAGGGTGGCGCCAAGATCCCTGAGATCGCTCTCGACCCTGTCAAAATCGGGTCTGGACAGCAAGGACGATCGTCAGTAACTGCAACGCAGCGACAATTGCGTCGGCCCTATCGGCGCCAGTGCTCTGTTGCCCGGATGTGCACCGACGCACCAATGCATTGCTGCACTCTCACACCTTGGACGGATGACGTTGACTGTTTGGATGCCCCAGGCCTTGGCCAGTTGGATCACAGCCTGCCCAACGCTTGAAGTTGCTCCGTTCTGGACGACAACATCGCCGGGCTGGAGCGACACAAAGTCCTTGAGCATTCTGTACGCTGTGGATTCGGCCAGATTGCACTAGTCAGGTTCTATGCTGGCGGCATATTGGCCAGGCGAAGCGTCGTCCCAAGGCCATGCGCTCTGCCGACCAGAGTCGCCTCGTCATCCCCCATATCTGATTCTGCTCGAAGCTCAGCCCGAACCTGTGCATGGATTGACTGTGACCGTGGCCCCGGCAACGATCGAAGCCTTCCCAAGGTCGACTTTGAGCACCTTGTCCGAGCTCACATTGGCATACTTTCTCCAGGTACCTGCACAACACTTTCGTCAGTAGCAAGCGAGCACCGCCAAGGTTCAAAAGCAGATCTTGCTCGCTCTGCGCGTATTCCTCGGTTCCCGGGTGCCGGTGGATCAATGTCGAGCGCATGCGAGTATATTTGGTGCAGAAGGCAGGCATTTGGAGCCGATTCGTACCATGCGATGGGCCATCGAGAGGCAGAACAAGGTCACCGGGAACAACGCTGGAAACCTGGGATCCGACGGCGACGACTCTGGCGATGCCTTCGTTTCCTCCAACAGCGCCGTGGCCGGGGTGAAACGTTGGCTTTACCGGGTAGGTGCCTTTTCATTCAGACCATGCAGACCATGCAGACCAGATCATGCGAGGACAAGGATCAGCGGCGCCATGATGTCCCTGAAGCTCAGCGCTATCCCAGGCGAGTTCGTCGAGAAGGACAGTATGTTCACGGTTCTGCCGAAGCCACCGGAGCCTACCTTGCACCTGGTTGAGATCGGCGGGGTTGACGGGAGAGGCGAGAAACTGTAGCTGCACACCATCGTCCTTGAGTTCCGGCAGTGCGATCTTGGCTGGACTGGATGGCCGCAGATAAATAGGTGGCGTGAGCGTCAAAGCTTGGCACTGCGGTGGAATATGGCTCATAGCAGCGTCTCTTCACTGAAGCGAGCGACGAAGCGACGATGGTGTTCGATGGAAAGCGGAATGGGCAACGGCAACCTACACCAGAACCGACTCGGGCGAGCCGTGGGCAGCGAATGTGACTGCTGGTGTGTGGGTCGCAATCGAGCGAACCAGGCGGCCAGAGATGAAGGCACGAGGAACTCGAGCCAGGGCGATCATGGTCGGATGATGGGCAGAAGGAAGCACCAAGATGAAGGGCAGAGTTGCAAGAGGAGAGTCGCAGGGGCAGAGGGCGGTCAAATCAAACGACAGGAGATGCTGCGCCGACAAGACTGGATTTGCGCCAGCGATTCGAGGCTGGAATGGGTCCCAAGGGGACGATCAAAGGGAGGATAGATGGCATTTCGGTTGGCCAAACCCACCAGCATCTGGAAATGAGCTGTCGTCGATCACTGTTGTTGCCCCCCGACTGCGAGAACCACATCGACTACGACACTATGTATTGGGTGATATCAAATGGCCAGCAGCGACCTTTGCTTGCTGATCCTGTTGCTGTTGACTGCGTAGCACCATGATCGTATTCCGGGTTACTTGCATGGCTTCTGTCGAATGCGATCGCGAGTACAGTCGATGCGGCCCGGCTCGGTGGTCTTGGGCATCGCACATCCTGCGGCTCGGACTCGTCATCGTGGCGGATTACCCTTTGCATGAGTATCTGGGCCGTGGGGCTATCATGGGCTCAGACGCAGCTGGATTGTGGCCGTGAGCGCCCTGGGCATGCCAACCCGGTCGCAGTACTCTGCACATGCCCGAGTCCACGGCTTGACTATCCTTGACCCGATATTCAGGCCGGGTAGGATTGCTCTTGATCCGTCCTTCGATGCCCGTCAGCCCATAACCAGTGGGTTGGCCAAAAACTGCTTCTGTGTTTTCGTTGTGGCATAGTGGCGAACACTGCTGTCGAGAAGCACCCAAAAGTGGTTGTAGAAGCCCTCCCACTGCACAACAAACCCGGGCCAGTCGCCTGCTTCAGCCAGCGACCACAGCTGCGGGAACTGCTTCTTGGTAACGGCGCGGATCCGATCGGCTCGAAAGTGCCCCGAGTGCACAACGTCGTTGAACTTGCCCTTCTGAATTGCCGCGACCCACTTCTCGATCGGTCGCCAGTCAAACGACGATATGATTTCGCTCGGAAGCACCCCGGTTTCGAGATACTGCAGAACCCACAGCGACGATACCGTCTCGCCATAGACCAAATGAACTTGCTCCAGCGACTTTGACCGCAGGACCACGTAGACCAGCGATGCAATGGAGCGAGCGATGGTCAAGCTGCGCTCTTGGCCGCCATCGAGGTCGCCGGGGGCGATGCCCGGTTGGAAGCCGTACTCGTCGGCATCATCTTCGACCGTGATGAATCCCCGCAGCGTGAGGGTCAGGCTTCGCAGCTTCGTGAGGTGAATACCAAGATCGAGCACGGCGTCCGAGTCAAAGGACAGCATCGGCAGCATAGCAGCGTCTTCGCCTGGCAGGCTGTATGGAATGACGGTCAGCTTCTGGAGTGCGGTGGCGTTTCGAGCGATGCTTCTGAGGGCCACATCCGAGAAGGACGAGTTCATGGCCGTGAGATGGAGCAGCCGTCGCAGCAGCGAGACCACATTCCTGCTCTCGAACAAACGCTGGTCCATCGAGAAGCACGAGGTCATGAAGACAGTGGTCAGCCTGGGACATGCCTCTGCGAGCGCTGGCAGGATCAAGGCAAACGACCAGATGCGCGATTCGATGGTGAAAACCTCGAGCCTGGGACAGGCCGTCACAAAGTGAACAATGTGCTGCTCGAGGATGGACTCGCCCTCGGCCCGCGAGCGGAAGGTGAAGCGCAAGAGCTGATGGCCCAGCTGCTGAGCGGCATAGGCCAGGCCCGAAGCAGTGAGGGAACATAGCGAGAGGTCCAAGTCGGTGATATGGGCGGCCTGCTGGATCCACAGTCGGGCAACGGCATCGTCAAACTTTGGGCATCCGGTGACTTTGAGGACACGCAGGTCCCATTCCCGGGCCAGCGACGAGGCCGTGACGCTGTTCAGCTGGATAGATCGCTCGCTCTTGGCCACATCCATCTTGAGCCACTTGAGCTCGAGCTCGGCCAGGCGGGGCATGGCCAGCGCCAGGAGCGAGTTCAAGAACGGCGTGCGGAAGGGTTGCATAAACTGGCACTGGATGGCCTCGGCGTTGACAAAGAGCGGAAGCACCCGAGAGACCATGTAGTCCTTGCTCTTGCCCAGGAAGCGCACCCGTTTGACGAACCGGCCGTAGGGCAGCAGCGACCTTGGCTCTTTGGATGGGTCGCACTGCCCAAAGATGTTCTTCTCGGTGAGGTCGGTAAAGACCCGCATCGCCTTGACGCCGCTCTTGGCTTCGAAGCGGATGTCGGACCAGAGTAGCGGAAGCAGAACCAGGGCCCAGTGGCGAGAGACGCAGGCGGCTGAAAACAAGATGGACTTGGAAACCGAGTATGGGAAGAGGTGAAGGATCCACCGGCCGAGCTGGAACAGAACCAGGTCGGGGGCCATGGCGGCAGCCGAGGCCGACCGGGGAGTTGAGCGTGGCTGGATTTTCATGAAGAAAGTCGACCCCGATCGAAAGGTGGCTCGGCTTTGAAGGGGATGGGTTGCCGATCTGCCCAGACTTGGCGGCCACTAGGATCTTGATGCTGCCACTTGGATCTTGATGCTGCCGATTCCGATATCAGATCAAGACGGGGATGGAGAATGCAGGATGCAGGATATCGAGGATGGAACTGCTCGTCCCGCTGGAGATTCTGCAAGGCCGACAGCAGGTGAGATGCAAATACACTGCCCGAACGAGTCAGCGAGCTATTGGCAGACGGCTTCTCTGATTGCGAGTCAGGCCAACCTGCGCGATAGGAAGAAACGTCGGATGGAAAGACGGGAGGGGGGGAACAGTGACAGAGATCTCGGGCTGGAGCGTCCAGACGAGAGGTCAAGGGAGCATTGGCGGCAGGACCACAATGCCGGTTCGGTTTGTTGGAGAGATGCACACAGAGCCGGCCGACGCCAGCAGGCAGGGAAGGCTGTGGGGATGAGAGACGGGTCAGCTGCCCAAGGGAGAGCGCCGAGCCAGAGCCCGGAACTTCAACGAACAACAGATGCAACGATCGATGCAGCGATCAATGCAGCGATCGATGCAGCGATGCACACGGCAGCGGATGCAGCGATGGGCTCGGCGAGATATGGACCATGCGGTGGACCATGCGGTGGATCTCTCAACGCCGATGCGCTGATGCCCAGTGAGATCGGGATGAAACAGCTCGGCCAGCCCAGACAGCGCTCTCACCGACTTGGACCCTCATCATCCCATCCCATCTCATCTCATCCCATCGCCGACTCCCACACAAACGCACAATGAGGATATTGACCCGGCCTGCGATCCGGCCTGCTGCCCGGCCTGCAACCTGGCTCGCTCTGCCCAAACCGCCCATCCGCTGTCGGTCAGCCGTCGCCCAGTCGTTCTCCACACCACACCGCATCTATCCCTGGCACACCTCGGACCAACCTCGAGTGATTAGCGTCCAGGACCGCGCTCCTCGCAGCCTCTCCGAAGCCGGATCTGCTCTCATCAACTGGATCACCAACAGCTCGGTCGTGTTCCTGACCGAGTTTGCCGTCTCGAGCTACTACACCAACATCTTCAAGGACACCAGCATGTGAGATCCTCCGCACCATCGACTTGACAGCGACCAACAGCGCCCGAGAGGGATATGCATACTAACGCCAGGCAGACGCACTCCAATTTGCTTACTCCTGTGCGATTCCTGTGCCGCAACAGGATGTCGTCGTCAAACATGCCGCCAGAGTTCCTGCCGAATGCTGCTCGCTCGTTCGAAACCTTCGCCAGCGTCCTCGGCAGCTGGACCTCCGACCCGCAGGGGCCCGATGCCAAGCTCTACGAGCAGGCCGTCCAGAGGATGGTGACTCCAGAACTGTTCAGGCGACTCAAACGGGAGCAAGATGCACTCGTCGCACACCGCCAAGCAGCCAACATCAGCGTCACCGACATCCTCGACTGCCGGGAGTCCAGGACCGAAATCCGACTGGGCGAGCCGGCACCTGCGTTGGCCAGAACCCTGACCAACTGCAATCCCTATCATCGCCTGTACAAGTACGGTAAATCGCATGTCTACTACACCTACCACTCGGTCGGATTCCTCTGCAGTGCTGCCGACTGGGCCAAGCGCAAGGAGGGCGTACCGCTGCATGAGATCTTTGGTGCTGCCATCGAAGAAGGGGCCACGCTGCTTGTCGAAGTCGCCATCAACGCCCAGGTGGAATTCTCGCAATCAGCCGATCCCCGAGCTGCCGATACTCGCTCCAGCATCACTGTTGAGCCACCAGATGCCCTGTCGTCCCAGTCCCCCGACCCAAATCCCTCCGATTCTGCCGAAGCGTTTGTGTCAGATTCTCGGCGTCGTGAGGTTCTGGTACTCTTGGAAAGCAACCACATCCCGCGAAGCCATTTGGTCGACAACAGCGGTGACGCTGCCGACTCGATCGTCTGGAAAATCGCCGACATTGACTATCTTTTGGAGTCGAGCCGCTTCAACCAGTATGTGCTCGGCAACGCCCTCAAAGTGCTCAAGCGATAGAGCCAGCATCGTATCGTTCTGGCGCTCGCACCGAGCTGGGATGGCACTCACACCGAACTGGGACGGAGCTCGCACTGAGCTGAGATGGCACTCTCTCTCCTTCCTGCCTTTTTTTCGAGGTCGATTGTCATGCCGTCTCGATCATGGATACGCACTTGCTCATCCGATTGTGTCCAAGAACATTCCCATCCCCAGAGCACCCATCATCGGACCACTGCACCCAGAGAGAGGTAGCCCTCGTGCATTCAAGTCCATGGTGTCTGAGAACTTGTCGTTGATGCTTGTCAACAGAAATGGTGTATAGATACTATGCATTGGATTCCCCATGTGCGACCCAGATGCCCTGTCTGTTGTCCCAATTGCCACTGGCACACATGGTCCAAAGTATCATTGTTGCTGAATCGGGCGGTGGTGCAGCGGTTGGAGAGACAGATCAATGGGTGAAATGCGGGTTTGATTCCGGTACGGCCATGGACCCAAACCGGGCAACATGGGCCCCTGGACGCCAGAGCAACGCAGATCATCGGTGGTTAGGTCGAGTACCCTTTGATATTGCTCCATTCAAGCTGGCTGCCGAGTTTCTGCCAGCACAGACACCAACGCCGACATTGACGATGTGCCTACCATTCAAGATGTCCCAGTGCTCGACCCAGGTGCGAGGTAGATTCGAGGGCCGAACGACACCAGGACGCTTTCGTGCGACAGGAACATCGAGATTGGACATCAATGCCGACTGGCGCAGAGCCTGGGTGGTGTCGTCGAGGGCCGGCAGCAGCACTCGCTTTGGGAGGTGCTTGTGGCCCTTCTTTCCGGCGAGGAGCAGCTCCGTCAATCGGATACCGGCAAAGTGCAGAGACTCTACCGGAGGCAGAATTGACTTGGGATGGTGGTATGAGTCTCGAAATGTCGACGACGAGTCATCCTTGCAGAGGTCGGAGACGGATGGGTATATGTTCGAGCAATCGTTTGATCGAGCCAATGCGAGATCAAGGTCGGATGCCAGCGGTAACCATTGGTGCTCTAGTGAGTTCATCCGTTGCGCCGAAGCGTTGCGATGCTTGCCAGGCGGCGAGTTTGGTACTTACCTCTCCATCCGGCCCGCTGAGTTTGATCCAGCCTCCGCCAGTCATGTACCTGGAGGAAATGAGAACGAGATGAAGCTGAGTTGCCGAGTCGGGGGGTACTATGCATCGGGACAGGCGTTGCTGCTTGTGGGGCTCACCCTCGGTTGATTCGAATCTGCTGCATCTGCTGGCTTTCCCATGTGTCATGCCGTCCCTGGCAGATGCCGCAATACATTCCGTTAGCCTCCACAGCATCCTCGACGCTTATTTGCAGAGGGAGGGTGCAATCTGGTGCGATTATTGCTCGAACCAAGTATCTCGCCCTCGATACTGCTTCCCCACCCCCAGTGTCACCGAATGCGCTGTGAATGCACCGGGCCTGCGACTCACTTTGATATCCCGCCGCGGATAGGTGTCGCTTGTGGTGGTGTTGAAAAAATCCTCGAGGTCTGTGAGTTTCTGAGAGAAATTTCCGATGGCCCGGGATTCATGGGAAGCGAAGCGGGTTTAGCCCGGGGTCAGCGTCGTCGTGAGTGGAAAGACATTGCCGAGCGACTTCCACGAAGACTGTGGAGAGATAGGCCGGGGGGATACTCAAGAGATGGATGCTGCTGGAATATCAACAATGTCGCCACAGGATTCGGACAGAGGTCGTTGGACTCATGGCAAGCCAACATTGCACCAGCACCCGAGGACCAAGTACATCTCACATCCAAGCGACACACATCTTCGAGAAGCGAGGTCATGGTGAAGGCTGGCCCGGGGACAGCAAGCGCAGGACGACCGAGGATGCACTGGACTTACTCCATCGGCCTTCTTGACCACCCTGGCGGGGCCACTGGGTGGACGCAGTACCGATGCCTCCTGCTCGGTCGGCACGGATGGAACCGGAGGGATTGGCAGGGGGCTCAGGGGGTCAAGCTGGAGATGAAACTGGTGCATCGTTCAAGCAGGCCGAGTGAGGAGTGTAAGGGGGGGGGTGCAAGCAAGGTCGTTCTTGGAAGAAGCGAGATGGACGCTAGGGTCGGAAGAAGGGTTCACTGCGAGCCTGGGCTTTCTCCACAGGCAAGCAGACAAGCGAGAGGACGCAGGGGGGGGGATATTCTCCCACGGAAGGTATTCCTCCGATAGTTGGTTGATTGGCCAAGCAACGATGACTCTGGGGCTGGCGGATAGGACCAGAAATGCGGCAGTTCGAGCAGAAGGATGGCAAGCTTGGAGTGCACTTGGAGGGATTACCGCAGGCCACTGCGATTAGGAGACTCGACTATCCGAGCCGGGGAACGATCCGGGATCGAGTCGCAGCGAGCCTGTATGCCGATGTCGCTTGGGGGCTCTGTATCCTTGCTGAAGACAGCATCCAGGGATGAGCATGCGAGTGCCCGTCGATATCGCCGGAGGACCCTTCTATCAGAAAAGTCTCCTGCAGACAAGTGATTGGAGAGCCGATGCAGCGAGCAAGGACACTGCGGACGGTGGGATGCATTTGGGGCACTCGAGGGGTCTGGTAGCAAACGAAATGGATGGCATGAGCGATGGAATGGAGGCCATGGACGGGCAAGCGGATGAGCACGCACCCGCCATGACATGATATCAGGTAACGACTCCCATGATATCAAGTAACGACTCCCATGACATCAAGTAACTTGGCACTGCTCGCATCGCAGCCCTGGTTCGCCCGCACCCTTGTCGGCCGAATGCGCGAGAACACCAACGAAACCGCCTCTGCGCGCCTCGGCCAACCCCTTTCTCGCCGGCCGAGTCTGCTCTGCGCCGATCTGCCCTGCGCTGATCTCTGCTCCGGTGTTGTCCGCCCTGGTGTCGTCTGCTCCGGGTTGATTTACATCGATCTGGTCTCGTTGGCTTTATCCACCGTCCCTCCTACCCAGCACTTATCTAGCATCTCCACCACCCACCGATCTCCCTCGGCCTGAATCTCTATCCGCCTTCTCGATCTCGCCATGTCCGATCCAAACGCCGTCGCCGGGCTGCAGGCTCGCCTCACCAAGCTCGTCCTTAACATCCAGTTCCTCTGGTTTATCGGCCACTTGACTACACGTACGGCCGACTCGTTCTTGCTCGTCTGACCATCGATCGACGCCGCTGTTGCCGCAATGACGAATGGATGCCATCGTTAACGCCATGTTTCTCTCCCTCCGACCCCTTCATCTGCTGTCGTCGCTGCCTCGACTCGCAACGCTGCCTCGACTCGCAACACTGCCTCGATTCGCAACGCTGCAGTCTCCCAGTCAGCCCTCTTTATCCTGAGCGGTGGAAAGAGCTACTACAAGGCCTACTACGGCGTCATCCTGTGCTATGGCATTATCCTCTACAAGTGTCACGGCGTAAGTCGTCCATCGAGCAAACCGAGCCACCCGAGTCCCTCTTCCTCCTCCTCTTCCTCCTCGCGATTCACTGCCGACTCTGCGGGTGCTAATTGCTGGCTGCACTCCTCTTCTCTCTCGCACGCCCATCCTATCCATCCGTATTCCGGCCCGGCAGACCCCCAAGTTCAGTCGTGACTATTTCCAGAAGGTCATGACCGACGAGAACGCCCAATATCTCCTGCTTGCCATCGTGTGGGTTTCGTCTGCGCCGATCTCAGGTGTGTAAGACCCACCGTTCCTCTTGCTGGATTTGTCTGTCGGCATCATCGCAACTCTTATTGCGTATCAGCCGAGTGCCGACACAGTCGATATGCGTCTCGTATCTCACCGTTCGTTTGGTCTGCCATTCCTCCCCTTCGTCGCATCGATCGCTCCTTTCGGACGCTGCAGTCACCCTGCTCCCGTATGCCACCTTCTCGCTCTTCCAGTTCCTGAGCTACACCCGCCAGAGCGTCCTGCCCGCCATCTTCCCGCCCGTCGCTGGCGCCGCCTCGGGCCTGACCCAGCAGGTCTCGGCCAGTATCGACAAGTTTGTCAAGGCCAACCAGCAGCCCGCTCTGCGTGCCGTGGCTTTCATCGAAGTCTTCTTGATCCTGCCCTTCCTGATCGTCTCGGTGTTTGGTCGATACGCCTCCTTCACGACCCCGATTCTGTTCATCCAGTTCCTGCGATTCCGCTACTTCTTCTCCAGCCTGACCAAGCAGGCTGTCCACGAACTGCGGAGCCGTCTGGATGTCCTGTTTGGCCTCCCTGCCGTCCCGGCCGTCGTCCAAAATGGCTACCGCACCGTGCGGGATCTGATTGTGCGATATCTCGGTGCCGATGGTGCGGCTGCTGCCAATGCCAATGCCAATGCCGGCAACTAATACACTGCGGTTGCATCCCATCCGAGTCCTGTGTGGTGCTGCCGTGACTGTGAATCGCTGTTGCTACGGCGAACTTTTCTGAAACGAGACACCTTCACCCCTGGATGACTTGCGCTGGCGATCCAATACCGTCATGACGTCTATTTCCATTGCGGATATCGCCGCTGCAATCACCACCGCCATCACCGCAATCGCCGTCAGCGCAACCCGCTCGGTCGCCGGCGCCACCCAGAGTCATTTCGACGCTGTCCATGAGCCGCCCCTTCCGGCGATCTTGTTCCATCGCCGTTTTCTCGCTGCAGCCGGCCCTCTTGCGCTCCATCCTCTCTGACCGCATCGGCCTGTCCATCCACCCTCGGCCTGTCCATCCACCCTCGGACACCAACCGCCGGCACTCTCTGTCCCCGGCCAGCTCCTCACCAGCCCACTCTTGCTTCTCTGCTCGCTCGACTGCCAGCCTTTTCATTCCATTCCATTCCACACTTCCGTTCGCTCCCCACTACTCCCACTGCCCTCATCTGTTCCACCGTTGGTCATGGAGCCAGCTCGATCGCAACACCAGCAGTCTCGGATCACTTCCTTCTTCAAGCCGGCGGGCCCCTTGCCGTCGCCGGCCCATCACGCCGCATCCTCGATCGTTCTGTCTCCCTCAATCACCTCCTCCCCGTCCTCCACCTCTCCGTCTCGGTCAGCCTCGGCCTCGCCATTCTCTGTTCGGCCGGGATTCTCACATCCGTCGCCTCCGTCACCGTATCCGTATCCGCTGCCCACTCCTCAGCCAGGGCCTTCCCCAGCCGCAATGCTTCGAACCTCGGACCAACGGCCTGGCCCGAATCGGCGCTTTGCCGAGCTTCCTCTTCCGCCCTCGTCGACGCCCATCGACCCACGCTTCCATCTCCTCATCCCAAAAGAGAGCCGGAAGCGCCAGCACGAGTATGAGTCGTGGTCAAGCGACATCCGGCTCGAGGAGATCAACGACGACAATCTGGACGAGTTCCGGCGCATCAACTCGATCATCTTTCCTGTGGTCTATCAAGAGTCCTTTTATCGGCAAGTTTGCGACAAATATCCGAAAGAGCTCAGCGCCCTTGGTATGCTTGTCTGCGCCGATCGTCCGGGCAGTGCCCTGCTCTGTCGGTGCTCCATCGCAGTCGCTTCCGCCCGACCTCACTTGCTCGAATGCCGCTGCACAATCGCTCGTTATGCCACTTTGGCTTCAATGGCCTTTCTCAGCGACCCCGTCATTCACCACGCTCCTCTTACAATCTCATTCATTCCAAACGCTGTGGCCGAATTCGTTGCCTCGGTCCCAGCCTTCTACAAGGAAGACTGTGTCGGCGCCGTCAGCTGCCGCAAAGAGCCCATATACCACAACGAGACCGAAACCCGCTATCGTGTCTACATCATGACCATCGGCGTGCTGGCTCCCTATCGCCGCCTCAAGATTGGTAAGTTGCCGGAAGCCTCCCGCCCGCCTGCTGATCTGACCAAGACTGCATGGTGTCTCGACCTGGCTGCCGCCGCCGATCCCCCCCCCCACCGCCCTCTAACGCTCGAGGCACCGCAACTTGCTTCAGGATCGCACTTGGTGAACTACATCATCCGGAATTGCGAGCTGGATCCCACCGTCGAGCACATCAGTCTGCACGTGCAGACAACCAACGACGAAGCCATCCGTTTCTACGAGAAGCTGGACTTTATCGTCCACTCGCGAGTAGACGGATACTATGCCCGCAACCGAGGTGTGGAGCCGCCGGACGCCTATCTCCTCAATCGCTACATTCCACGCAAATCCGAGTAGATGTGCTTGCGTCCGAGGCTGTCGGGCCGAGCCCTCTCCTGCTGCCTGGCTTGGGCCGAATCGGATCAAAGAATTGCGGACAACAACGAACGGATGTGCCCCGTTCGCTCGTCCTTGATCAACTTGTCAATGTTCGACAAGGGCAATCCTGGACCGCTCGACCAGGATGTCGCTGTTTCTGCAAACCGGCCTCGTTGTGCACGGCCATTGGGATATTTCACCATCCTTGTTTCGATAGAACATACCTTGGGTAGAGCCGGCTTGGAGGCGTAGCCCAGTCAGACCAACCTGCCTGTTGCCTGTCTCTCTCTCGCTGCCACCGTCGCTGGCCACTCTGCATACCCTTCCCCACACGGTCTGCTTGCCAAGTTTGCTCCTGCGATGTCCCCAACGTTGGCGCTCGCATTCTCCCGTGCCGCCTCTTTTCTTGCGGTGGAATCTGCTGGATGTCCTGGGGGGGGGCTGCCAATACAAACCGCTCTTGCTGTGAAAAGCGCTTGTTGTATTCGCACGGTCCGCTTGGCCGACATGGTGCCCACACAAACTATCGAAGCGATTCCCATGATCCTGCTGCTGTCCTGTGCTCAGGGGTTGATCGTGGCGACGCTTCCCCAAAGCAGGACACTCTTATCGAACGAACACGATGCCCAGGAGTCCCCCAGTCGGTGGAGACCACGGATCGTCGAGGTGTGGCCGAGCATCTTTCTGACGCACTGGCCCGAGGCGATGTTGTAGGCCCAGATGGCGTGGTCGTCGGCCGTGGCCAGGACAAAGTTGCCGGACGGATCAAAGATGCACCGGGGCTGGGCAAACATGGGGTCGATTGCGATGCCCCAGAGGCTCTGCACTTGCACGGCCGATCGGGCACCCAGCACCAGGATTCGGCCGCTTGCTGTGTCGGTGTAGCAGGCCAGATGCCGGCCCGAGGGAGAGAGCGCCAGGCACATTGGCGAGAAGGAAACCCAATCGTCGCCATTGGCGTTAAGATTGTACCGGTGCTGCCGAAAGCCGGTGGAGCTGTCGAGGTCGATGTAGTGCAGATAGTTGTCGTCTCGACAGCCCACGGCGATGGACCAACAACCGAGCCTGCGCCGATGATGTTGCTGAGTTTCTTCATCTTGGCAAGCAGCGACGCTGTGAGTTGCTTGAGCTGTTTCGAGCGAGTCCTGGGGTGCTGGTGGCTCTTCTTGCTCTGGAGGAACGAGGCACATGCATTCGACGGCACCCTGGAACTCGACCGAATGTACGAGCGAATACAGCGACTGTCGATAATGCTGCTGCTGTTGCTGCTGCTGCATTTTGTTGCATTCGGATGCGCCTGGAGAAGCACCAGCGCCGGTCCGGCGATAGATTTTGACTGTCTTGTCGTGCGATCCCGTCACGACAAAGAACTCTCCCTTGGACTCGACGACCTTGACGGCGGTGACGTACTTGGAGTGGGGCTCCAGGGTCTGCACGATCGTGCGGGTGGCAATATCGACGATGTGGACGAGGCCGTCCATGCCCGCGAGAACCAAACGATAGACGCTTGTGCTTCGAGACTTGTCACTGCCATCGGCATCGGCACCGGCATCGTCTCGTCGTTCCAGCCACCCTGGCTCGTCGCAGTCGAGTTCCACATCCAGGACCGATCCCTTGGGATACTCAAAGCTCCACAAGACGGCGCCTGTCTGGGTGTCGCTGATCTTGACGATCTTGTCGGTCGAGGCCGTGACGACCACACGAACCGTTGACTCGCTTGGTTCATCCCCAAGGTTTCCCGACGGCCCCTGGGCTGCAAAGAGACGACGAGGAAGATCGACGAGCTTGGAGACCAGGATGTTGCTCTTATGGATCGACTCGAGTCTTTGCAGTGGCTCCGAGGAGAACAATGGCTCGACTCTTTGAAACGAGGCTTGGGCAAGATTCCTGTGACGATGGCAACGATAGTATATATACCCCCGCGATGCCGATCAACGGGCGAGTGAGTCAATTGCAGGTGGCTGAAGAGGTTCGGAAGAGAGGAAGAAGGGAAAGAGAGATAATAGCATGCTCGTCGTGGCCCCACACTCTCTCCCTTTGCTTGCCTCGACGCTTGCCCCAAGTGGATTACCGTTCGGCCGACGATGAGTGGGCTGCATTCCAAGCAGCAGACGTGCGCGCTACATAGTCGTCAACGACCACTTGAAGCGGCGGAAGAGTGAACGAGGCCTTGCCGGACTCGAGCCTGACGGCCGCCGGCGTCGTTGCAGGGCCGACCTCGCTCCAGTTGAGGTTGGAGTCCCAGTCGAGGAGTTCGCGATCGAGCTCGGCGAGGGCTCGACAAAAGCCGCTGGATTGGAGGAAATCGCGGACGAGGGCGATGGTCTGGATCTTGCCCTGGTCAGCAGAGAGCATATTTGGATGGGATGGGATGGGATGGGTACGATGGAATGGGATGTGATGCGATGCGATGGGTGCAATGGATGGGATGATCGGGGCAGAGATTGGCGCACCAGAAAATACACACCCCGGCGGCTTTCGCTCGGGCCCACCTCTCTCTCCGCCAGGACCAGGAACCACACACCTCGCATATCCGAGCGCTGTATTGAAGGACGCAGTCAAGAGGACGGAAGCCCCACGGCACCATCACGCCCCCAAAAGTGCTCGCATAGCCACGAATCACTTGGATAGTCGGGTCGAGGCCTCATCGAACTTGATGCCGCGGGCTTCAAGACGGGCCAGGATAGGCTCGTAGATATCCTTGCTCACGGGGGCCAAGACGCCTTTGCGGGTGATGACGCCTGCAGCCCCCGCGCAGTTTGAGAAGTGCCGGAATGCGCAAAGGGCAAAGGTCAGTGCCGGTGTCAGCGCGAGAATCCGAGTGGAGTCGTTGTCGGGGACATGATCGCTCATGCAGCCAATGATCCTGTTGCTGACCTGTCATGATGGCTTCGGTGGCAATGGCTGCGGGGAGACCGACGGTCTTGGCCATGGCAGAGTATCCCTGGGGCTCGCCGTATGCAATCAGGGTGGCAGTTTTGCGTTCCTGGCATCGGTTGATGGCGTGGGTCAGTTCGGCAGCAAGGATATATCATGCAAACCAGCGACCCAAACGCACTCCCAGATCCGTCGTTGTGTGCACACTCGACCCAGACATTCAAATCCGCAACACTCCTCCTCGGTGTCCAGAACCAGCATCGCTAATCGAGGACGCCATCGTGTGAACATGGCTCCTCACAGTCAGCCACGGACTCCGGCACTGAATCGTAACCTACTTTCTGGCCATCGGCCCACTCGATGCCGAACTCGTGCTGCATGGCAACCATGTCTCGTTCTCCAGGGAGATAGACCAACTTTTGCTGCAAGAGACTGCAGAAAGCATCGAGAACAGACTCGGAGGAAACGATAGGGTTCGCGCTGTCGAAAATGCCGAGCCTAGGGACAGCAGAGACATATCCATTCTCGTCAGCAGTTGCAGTGAGTAGCCTTGCATCAGCCCAGCCAGCATCCCACAGAGGCTGTCCTTGGTGGCGTCGAATTGGGCGTCAAATCAGGGAGCCGAGCTGGGATGCTGAGCTGGATGCCGAGCTGGGATGCTGAGCGTACCAGTTCATCGCCGACAAGATTCGCTGGAGCTTCAAAGAGTCCGCAGCCACATCGCCGTTGACTCCCGCGGCGAGTTTGGCCTTGATGGCTGCCACGGGGTCGGCGCCTTTGGAGATACCGAGCAGGCTGTTCATCAGCTCTTGCTGCAAAGCAGAGTGGGCCAAGGTGTTCAATCACGCAAGCAGTATTAGAGCAGAGCGGGGGATGTGGGTGCTGTTATTCCTACCCATCAGATCGATGGAATCGCAACAGCCTGGGCTGCGGCCGGCCGATACTCACCCAGGATGTGCCCTGGCTGGCAAGCTTGGAGGGCGCCGTCTCAAACAGGCCGAGGTCCTTGAAGCATGACATGAGCTCTCCGTAGCCCTGGTGGAAGCACAGCCACAGTGCAGCAGGTCAGAGTGCATGCCTTTGGATCAACAATACATCGACAGCGCGATGCAACAGACAAAGGCTGTCGATGGGCGACAGATGAGAGAGCTCACCTTGTACCGCAGTGTGCCGCGGAACATGGTGTCGAGCTTGTTCAGATCCCCGAGCTCGTAGAGGCTGGTGTACTTGAGCGAGTCACGGTTGGGCACTCCTTCAAGGGCAAATCCCCGATACATATCGACATTCATGGCCGACTTGAGCAAGTGCGAGCCAGGAATCTCGTGCATCTGTCAGGGCGAGGCAGCATATAGGCGGTGCTCAGTGGACGGTCTGCTGCAGAAACTGACTCTCTGGATTGATACTGCAAGTACGGACTGTGCCATTCGGATGTGCGGCAGATGTGGCTTTGAGGCACTCGGTGAGAGGATGTGAAGTCGGCCAGGGCAGGCGCCTACCTTCCCATTCATCTTGAACTTTGCAGAATTGAGGCCAGCCAGCAGCACGCCGCGAGGGCTCCAGCTAAACTTGTATCCGAGCGGGTTGTTGGAGGCTTCGGGAGCCGGCAGGCCGCCACACCAGGAGACAAACGAGCTCACACGTCCCCCGGCGGCTTGCACTTCGTGGATGGTTCGCATGGCCGTCAAATGATCGATTCCGGGGTCCAAGCCGATCTCGTTGAGGATTGACACGCCGGCAGCCTTGGCCCTATCCGGGTTTGACGGAATCGTGCCGTGTGAGCAGAGGAGCCAACACGACTCGATGGCCACCAGGGTCCTACGGTCTGGAAGGATGCTGGTCGTGGTTGCGGCCTACCTCTCGTGAAGCTTTTCCATATCGGGCGAGATGTAGCTGGCCGTGACCATGTGCTTCTTCTGGGCAATGCAACTCTCGGCCACAGGAATGTGCATTGTAGCGGGGATGAGACTGTGTGGCGAACAAGCCGTCAGGAAGCCATGTGTTGCAAGCAGAGTGAAGTGGTCAGCAGTGGCTCCGACAGACCGTCGCAACTGCCAGGACCATTGTAATCGACCATTGGGCACCATAGATGAGCCAAGCGACTCACCTGACGACAATATCATGTTTCGACACCAGGTCCTGGAGCTGCGCCTGGTTCTTCACATCCACGCTCTGAGTCTGGACGTTCTTGTGTTTCTCGGCGATTCTCCCGGCTTCATCCAGGGCATTGCTCGCTGCATCAGGCAGCAGGCGGTAAGCACCAGCGCAAGAGGGAATGATGGAGCAACAATCTTCCCGCCCCATGCCCGACCGGCCGGGGGACAACTCACCGATGGTAACGTGGGTGTTCTGAACGCCGGAGAGGTGTTCCACCAGAGGAGCGGCGACATAGCCCGATCCCAACACCAGGACCTTGTGGTTGGCTTCGACGCGGATTCCAGCTCCCGCACTTGAGAAAGGGGCGAAAGAGGCAAGACAGAGTCGCTCGGGTGAGACAACCAAGAACAGGAGTTTGGTTCATTCGGCTATTGGAAATGATTCGACGCTCGGAGCAGTGGAATAGGCATCCGGCAGAATCCTACCTCGGCCGACCATACTTTTCCAGCTGGTCTTGCAGCTGGGTGTGGCGGGCAAATAGGCTGCCATCACGGGCAATGGTCGCTCGATTGAGGACCGCGTGGTCCACGTTGCCGAGGATCTATCCGATCGGCGTACCCGGGAAGGAATGGGGTACGATTGCCGTTGTTGCGGAAGTGGGTTAACGATCGATCAAGATGGAGCTGCTCCCCTTCAGGTGCATCATGAGAATGGATTTGTGCTTTCCGCGGCTTATCCGTTTCTGTGCCGGTCGGGCGGCGGAGAGGGCCCTCGCTGCAACTCACCAGTTCCTTGACGAATGGCAGAAGCGAGTCGCTAAAGTACGCACTCGCCTCGAGCGGCATCTCGGTCGGCAAGTTGTCGATGGACATGATGATCATGCCATCACCTTCGACCCTGTAAAGGACGCAGAGCCCAGGGTAGGCATGGTTGGCATCAGCCCCGGTCCGCCTGTGCTCAAAATCGCATGCTGGGAGACAAGGAGATAGATGGCGCAAATATACGTACTCGTGGTGGCTCTTCTTCTCGATGGGATCGTACATGAAGAACGGGTGGTCAATGGTTGAGGCATGGCTCATGAACTCCAAGCTGCCCTGTAGCACAGATCGGTGGTGTACAGTCAGTACCGTTGGCAAAGGTCGGCCGGCGACTTTCCAAGCACGCAGGAGGACACAAACAACCGGGACACGGGTTGACGGCAACGTCATTCATCGACACAAGCAACTGCCGCTCACGGTGAGAACATCACAGTAACCCCATGGCGATCCCGCCTTCGCTTGAAGCACCAATGCAATTCGTGCCGCCCCTTCTCCTCAAGCACCCCCGTGGGTTGTTGACCCCTTCTTGTCTCTTACATTAATATCGCACGATATATCGGCGATGGCGAGCATTCTCAATCGATTTTCACGGGCCAGCTTCTCAGTTTGCTCGATCGTCATGAGCCGGGGGTATTTGAGGTCCCAGAAGATGCCGTTGATGAGCATGCTGGTGTAAGGTGCAATCTGGCGGTGGAACAGAGGCGTCGGTAAATATGTGCTTGAAATTGCGGCGCCGAGTGAATCTGGGCACACCCGCAGTTGACTTTGCCAAGGTTCCATGGATTATTCGCTCGACAGCCCGCATCCAGAACACTGGAATGCAGCTTGCCTTCTCGTGGAACACAGAGTCGTATTCTTCGGGGTGCATCTTGTAGTGAGCATTGTCAAAGGCCTGGCCATCCTTTCGGACGAGGTAGTCTTTTGCCTGGACCTGGGTCAAGTACACCTTATGTCGGCTGTAGTCTGCAAAATATGATGGGATTGGTGTCATATTGATGCCGCGTTGGTACCGGATCGATTGCCCATTGATGCCAAGCCGACAGAGGGGTGAGAGTCGACTGGCAGACAGTAACATGCGACGCGATGAGAGCGAACAAGCGATCTGGCCAAGATTTTGGTGAAAGTAAGGATGCACTCACTGCCGCTCTCGACCAAATCCTTGAGATCGTCGGGACTGACCCACTCGTGGGGCAGGCACTTGAACACATGCAGAGCACCCTAGTTTGTAGAGTCGATCGGATGGGGCTGTGTCAATGGCGGGATACCAGTGCGGCCCATGCGCTCGCTTGTTTGCGATGGCTGCGATAAGGTCGCTTTTCTTCCATTCATCACAGGGGGATGCGTAGCCGTGTGAGGCTCCCGACTCACCTTGGTCACATTCCCATTGCCCGTGAAAACAAAAGTAAGCGGTCCGAGCTGCTTCGGAAGCCCGTCGTCCATGATGCTCTGTCCTGAGCGAGTGACTTCGAGGCGGGCGTCGGCAAGGCAACGATAGACATACGACATTCCAATATTCTGTGGAGCAATGGTGCCGCTGGATCAGTGGACAACCACTCGCGGACACGAGCGGTCCACTCACCAGCCAGATTTGCTCGACACGCTTACCAGGAACGGGGTGGCAAAACCCAGACCAAGTAGCCTCTGTCCAAGGGCATGGAGGCCATCGATCATGCCTGAACGAGAACAAGGTGCAGCGGCGATTGGGTAAATTTGTATCGATCTGGTGCAATGATCGAGATGCGGTGCAGCGGCATTGACCAGGGGAACTGGGCCAGCGCCCTCAAATGCAAACGCGGGTATCAGCGGATTGTACCTGCATATCCGGCGAATCGGCCGAAAAAGACCAAGCGACGATTATGGTCGTCGGTAAGCAGCTCGTAGTCGATGAGACGGATTTTCTGTTGGGCAGTAGAGAAGTGAATCGTCGATAGGATTGCCAAGCGATTGGCATGCCTGTTTAGCGCTGGAAGGCTGCTGCGCTGTGCAGAAACTCTGAACCCGATTCGATCGTCGGAAAGAGTTCAGGTGGCATGAAGAGCCATCCGCGACCCAGCCAAATCTTGTTCCTAGCGACTCGCATGACGGATCAGGCTGTGCTGCCTGGGTCTGCCTCATCCATGTCCTGGGCAGCTCATGTCACACGCTCTTCATGGGACGTCCTGTCCATGAATCTGTGCCTCCGATGGAAGCGGGGTTCCTCGCTCTGCACCATCGATTGTGCCTCCATCGACTCTTGAGGCATGTCTCAAGCAATTCCGGAGGACGGCAGCCGATTCTCCCCGGTGGCGCTCTGCATCACCGGTCGAAGCCTGCGCTCACCTTATCGAGGATGTCCTGCAGCATCGGCATGTTATGCTTCTGGCCCTTGAAGGTGTGGGAAAAGAACATGTAGTCCTTGCCAGGGAGAAGCTGGTCGAGGGGAACCTCCTTGACGCCGAGCACAATATCGGCGGCGGAGAGATCCTCGCTGATGATGGCTCCGGCATCGGCGAACTGGTCGTCGGTGTAGACGCGGCGGGTGGACGGCTGGACGATGACCTTGGCGTTGTGCTCTTTGACGAGCCTGGCGATATCCTGGGGCACGAGCGGCACTCGGCGCTCCCATCGATTCTTGTCTTCGCGACGGATGGCAAGTGTTCGCACCCAACGGGCGAGAACGGCGAAACGGGCCAGATTAGGAGCTTGGTGGGCTGTGCGGAAGGCAGCAGCAGCGGCGACAGGCCGAGCCGATCGTAGAGGGGATGCAATGACTCGAGACAGGGTCATGGTGAAGGGAATGGGCGAGAGAGATCAGCCGAATAGGATCAGGGAGGGTCGGCAGGGGCGAACCCAGAGGGAGCAGGCTGGGATATATCAGAGCTGGGGGGGGGGAAGCAGGCGAGGGCACCAGGGGCCATGGCCCAGAGGCGGGAAGGCATTCCGAGTGGCCCCGGGGCCAAGGCGCACAAAGACCCGGCCAGAGAGGAAGGCGGCGCGGGCGGGTGGCGCTGAGCGGCCGGGGGGCTTGTGGGGGTGGAGGACATACTGTGCTGTTGTTGCTGATGCTGGGAGTTGTTTTGTTGTTGATTTGTTGATGTTGTTGATGGTGATGATGCTGTTGATGTTGATGATTTGTTGTTAATGATGTTGTTGAGGTCTTGGTGCTGGCAATAGCTTCCCCCAGCGACCAGCCATCGCTTTCCCCACAGTCGAACAGCCGAATATCCCATGGCTGGTCGCAGTGAGGCGCTTCCGACCCACCCCTCACGCAGCCGGCAGCGCGCAGCGGGCGGCCGGAAAAGACAAGCCGACGGCACCGTGCAACCATGGAAAGAGTGGATTGGGGAAGAGGACGAGAAGCATTCGGGGGCGGCTGGTGCATGCACCAAGACAGAGGGCGAATGGGCAAGACGAGCGGGGGCTGTCGGAATGCTCGCCCTCTGCACCGAATCCTCGAGCTGGCTGGTTCAGAGCTGCTGCAGTCACAGCCAGATGCGCCGGTTGGATCGAGAAAGTACCTGAGCGAGTCAAACGACTTGGACGACGAAAGTGTCGACATGGGTGACCGGACATGAGCTCACGTGGACGAGTCCGGGGATGACACGGCCAAGACACGGCCAAGACACGGCCACGGCATGGCCAGCTGGAGAGCGAGGGCGAGACCGAGCGAGGAACGCAGAGAGAGAGGGAAGCGAGAGCAATGATCACGTGATGGCACCGCAGCGCAGCAGGTCGAGCGCAGCCACGACACACAAACACAGTGACACAAACACAGTGACACAGAACAGCGACATTGTGACACATTCACTGACAGAGAGTTGGGGCTGGCTCCTTGCTGTGCCGCGCAGCAGCGCCCGCGTGAGCGGCACAGAGTCACCTGCCGGTTGTGCCATCACGTGTCGCTTGCCGGCCGGTCACGTTCGCGCTGCGCGGCGACGCGTTGGTCAGGGAACCGACTTTGCTGGGGGGCGGTCGTGTGCCCGCACCGGCATGGGTCCTCTTGCGTTTTTGCACCCGCTCGGCGATGGCAGCCGGCATCGGGTGTGGTTGCGGCACGAGGGCGGGTGAGATGCATTGCAACCCAAAGGGCATGGCAGCTGTGTCGACGACCGGTCGCATAACCACCACGACAGACGGCTCTTCGCCTGCTCCGGAGAAGGTACATGGTTGTCGCCATCTCATCTTGTCTCTCGGCTGCTCGACTCGGCTGCTCGACTCGGCAGCCCGGTCGCTGCCTCTGCCTTGTATGTCGGGTGGGGCCTCGGGGCTGCTGACCAGCGCGGACACATCGGTGCGCGGCCCTCGCACAGAGCCGGACATTGCCACTGCTGCAGATCGATCGCACAGTCGGTGTACATACAGCGGTGCATGTCCTGTGCCAAGGAGGCCCCAGCCAGCCCCACACATGCGACGACGACAAAGCGTCCATGTCCATTGCTGGACGGCATGTGCGTCTGTCTGACCTTGCACAATTCCCACCGCCTGGAAGCTTTCAATGACCGCGCCGGCCCATTGCCCCCCACCGTCTCCATTTGGCCAGCCCAGCTGACACTCATTCGCTTGTGGACTGGTCGTGTGAGGCAGACGGAACAAAATATAAATACGGCGGTCCTGGCAACTCTCGTTGGGGACATCAGACGCAACAGCCCGCTTCCTCCGGCTCGCTGCCTCGTTCTGCCTCATTGAGCACCCTCGCTTCGCTGTCGCCTTCCTCTTCTGACACCTTAATCTCGAAACTATGAAACTGCTGTCTTCTTCCACCCTGCAGCTCGTCGGCACCGCCGCCTTGCTGGTCTCCTCGCTCTCCCTGGGCAATGCTCTTCCCAACATGCCTCACGGCGCCCAGGTCGCTGCTGCACAGCTGTCTTGCAACAACTGGGCCGTCGGTGTCTCGTACAACATCGGCGACTGCGTTACCTATGGTGGCAGCACCTGGACCTGCCAGATTCCCCATAGCGCCATCAGCCCCTGGGCTCCCATGGCCGGCAACGCTCTCTGGCAGCTGGTCGGCGACGCTCCCTCCAGCAGCGCTCTCCCTGTTCCCACCACCACTACCACCACCACTCCTGCTCGCACGACGACCACCACCACCACTCCGGCTCGCACTACAACCACTACCACCACCCCTGCTCACACCACCACTACAACGACCACCACCACTCCCGCTCGAACCACGACCACCACCACCACCACTCCGGCTCGCACTTCAACCACCACCAAGGCCGCAACCTCGACCACCACGACCACGACCACCCCGGCTCGCACAACGACGACGACGAGCTCGGCCGGCCCCGCCCCGACCGGCACCCTCCCGACCTGCCACCAGGCCTGGGTTGCCGTCTGGACCTACCAGGGCGGCTCCATCGTCAGCTACAACAACGTCGACTTCAAGAACAGCTTCTATGCCAACGCCGGCGACGAGCCCACAAAGTCAAACAACTGGGTCTCGCTCGGCCCGTGCGATCCAAACGGCATGCCCGACGGCCCTGGCCGCGACGGCGTTCCCACCCTCGCCCAGGCCCGCGCCTTCGAGGCCTCCCAGACCAGCTCGGACCTGTTCCAGAAGATCAAGCGCTCGATCGCCACCCTCGACAACTCGGTCGTCGAGCAGGTCGCTCCCGGCAAGGCCTCCAACCCGCCCAACGTCAAGCGCGTCGAGCAGATCATCCCCCAGAGCAAGTGGAACTACTACTTCTCGGTCGCCAACCCGCTGTACACCTACACCGGGTTCCTCCAGGCCGTCGCAAAGTTCACGGCCTTCTGCGGCGACTACTCGGACGGCCGCGACGCCAACGCCATCTGCAAGCGGTCGCTGGCGGCCATGTTCTCGCACTTTGCCCAGGAGACCGGCGGCCACAGCGTCCAGCAGTACGGCATCGCCGAGTGGCTGCAGGCCCTCGTCGCCGTGCGCGAGAACGGCTGTCCCGAGAGTCCCGGCTGCAGCTACAACAACGGCTGCGTCGACCCTGTCTGGAACTACATCTGGACCTGCGGCAAGAACCCCGACGGCTCGTTCATGAACTACTTTGGCCGCGGCGCCAAGCAGCTGACCTACTTCTTCAACTATGCGCCCTTCAGCCAGATCATGTTCAACGGCGACCCGACCGTGCTGCTCAACGACCCCGATCGTGTGGCCACCTCCTGGCTCAACCTGGCCTCGGCCGTGTTCTTCTTTGTCTACCCGCAGCCGCCCAAGCCCTCGATGCTGTTTGTCGTTGACGGCACCTGGGTGCCCAACGCCGACGACATCTCGCGCCAGCTCGGCAACGACTTCCCCACCACCATCCAGATCATCAACAGCGAGTGCCAGGACTCGCCCACCAAGGCCGCCGCCCAGAACCGCATCAACTACTACCGCAACTTTACCGCCGACCTCGGCATCGACATCAGCCACGACAACCTCAAGTGTGCCGGCATGGGTCTCTTCAGCGGCCAGAGCTCGGCCGCGCTGTTCATCTACTGGGACAAGGCCGACTCGCCCTTCACCTGCAAGCTGGTCAACTACCAGACGGCCTTCAACGCCCTGATCGACGACCAGTATGTCTCTTGTGTTGAGCACAAGTGGAACGTGACCCTCAAGTAAACCAAGCGGCAGCAGGCGCCGTGCCGTTCCACTGACGAGCATGCATATGAGCATGCATATGAGCATGTAGATGGGCATGTGGATGGGCATGGCCTGTGGCAGCGACCTGCTGGTGGCCATGGCTCGTGGCAGCGATCTGCCGATGAGCGTCTTCATGGCCCTGCTTGTCTCCCCGGCCCTGCTTCTCTCCCCCCCTAATCCTCCTCCGTAATCGCCTCCGAAACTGTAATAAACGCCGTTCCTATGGACACACATGCTGCTCCGTCCCAGAGCGGCTGCTTGGCCGTGTCTGCCTCCCGCGCTCGCCCAATGAGGCATCCAGGATCTCATCCTCACCACAGACACATGTGCCTGATGGCGCTCGTGTTGGGGGACAGCAATCTCACGACAGCCTCGAGACTCACTCGCTCGACTTCATGGTGCTGTTTGATGGCACTGGGATCAGCACATTGCCGTGGCGCATCGGACATCAGTTGCGGCCAGTGCGGGTGACCACGCTGGTCTCGGGATACTTGATCTTGAAGGACGAAGACGGGTCCAGGGGATCGCCCAAGAAGCGAACGTGGTGCAGATAGCTGAGACACTTCTCGACGACCTCCTCCAGCGAGGGACAGGGAGTCGGGTAGATCGAGCGGGTGTTGGCGTTGTCGATCGTGAAGGACATGTCCATCATGATGTGCATGAGCGGGAACAGGGCGTTGCTCTCGACGGCGGGATGGGAGTGGAATGCCTCTTTGAACTGCTCGCGGGTCTCGAACAGGATCGGCCAGCCATGGTTCCTGACAATCTCAAACAGCCGGGTCTCGGAGAGGACACTGTGGTGAGTGAGTGAGTGAGTGAGTGGGTGAGTGAGTAATCAGAGTCGGAATCCACCATCCACACCACATCGCACACCACATCGCACTTCACACCACATCACACACTCCTCACCTGTGCTCCGAGTCGCTGATGTGGAACACAAACTTGGACAGGGCCTCCTCCGAGCCGGCAATCTCGGCAACCACCTTGGCGACATGGTCGACGGGATCCATGGTCATCGTGACGAGAGTGGCGTGCGAGGGAGCAACACCGAGCTGAATGCATCCCTTGACATATCGCCAGATGTAGTCATCAGAGTTGGACACTGGAGCGATGGAGGGTGTGAAGGCGTCAGTTGATGTCAGTTGGTGGATGAGTGGCACTTGACAATCGAGACCATCGATTCATGGCCAGTCCATGTGACGATTGAGACATCTGCACCACACCACACCACACCACACCACACCACACCACACCACACCACACCACACCACACCACATCACATTCGACTCACCTCCGTACTGGCTGTCGCCGGCAATGACGGCTGGGCGAATGATCGTCGCAGGTACTCCCCTCGATCGTGCCTTGTTGACCAGCTGCTCAGAGACCCACTTGGTCTGGCCATACCCGCCAGAGATGTTCCAGGCCGAGTAGATCTTCTCCTCGAGCGGCTTGTCTGCCTTCTTGGCCATCGGGATCGTGCCGATGGTCGAGATGTAGTGCAGCGGCTTCAGGTGGTGGGTTGTGGCCAGTCTCAGGGCCGTCGCCGTGCCGAGGACGTTGGGTCCCCTGAGTCTGTCATAGTCAAACAGCCAGTGGACCTCGGCGCCATTGTGGACAATCATGTCGGTCTCCTCGCTGATCTCCTTCCATCGCTCGTCCGAGAGTCCCCACTTGTCCTGCGACAGGTTGCCGCACAGTCCAACGAGTCGAGACTTGAGGTTGTGGTCAAGGAAGGCTCTCTGGCTCGGATCGAGGACCAACTTCTGAGCCGTGTTGATGATGCGGTCGATGGCGGCCTGCTCGGTCGGGGCTCGGACCAGGCAGTTGATCTTGGCCCGAGGGAACTTGTGTGCCAGCTCAAAGACCAGGAAGGCACCGAGGAAGCCAGTGGCACCGGTCAGGACGATGCCGCGAGGGTCCTTGGGATAGACAAACGGAGGGAGACCCTCGGCCGTCACACTCGCATCGTCGAGCTTGGCGGCCTCAGCAGCCAGATCAACTGTCGGCGGAATCATCGGTCTGTCGTCGAGGATGTCGACAACCAACTGGGCGACATCAGTCGGTGTCATTCCGTTCGACAGCAAGATCAGCGGCGAGATCTCGACATTGAACTCGTCCTTGATGGCGAGGGCCAGACGGCCGACACTCAGCGAGTCAAAGCCGACGCCGCCGATGTAGTAGTTGCGGCCGTCGAGGGCGGGGTTGTCGATGATCTGGCTTCCAAGTGTGGAGATCTTGGCGGCAGTGCGGGACAGGGGAGTGTTGGCGAGTTTCAAACGAGGGTACTCGACCGACTTGCCGAACTGATCGACATTCTCGGCGATGCGCCTGAGCTTCTTGAGGTCGCGCTTGCCCGAGTCGTTGAAGGGGAACTCGTCGAGCTCGAAGCAGTTGTGGATCGGGAACTTGGCGACGTTCGTCAGCGCAAACATGTCCTCGGTCAGCTGCAGAAGCTCGGCAGGAGTGGGGTTGACCTGAGAGCCGCTTCTGCGGACAAAGAGCATCACGATCTTCTTCTCGGAGGTCTGGATGAAGGCACAGTCCGAGATGACCTTGGACATGTTTTCGTTGGCCAGCTCCTCGAGGGCGTTGAGGTCGACATAGACGCCGTTGACCTTGATCTTCTGGTCGAATCTGGAGTGATGGTGTGGAGTGAGGGAGTGGATGGCGTGAGTATCCGGGATACAGGAGTGGGATATGTCCTCAGGGTACCGGATGTGCACTCGCCATCAATGAGAGATGCAACACCCAGCCATTGACTCACCTTCCAACCACAGTGAACTGGTTCTCGCCAACCATCTCGACCCAGTCCATGGTGCAGACACGGGGCGAGCCATCCTCAAGGAAGCCGAAGGGTGAGAGTTTGTTGCCGGGATCGGCGTTGGCAAAGTTGGGGTGGTTCTTGATGGGATGGTCCTTGTCGACGGCAAAGACCAGGATTCCTTCCTTGGTTTGGTGTTGGTCGACAATGTTGCCTTCCTCGTCAAAGAGGAGACAGTGCACACCGGGTTTGACGAGCTTGTAGACCAGCTTATCAGGAACATCGCTGTTGGCTGGAAGGAATGCCACTGAGAGAGCACCCACAAGCAGCGACTGATGATCGAGATGGAGTGAGAAACAGCCTTTGTTCCGGAAAGTCATGTCAACCCAGATTTGGCTCTGCACTTACCTCACTGGATGCATAAGCAAGCTGAAGTTCAGCATTGGGGAAAACCTGACTCGCACTCTGGACAACACTTGACGGAACGAGCTCGGAGCCGAGGCCGATGATTTTGGCGGCCGCCCACTCCACATCCGAGCGACCGGACTGGGCCATGCTGATGATCATCTTCATGAACGAGGGAGTCTGACCGATGAGAGTGACAGCACAATATCGTTCGTCAGCATCCATATCGTGAACGACTCCTCCGAGGCAGGTTGACAGCTTACCAGGTAGAGGTACCACACGCCATCATCCAGTGTCCGTATGATACTCTTGACCTTGTCGACAGTGTTGTGTGTTGGCTCAGGCATCCATAACGAGCCCTTCAGATTGAGCGTGCCGAGCAGCAAGGTCATTGTTGCCACAAACGATGGCGTCTGACGGCCACAGCGATATCATTGGTTACAAGGCCGAGTGTCGAGCCATCTGGGCTGCAAAGGTCGGCCATCTCACCTGACAGATCCCAGTCCTGATTCCGGCAAGACGGATGGAATTTCGAATTGCGATTCCTCCGGTGTGCGAGAACTTGAAGCTGCATCGATGGATGCGAAACCCAAATGGGATCAGGTCGGGTGCTGAGGCTCCTCCACTGGGATCCAGAGGCGAGAGTTCAAACATTGCAATATGTGATCAACCGTCTCAGGAAGACTCACGACTTGGGGATGCCTGTGGGATCGGCCCCGAGACAAGATGGATCAGCGTCACGGATCGGAAATGCGTCGTCGACACAACATCATCCTCAGCCTTCCTGCTGTGACATCCACTCAGCCTGGCAGGTGTACCTGTTGTTCCGGAGGTGCATTGGATGGTCACAAACTCATCAAGCGGCCCACAGACATCGAGAGACGGGGACGGAATGCTGTCCAGCACCGGGAAGGTGGCGGCATCGATCAGCGTCACACCCTCGGTGCGGCCGGGTTTGGTGTGGTGGTGGAGAATGTACTTGATCGCATGTCTGTCAGTTGGTGGTGAAGCGAGTGTCAGATCGGGATCGGGCATAGCTGGCCCGATTCAAACCTCGGACCAGCCTGCTCATCCTCACGACAACAGGACAGGGACATGCCTCTCGCACAGGGCCTTGCGGGCTGCAGGAGGCAGGTTGAGGGCAAAGTTGAGTGTTTTCCTGGATGGCAACAAGAGACAGGTGAGACTCGACCCTTGTCATGGAACGGAGCAAGGGTTGGACATGTGATGTGGGTTGTGAATATCGCCTCGAACAAGCGACAACATCACAACATCACAACATCACAACATCACAACATCCCACCAGACCAGCGACACTCACTTGCCCAGCATCCACACGGCGAGCGAGTCGATCACCCAGCTGGCTTCGGCCTCGCAGAAGGTGCCGATGACCTCGTGGCCGTCGTCGTCCCAGCCGGGAAGAGCCTTGAGAGCCTGGGCGACCGAGTACGCCTGCTTCCACACACGGAGATAGCAGAGTCGCTCCGAGGCGCCGCTCTCGTAGGTGTTGATCAGGAGGGAATCGGGTTCGTCGCGGGCAGTGTTGACGAGACACTCGACGGGATGGAGCCAGGGGCCAAAGGGATCGGGCGGAGAAGGGAAGGTTGGCTGCTGGGAGACAGGGGTCTGCGACGAGACATCTCGGTCGCTGGATGGGACGGCGAGTCCCCCAAAGCAACAAGAGATTGCTCTGAGCATGGCGGGGTTGGGTGAGGGAGTCAAGAGACGTTTGGTTCCAAAGACGTGCAGATGAGGTCCAGAGAGTGAGGGAGAGCCAAAGGGCGAAAGCAGAGGGAAGGGAAAGCCGAAAGGAAAGGACAGACGCTTTCCCCCTGTCGGGTTGGCAAGCCAGGAGACGGCCTTGGTGTGGCCGTTCTGCCAGATTGCATCGTGAGTGCTGTTGTGTTCACTGGGCTGCTGAGTCTGCCGATGTGACTCTGTGCTTGGGCGGTGGATCTGGCTGGTTGTCTCCTCGATGCTGTGCTGTTGCCCTGCTCGGCAAGCCTGCTGTTCCAGCACTCGGCTGTTGGACAGTTCACTCAAGCTGACATCGTCAGGCCCGCTGATGAGTGGTTTCTTTGGTGAGCAGCTCTGATTGTGGATATCGTGTCTTGTTCTGTCGAACCACCTCGATGCTCTGTCGGTCGGCGCACCCGCATTCATGCTTCTCCATCAACTGCATTGCGATGGTAAGCTTCTGGACCGTTGTGGAGTGCAGTGTGGGAGCTGCCGATACCGACATTGGCCTTGCATCTCGTCCTGCCATCTCAGGAATCGCATCTTGCAGAACGATGGTGAGGGCCACCATGATCTTGCACTCGGGGTGTGGTTTGGGGTTGTGGATAGCGTTGCTGCTCGCCCAGGCTTCATTCGACTCCCCTCATCCGAGACAGCAGAACGGATGACATCAGGTTTGGAGAAGACGAGTGTCTGGCAAATGAATACGGGACGACTGCCAACTCTGGTTCACCCGCATCTCGCAAGTTCTTCAACCTCTGCCAGCTGGAATCGGACCGAGACTGGTTGTGCAGATATCTCATGGCTGTGTGTCTGTTTCATGGATTCGGGACCATCGAGGACCACAGCAGGTAGGCAAGCTGCTGGACCTGCTCAGTTTCGATCGCACTCCCCCTCGCAGTCGCACCCCTCCCGCACTTGGATCACTTGTTGCTCATGTACCCGCTCCCCGCACTGCCTTCCGAGCATTCGCACTTGGTGCACACCCTGCACCAGCACCCACCCCCACACTCAGTGTAGTTCCGCCCTTGCAGTCTCCCCCTGCTCCCTCATCACAGCGTAGTATAGTGCCAGCACTTGCCACTCCACCACCTCGACCTCCCCTCGATCCTGCTGTTCCCTTGTGGGAACTGCTTGAAAATGTGTTCACCCGCTTGGTCTCTGACCTTGTGGGCAGCTGAGGCAGCACTAGGCTGCAACAGGAGTAAATAGGCTTGCCTGTGTACTCAACGTGCCGGGGGTACCAACCTATTTGATCTGATGGCTTGTCTTCTTGAATAAAGTTGACTATAGTAACAAATATAATCGACCATCTTCAACGCTGGCCGCGAGATGGATGGAGGGTAGGGTCATCTGATCACGGCGACCCTGGTGGGTGAATGATCAATTGCTCGCCAATGCGAGAGAGTATTCGAGAGGCTGGTTGGCTCTGTCGACGATGATGGAGTGGTCAAGCCCTGCTGGCGATACGATGCGATGTGGTGCGACGGCCCGCGCCATGTATGTGGTTGGAAGGGGGGAGGTTTATGTGCCGAGAGGAACTGATCTGGTCGTGGGTCATGTCGGATCGAGAGAAGATGGTCTTGGTGTCGGGGAAGGCTGGTGGCTGGTGGCTTGCTGCCTGCTTTCTTCCGAACGATGAGGCGAGGGATGGTCTGGGTCGTGCTCATCATCTATGGCTGCAGAGCGGGTATCGATGAGTGAATGTTGATAATGGCGTTTTCGAGTCATTCGATGGTTCTGTAAATCAATATGAGCAACGGATGTGGGACAGCACTCTTGTATATTGGATGTATTGAATGTATTGGGTGTATTGGTTGCCAAATACAACATCACTCGGCCATTGCCACAACATCGGAATCACTTTGCGAGCTCACTCTTTGGTATCGCGCTGTCTGGGGTGGGTGTTGGTGCAGTTTGCTCGGCTGCTCTGGCCATAGGCTCGGTGATGATGATATGGCAGTTGGGAATGACAATCGATAATCAGGGCCACTTGCCGAGATACTTGAGGGTGGTGATGGCATCTCTGTTTCCCTGGTCGGCGGACTGTTGCCACCAAAAGATGGCAGAATCAATGTCCTTGGGAACGCCGTCACCTTCATTGCGACACCAACCAACCCAACACTGTCCGTACCGATTTCCCTGTTCAGCCGACTTGCTGAACCACTCGAATGCCTTCCTTTTGTCCTTGGCAACCCCGCGCCCATAGTAGTAGCATCGACCAACCCTCCACTGTCCATATGAGTTGTCTTGTTTGGTCGACTTGCTGTACCACTCAAACGCCCTCACCAAGTCCCGAGATACTCCATCGCCGTAATCGTAACTCATTCCGATCCACACCTGGCTGTCACTATGGCCGTCGTTGGCGAGTTGCTCGAAGGTTCTCGCTGCTCTCGTCTGGTCCTGGGTGGTTCCGAATCCATGAAACAGACACACAGCCATCAAGTGGCTGCAGAGCCAGTCTCGATCAGATCCCGACTGGCACAGTTCGAAGAACTTGTGGGCTGTGGGTGATTCCGACTTGACATTGTTCCACCACTTGACAAGGCACTCGTCCTCCCCGAGCTTGAAGTCATCCGACTGGTTGTCGCGGATGGTCTTGATTCCATTCTGTTTGTCGAGGGGTGTGCCCCGGCCAAGATAGTGCATCCACCCGACCATGTGGGTGGCGATGGGCTTGAGAACCGGGTCGGTGGACTTGCTGCTGACTTCCTGCCAGAACCAAAGGGCGCGGCGGTCGTTCTTGACCATTCCTTCGCCCAGGAATGCGACCCAGGCCATCTGGAAGGACGCTTCGAGGTTGCCCCGTTCGGCGGCGGCCTTGAACAACTGAGCGGCGAGCTTCCACTCATTATGGTCGATCGGGAGACCCTCTGAGACCAACTTGGCAGCATCGAAACAAGCAGAGGGATCACCTTGCTTGGCGCGAGAGACGAGTGAGTCAGGGAGGCGAGTGGCTGAGGAGTAGATGCCATCAAACTTGAACTTGGCAGAACGACTGGACCTGGACGAGCAGCAACTGTCCCTGTTGAGAGTGGCCGAGTCGCTGGCATGAAGGTCGACCGAAGAGGCCTCGATGGTGGAGAGAGGGGGAGGGACAGGGACTTCAGGGTCCGTGGGAACGAAGGCTTGGCTTGCCATATTGGAGCGATACGATGGACAGCGTCGAGTTCAAGTGAGAAGAGATAGGCGACAACGGTGAATGTCGATACCACTTGATGGTGCTCGCTTGGGTCGGAGAAAGCCCTTTTCTCGGAGTGATGAGCGAAAACGGGCGGATACTCGTTTGGATGACGCAACATCACAGGGCGTTTCGGAGGATTGGGTCGGCTGGGGTCGTTGTTGATCTTCCAATCATACACAAGATGCTTTGATTGAGCCCATTGGGCAACATCTCGAATCAATATGCCGTGGCCTTGAAGTGGCTCGAATGAGCCAACCGCTACTGTATTCAGGGGGAAACGGGACACGCTCACCATCCCACATGCCAGCGTAGTATGCGATGGCATGCATAAAGCTCAGCCATAAGAAACGGAACAGATCACTTTGGCAGCCTCCGAGTGAAGACCTCCAGTCGCTCTCCGGTCACCACAATCGACCTGCACACAGTGATCATGCTGTTCTTGGACACATTGAAGATGGTGGCGACCTTGGTACTCTGCGGAGCAGCGAGTAGCATCGCAGTGCAGCGATGCGGAAATCGATGGTACTGCGTTTGGTCGTGACAAGCGATGAGTGGGTGGGTATTCAGGTTCCAGAAATAACATCAGTCCTGTCTCAAAACGAGTGTCCTATTTAGTTTTGAAACGCTCAAGAGATCCTCCCAGTTTGGGTAGTTGTTGAGAATGGCATCGACTGCCTCGTTGACGACAGGGCCTTTGCAGGGCGGCGCTGGTTCATGTCGTCACCGGGCCGCCACATCATCAGCGGGTTGTTCTCGGATGGCAGGGTGCAGTCCGTGATCTGGTCGTTGATGTTGAGGACGGTCTGGGATGCGGCGGCAGAGGATGTGAGTCGGGCGGTCTGCGAGACGTTGTGCTGCTCTTCTTCGTTGGCCTGGTCCATGTTGTAGACCCGCAGGTACATTCCGCAGATCAGCATCAGGACCATCACGCCCACACAGCCATAGCCCAGGTTTCGGTTGTAGGTCGCCAGGAACAGGCCGGCATACATAGGCGACAAACCTGGTGATCGAGTTGCGCTTCTCTTCCAGGTTGAACTCGGCGCGCGGCACAAACTCGTCGGCTCTCGTCAGGAGTATCGCGGGATCAAAGATCCAGAATGGGTCATGGAGTCGCTTGGCCATCCCTGTGGGGAGTGCAAATCAGGTCTGCGACGAGCGAGCGTTGGGGTGGTGGAATGCGTTGATGCATCTTGTTGGCGCTGCGTCTGGAGTTCTGTGTGGATTTTCTGTGCTGGATGAATCAAACAGAGAGGTGCTGGACTTTTCCTCTTTCCCCTCCATCTCGCAGCCCACATCCAAGCAAGCCATGCCCAAGCGAGCCAGCACGCAGCCCCCTGCTCCCCGAGGCACCAAGCGTCTCAAGCGCACGATCAGCTACGTCGATGGGTTCGACTGCTCTGAGGTTTCCATGAGCGATCTCGTGGCCACCCAGCCCAACATCGACCAACTGGCAGAAATCGTGAACGCCTGTGTCATGGAAGGAGACCTGCTCTGGATTCTCGAGCCCCGCGAAATCATCAGGCTCATGCGCACCTGTCGCTACATGTTCTGCTTCCTGGCAAGCTTCAAGACCATCGCCTTTCGCAGATGGATGGCCAAGAACGGACTGGCTGTGCTCCCCTCGTCTTCCACGACACACACCCTTGGCATTGTAGGGAAGCCATTCGAGATTGGTCTCTTTGACTTTGAGGTCAAGAAGGTGCTCACCCACCTGTTTCCCCAAAAGCCACCTGCCCACGAAAACGCACGCTGGCTTCAAACCAGGATCCAGAAGCAAGAAAGCCCCGAGCTCCGCCTGCTTGCCAGGAGCGTCGCTGCTCGCATCAAGCAGTCCAAGGATCGCGATGTTCGTATCGAGATCCAAGAACTCGCTCGTGAAGGCGACGCCTTTGCGTCGCTCACCATGGCGCACGCCAGTATGGGATATGGGAATGGCGATATCAACAAGGCACCAGTAGTCGAGCTTGTTCGCCTCGTTGAGGACAAGGGGTGCATCGCTGCATCTGACTTGATCATCAAGAACAACTTGGACATCCACAGCCACTTTCCAGCATACCACACCACCTACATTGGTCCCGATGTCACTGGCGACTTCTATGCACATGCTCTTACCATCAAGAAGAGCAAACGTCGCTACACTGCCTCTGATCGACTGCGATATCACTACTTTATGCGGAGAGCTGCTACAAATGGCGATTCCAGGGCACTCCTCGATCTCGCCCAGATGTACATGCATGCGAAACTTGCCCCCCACGCCACGAGATTCCTCGTATCTATCGTGTCCTTCGAAGGTCTCGACCCCTTTGTGGTCTATGACTGCGGGATGTATCTGTTGGACCTAGGAAAGAACATGCAAACCACAGTTCGTTTCTTTGATTCGGTCCAAAATGGACATCTCTTGGTGAAGCTTGGAGTCACATTCTTCAATCCGAACAACAAACGACGAAATCCCATTCTCGCCCTCTACTGGTTCAAGAAGGCCCTCGATTTGGGATGCCAAGAATCCGAGGCACACATCCGGAGGCTTCAGAGCCATCCAGTATACTTTGATGTGACTGGTTCTGGCCAAGCAAGAAAATGGTTCAGTACCATTCAGTCAGTGTGTCCAAGACCAATGCGCAGAGCGATCGCTCACATGCTCCAGACCACGTTCATTGTCTCGCCCCTTGTGTCGATTGCGATTGATGGAGAGGCAGGCTCTCGCCACAACAAGAGTGAGTACGAATATTGGCTCGACGCCAAGAACGCCAGTAATCCGTCAGTCCGACAACGACAGGAGGGACTCATGCTCCTGGCTCAAGCCACCAAGAAGGACCCTCAAAAGCATGGTGTTGAATTCGAGCAAGAGTACAAAGCCATCATCCAGAATATGGTCTCAATGGGCGACGATGATGCCCTGATGGCAACCCCGTTGTTCGACACTGGAATGTCATTGTACTCCAAGCCCATTTGCAGGCACCGGCTGGCGTACATGATGTTCAGGATGGCAGATCGGCTCGGAGATCCAAGAGCACATGAGATGGTCGAGGTCTGTGAGAGAAAGTGGAAAGATGCTGTTCGCGACCTTTTGTGAGAAGCCCTCTTCCACCACACTATGCCTATTCCTTCATTCTTTTGATTCGATAGTTGACAGAGTGGTTTCTCCATCCATCACCGAGGGGGCAGGTTCGCGGGGAAGCGGTGTGTCTTGAACTTGATGCCGTTGTACTTGCCGCTCAAGAGGAAACGACGAGGATGAGCCCACCATGAATTGGGGCAGAATATCCTCGTCGTCCAGGCCAGTACCTGTTCAAAACGTGCGTTGATTCTGGCTGTTTTTTCCTTGGGCAAGGGTAAGAACGGGCCAGCATCGACAACAACCCTGTCTGCCATGAGCGATGAAAAATACATATCCATCCACAAGCTCACCAAGCAGTTCGGCCTCGTCCCATCCACCCTGTCCAAGTGGGCCGATGCTGGGAAAGTGCGATACATCCACCCCAACGAGAATGGACACAGACTCTACAACGTGCGGGACATTGAGCGAGTCTTCTGCCTCACCCAGCCCATCACAACCAGGATCGTCGTCTACTATGCCAGAGTCAGTTCATCCCACCAGCGAGCAGACCTCGAGCGACTCCAAGTCTGGAAACGAGAGCGAGAGCCATACATGGCTGCCCGCAAGGCTCTCCAGAAGCAGTATCCCAAGCAGTGGAAGAATCGCCTTGGCGAGATCCTGGTTCCAGAGCCACCGAAACCCCATCCACCCAAGAAGAAGAAGGCAGTCCCCCTGGAGCACCTGAGACAGCGCGTCGGTGTCCTGTCTTGCTACGACAAGGACCACTGGATCCGCCAGACTGGTGTCGCTGCCGATTTCATCGATGAAGCAGTCCGAGACATTGTCAAGAACTGGTTCTCGAACCAGCAGCGATACCTGTCCCAGCAAGCCCAAGGCAACAACCCCAGTCCATTCGACATGCATTTCTCGAGCAAGAAACGGGCCAAACAAGAGTCCTGTGTCCTGCTCAAGAAGCACTGGGGCAAGATCGTCAAGGAGGACAGCTTCTGGAACAGACTCAATCCCTTCAAGCTCAATGTCGAGGGCCGAGTCGAGCGAGGCAAGCAACTCACTCTCCCCCTGGCCCATGACACCCGCCTGATCAAGACACGCACCAACAAGGTCTACATTGTCGTCGCCGAGCCACTACCCAAGAGGAGCGAAAGCCAAGCTCCTCAGGGTGATCTCGGGGTTGTCTCTGTCGATCCTGGTGTGCGCGATTTCATCACCACCTTTGACCCCTCTGGGCTGGTCACAGCCTGGAGTCCCAATGTCAGTGTATACTCCAAGATCAATCAAGATCAATGACCTCAAGCGAAGTGTTGGCAACTATTCCTGTTTCGACGGGCACTCTCATATCCACACCAGGCGTAGCACGTGTGGATATCGCTGAGTTTCATCCGGCCCTGCTTCTTTTTTTTTTTTTGTTTCAATAGCGCACTTTTATTTGTGCGCCTGCCCTCAGCATCACTGATACTCGGCAAAGTGTCGTTCTGGAAGGTGGCTATACGCCTCCTCCCCTGGGCTATCTTCTATGGATAGGTGCTGCCCACCCAGCCAGGTCTTTTGTCAGCTTCACGAAGATTTGTGAGATCGTACCCCACAGGGCTTCTACCTCTGGGTCAAATCTCACGAAGCGCGCCATCCTCTCACTTCTGTCGTATCCAACATGGCTGAGGAGGTCGAGGATCTTGTCTATCGGCCCCACGCTGTCGTGGGTCGGTTCCTCCCACTCTGGGTGTTGGTCTTTGTACTCTTGGACCACCTCGTGGAGGCTCCCGTTTGGGTCCGCACATTCCTGAGCATGTGTTCTGTCGAGGATCACCGGGTCATTTGGGTCTGTCGTGCACTGCTTGCAGTGCCTCCTCCCGCCTTTCGGGTGGCCAGGGAAGCTTCCGAGTCTCCATCGGGCCGCGATGCAGTGCAGCCATCGGTCCATTTTGGATTTCTTGGCAGCCCACAGGCCCGACATGGTCGTCAGAGGCGAGCAGGCCGCCGTCAGCTCCTTCTTCCGGTCGAAACTGCGGGCGTCTTCGAGGTGCATCACCATTTTCAGAGCTGGGCCGGGTTCTTGAACCGTTCCTTCTGCAAAGAGCCACCCCATTGTTCCCAGGGGACGCCGGGTCTTGACTTGTTCGAGGCGCTTCCAGTAGTCGTCCTCGTAGATGGTTGCTCCCAGGAATATGGACTTGCGTTCTGGGTCCGCGCGGGTGAATCGGAGCACCAGCGAGACCATCTTGTCGTCTTGGTCTTTCCGGTCCTCCCAGACAGCCCGGTATTGAATCGCCAGCTGTTTGAGGCGGCCCGACATTGATATGAGCCCGCAGTTGATGTGCATGGCTCCCCACGATGTGTTTCGGACCACTTTGAACAGCGCCGTGAGGCAGTGCATCTGGGTTCGGTTGAGCGTCTTGGCTTGTTTGGCTTCGAGCCGATCGAGGGACAGGGCATACTCCATCGTCGGTCGGACAAAGGTCTTGTAGACCCGCACCAGCGATCTGGCGGTCATGTTGCCGAGGGTGTATCCTTGCTTTGCGGTCCGTTGAGCCACTACTTGGGCTGTCGCCGTCATCCTCTGGATCTGTCGGTCCATCCGGAGGCCGTTGACGTCGAAGGTGGCTCCGAGGTACTTGAACTCCTTTGCCATGGGCAGCGGCTGGCCGTAGAGTCGGAGGCCGGTTGCTCGTTCAGGATTGCCCTCGGAGAAGATCACTTCGCATTTGGGCGGCGAGAACTTGTATCTGTTGTCGATACTGTGCTGTTCGCAGATGCCGAGCAATCTCTGTGCTTGCCTGGGCCTGCAGATCAGTGCGCCGTCGTCGGCAAACCACAGCGAGTTGATCTGGATGTTGATGCCGCGGGTGGTCGTCAGGGTCGTTCCTCCCTCTCTCCTCAAGAGTTTCGGGAGGTCGTCAATGAAGGCGCTGAAGAGCAGAGGGCTCAGGACCGAGCCTTGGATCAGTCCCTTCTGCAGCCACACGGGGTTGGAGCGGCGGCCTTTGCTGGCCACTTGAATGTGCACCCGGTCAAACATGACCTTCAGGAACTCAATCAGGTTTGTGGCTTCCATGCGTCCCTCGATCTTGGCCCACATCTTCTCTCGCCATACACTGTCGTAGGCAGCCTTGATATCCAGGAAGACGAGGGCGTATTCTTCTCCGGCCACGTTGCGGTCCTTGATCAGGCAGTCCAGTGCATAGATCTGGTCCAGGGTTCCGCGCTTGGATCGGAAACCGCCTTGTGCAATACCCATCGGTCTGAAGGCGTCCGTCAGGTATGGTAGCAGTGCCCGCTCGAGGATTTTGCGGCACACCTGCGTGAGGCCTATCGGCCGGTACATCGCTGGGTCTAGCTGTGATCCCTTGTTCTTGTATACCGGGTGGATCAGGACGGTGCTCCATTCGGTGGGGATGATCGAGGCCTTGATTGCGGCTCGGCTGATGTCGCAGAGCCACTCCGCGACTACCGTCGCTACTGGGTGAAGCAATTCGCTCTTGATCCTATCGGAACCCGATGCCTTCCGTCGCGGGGCTGCTTTGATGGCGTCCTTGATGGTCTTGGTGTTGATGGCCGCAAGGTAGCTGATATCCGGCAAGTGTCTCCGTGCTTGGCTTTGGGGTGCTGGCGCCGAGGTGCGGTCGTATTCCTCGTCGGTGTCGTTCGTGGCTGCCGACACCTTGCCAAAGTGAGTTACCAGCTGCTCGAGGGCCTCGTCGGAGTTGTCGAACTTGTGGGCGCCTCGCCTCTCCTGCCGGGTCTGTCGGGCACTGATGGCCTTTGACATCTCCGAACTGTTCATGTGATTGATCTCCTTCATGAACAGGCTCCAGCTTTCGCGTTTGCAGCTGCGGGTCTTCTGGCGGATCTCTCTTCGGACCTCGCGCAGCCCGATTCTGGTGGTGTTTTCCTCCAGCTCCGTGAGCCATCGGCGTTTCAGTCGTCTGCATAACCACCGGCGTCTCTTGTCGAGTGCGTTCAGGCTCTTGATGAGTGTGGGCGACTTCCAGATCCTCTTTGGGGCCGATCTGCCGATGACGGTGTCGGCGATGGTGTATATCGTCGAGGTAAATATGCCCCAGGCTTTGTCGATTGCCTCTTGGGCCTCTGTCTCGCTGATTGGGACTTGCGAGCCAGCCGAGATCGGCGCCAGGGCTGCCCCGATTTCTTGTGTTGTGGGGTGTCGGGCCTGGTCGAAAGCCGCTTGGTATTCAGCCCTGGTCGCTGGGTCTTCGAGCTTCCTCAGTCTCCACTGGGGTGCGGCTTCTTTGGGGTAGGCGCCGCCTTGGAGGGGTAGGGTCGTCCAGATGATGCGGTGGTCCGATCCCTCATACACACCGTATTCCAGGGTATGTGTCTGGGATGGATATAAGGGTTCGAACTGCCAGACTCCACGATGTCGGTGTCCAAACTGCTTTCTTGCCAACAATCTCCGGCAGAAGTGGAAGCACCGCCGAACCAAGGGCAGAACTCTCGCCGCCACATGGCTCACACCCACGATGACAACGATGATGATGTCCCCAGAAGATGTACGGGTCGGTCGAAATGTAGTCGGTAGAGCCAGAAAACGCCATGCTGAGCAATGCATTATCTTGCGTATAAGTCAATAATAACGTTTGCAGCAATCACCACGACGCTCATTCCATCTGACTCAAGACGAGCCCTGCATCAGAATCGCCCAGTTCGTCTACTCCGGCAAGCAGTAGTCCAAGACTGCGTTTTATGGCGGGGCTCTCATCTCACTTCCATCGACCATCGACCCAGTTCCGCTTCCATCTCCATGGCCTCGAACACAGGCGATCCTCCGGTCGGCACGCTCAATTGGAAGATGGGTCTTGTTTGTCACGACTCATGCTCTGTAGCAGATGGATGACGGGCAAACAGGCACCGGCTGCGATGTGTTGAGCTTTGGGAGCATTCTCGGTCGATGGTGCGACATGGCTGACAGTCGACAGCTTACCGGCAATCCAATAAAAAACGGGACACCCGGGTTTTTGACCATTCATCGAATATTTTGTTACCCAATGCTATCGCGCGCTGGCCATGACCATTCGCCACACATCCGACTTTCGCACCGCCGCATTGCGATGCTACGATCTCATCCATAGCTTGCGTAAGGTCGCCTCCATATTCAGTGTATCCAAGAGCACCATCCATCGATGGCACCGAGGATGCAAGCTGGATGACCCATCCCGGGTCCCAGCTCGCAGATCCACTTTCTTCGAGCAGGCATGTCCAGTCATTCGCACCCTGATTGAACAGGACCCGTTCCAGACTGGTCCTGTGTTGCGATGCAAGCTCGAGTCCATCCTCCAGAGGAAAGTATCACTCTCACTCTGCCACACTGCCATCCACCGAGCAGGTCTCTCACACAAGAGGGCAACACACCTCTACAAGTCCAAGCGACTGGATGAGCGAGTGGCACAGTTCAGGGACCAGGTCCGCTCCATCGACCCACGACGATTCGTTTTTGTCGATGAGACGGGGATCAGGAAATCCATTTTCCCTCTCTACGGATACTCACCGAAGGGTGCTTCGCTTCGCTAGCGCAATCACATGAAACACAAGTCTGTCTCGGCTGCATTTGCCATCAACCACTCTGGTGTGCTGCATCGCATGTACATCCCCACATCATTCAAGACACACTCGATGGTCGAGTTCTTTGAGCGAGCGACCTTCCCAGACGACTCTGTGATTGTGATGGACAATGTCAGCATGCACAAGACAATGCCTGTCCTGGACTGCATCGATCGCCGAGGATGGTCAGTGATCTTCACCCCACCTGCTTCACCCGACTTCAATCCCATCGAGAACTTCTTTGGGATTGTGAAGCGTCAGTACAGGAAGGCGGCAGCGCTGAATGCGTCCGAGGGGTTCAGAGTCGGGATGGTGACCCTGTTTGAGTCTGCCGTTCGGAGGGTGCTTCCAGATGTCTTCCCACGGCTGATTGAGCGAGCGATGCGCTTCTGGGTGTGAATCACGTCAACTCCGCCATTTTCGCGTTCACATCCCTGGCTTGAACCTCTCGGCGATTTTTGAACAGGGTCACTTCCCAACCAGCCCGCGCAGACGGGCTCCTGCTCTCGGGTATAAATGCCACACCTTCGTCCTGCTGCTTTCTTCCCTCATCTCGCCTTGATCGGATCATCGCGCTATTGTACGATAAAGAGAAGTCTCTGCTCTGACCAGTACCACTGGCAGGCATCCAGCACCCTCTGTCCCCATGCCTCCGAAGCGCAAGGGTGCCGGTGATGGCCAGCCTCGGCCACCCAGGCCCAAGAAAGCCAAGTCACAGTCGGAGCCTGTCTCTGGTTCGTATTCTGACCCCGCGCATGCTTGGTCGTCTGTTGCTCCGTCGCTCACCACCACTGCTTCTGCAGATCCAATGGATGTCGATCCCACCGAGCCTGGTCCATCTACTTCCTCGAGTACCGGCAAGCGATGTCGCCAGTGCGATGGCACCGATCACGAACGTTGCAACACCAGCAAATGTCCCAAATACCGGCCCCTCAAGAGTTCTGTCGTCCCTCTCGTGGATGGAAGGCCATCCGCCCCTCAGTTCAGCTGCTTCAAGCAGACGATGGATGGCTGTTGTCTCAATCCCGCTCTCCGCGACAAGATCCAGGCCACCGTCGAGGCCATGACCCAGATCCAGTTCGAGGCATCCAGGCTGCTCAACCTGCACATCCTCCGGTGCATCGAGCAGGATCTTCCCGTCCCCGTCATCTCCAAGTCCACCCCTGCTTTCATCCGCCAATGCTTCAAGATTGTCGAGGCCGGTGCCCTCTCGCCGACCGGGGACAACGAGAAATACAACGAGCATCTGGTCGCTTCCTTTCGCGACTACCAGACCACTCGGCACGCAGACCTGCCTCCGGCCCCTCGTCTGCCTGATGGTGCTCACAGTCAGCTTCTCACCCTGGCTGTCAATGCCTATGCCACCAACTGCACCACCCACCTCGACCTGGCCTACTGGCGACTCCTTCGCCGCTTCTGCGCTGCCGTCTTCCCAGCCAACAAGCATAAGCACGAAGCCATCGAGGCCTGTCTCGAGCTCTTCGAGAAACCAGGGCAGACTCCACCCAAGGCCGATCTCGAGTTCCTCTATCCAGACTTTGGCCACGTCCTGGACGAGTTTCGGTACAGCAGCGACCAGGACCGCTTCCGGGCCCTCCATCGCCTCTCACACCATGTGAGAATCCTCGCCCGAGACAAGATGGTCGACAATGTCCACAAGTGGATCGACTGTGACATGCCCGCCCTCCGAGTCACCGAGCTGCAGCGCCAGGCCAAGCTGGACGAGCTCACTACCCAAGGCATTCCCTCCGACGACAAGAGGTTCACCACGGCCAAGTCGGAGCTCGGCACCACCAAGGCCAAGATCAACCAGCTGGCATCCAGGCTCAAGTGGGCACTCAAGCAACTCGCCGTCGACACTCCTCCGGCCGTGTGCACGATGGTCCCTCTCTGTACTGCAAGGGCCAAGTATGTCAAGATCGACACGGTCACTCTTTGGCAACTCCTGGGTCCAAAGAAGCGCCTTGGACTCACCCGGGACAAGCTCAAGGATGAAGGTGAGGACGGTGTCAACAACCAGGATCGTCTCTGGCGCAGTTGCTTCAAGCTGCGTCGTTCCCTCTTCCAAGAGCGGGACGTGAACAAGAAGCTGTTCAACTACGAGATCAGCACCGATGGCATTGGATGCACCATCGGCCTCGTCAAGTTTGTGCCTCGAACCGATCACACCGAGACCATCGAGCCTCCTCCGACTGCCGAGCAGCGTATCCAGGCCCACATCGGTGACCCAGACCCCGATCGCACCACTTGGATTGGCATCGATCCTGGAGTCGGCTCCATCTTCACGGCGGTCATCCAAGCACCGGGCCACCAAGACGAGGTGGTCTCATTCTCGAATGGCCACTACCAGCACATGTGTGGCCATACGTCCAACACCAAGTGGCACAATATCATGAAGTATCGACTCAGCATCGAGACCTGGATGTCGACCACCCCCTCGCCCAAGGTGTCGTCCTCGGAGGCTTTCAAGGTCCATCTCACCCATGTCCTGCGACCGGAGCTGCGAGTGCAGCTCGACTTCCACCTTGGCAAGAAGGCCCGTCACCATCGCTTCACGGGCCACAGGAGACGCCAAGTGGCCGTCGACAGGATGTGCAAGGCCGTCCTGAAGCACGCCCCGATACGGACCGATGTGGTGATCGCCTTTGGCAATGCCTCATGGCGGCAAGGCAAGGGCTATGCATCCAGCCCTCGGAGGCAGCGATTTGCTCAGTACTTTGAGCAGTTCGAGCACCACCGACGCCGTCCCAATCACCCTCACGGAAGCATCAAGGTGGCCTCGACGAACGAGTTCAACACCTCGCAAGTGTGCTCCAAGTGCCTGGAGCCAGTTCGGTTGGAAGGACTCGATGCGCCCAGTGTTGCGAATTCCCACTTTGTCAGGAGCTGCAAGAATCCCAGCTGCCGGACAGTGTGGAATCGCGACGTCAATGCGGCGCGCAACATGATCATAGTATGCAGGTCGATTGTGGAGATCGGAGAGCGACCGGCGGTCTTCACTCGGAGGCTGCCAAAGTGATCTGTTTTATTTCTTGTGGCTTTGCTTGACGCAAGCACAGCACATACTACATGTTCATGGAAACGGCTATATTGTCCCGTTTTTTCTGAATAAAGTGTACCGGCGCCTGTCCACAAACGCTGCCCAATGGTCCCAGCCACCGGCCAGAATCTTGACATCCCGTTCGATCACCCGATCCCACGACCCGCGCTGCATTTTGAGACTATCAAACAGGTCCAGCGGAGCATCGCCGTCCGAGTGGTTCCTTTCGGGCGTCCACACATAGACCCCTCCTTCCGTGGTTCGGCAGTGGAGGCTGTTGGGACCCAATACAATGTTCCGGGCTCGAGCGTTGTTCGGCAACTCGATGCCTAAACGCCATAGTTGGTGTCTAGTTTCGTTCCTTGAGCCCAGATCGCTTGCCCAAGGCAATTCAAGGAGGTGGATGGATCCCGAATCTGCAGGCGCATCATTTTGTCCATCGAATTCGGGAGAAAGAGATCCAATGCGTTAGCAAGCGTTGCTGTGATTGGCATTTGGCTGATGACTAACCACTGCAGCGCAGCAGTCCAAATGCCTGTGACTCAATGTCGGACGAGCCCCGACGGTCCAGAGGCAAGGTCGTCCACTGACCCTCGAGAATGACGACAAAGCCTGGGCACGGGCAAATATCGGTCAGCGAGTGGTAGATATGGGTCCGGGGGGGGATCAAAATAAATGATATGGTGTCGCTCGACTGTCTCACGGCACAGAGTTGTCGGGTCGCTGGTGCGGCTCATCTGCAGTGCGTTTCCAAGAACTCTCATTCAGCCATCGGGTCCTACTCACCGGGTCCAAGAGCGAGATCGGCTACAGTTATCTCGACAGGGACTTGCAGGATAGGTTCGAACGGATAAACTGTTTTGAGGAGGGGCACTTCCCAGGAGGGAGGATAGTCTGGCAGCTTTTTAAAGGTCTTGTGCTCGGGCAGGACCCTGTCCTGCTCGCCAGGAGCGCCCTTGAGCCATCCGAGCCACCCGGCTTTCGTCTCCAGAGTCGTCTTGCGGGGCTGCTCTCTCTTGCCCAGTCCAAATACAGAAAGTGTCCGGATTCGAGTGCCGTCGTCTAATCGCGTCGAAAGCACCGCAAAGCTCTCGTAGCCACAAACAGCTTTCTCGGTAAACGATCCGAGACTGGCCTGCACCACGACGGGCGAAAGGGCCTTGAGCAGCTCGCCAGTATGGCTCCTCAGGTAACCCCAGACGTAGACTTCGTTCTCGGTCGGAATGGGCGCATGTGTTGTTGTCTCCGACTTGGTTTCGGCCCGGGCAACGGCGAGCGAGTAGTTGGCATTGGCACCAATGGCCACGACCTCACGTCGGATATCCTGAAAGTAGCGCACGGGCTGCGGATTGGCATCGTAGACCTCGTCATTATGACCTGGATGATGAGAACGATCAGCGACCCGGTTTACCATTTGACGGGCTGAAGACAAATGGCCGGCAAGTCGTGTCCAAACTCACCCAGCAGACCAGCGCCCCAGGTGTACACCTTGCCGCCGCCCGACTCTGAGCCTGGCGGCTGTTCCTCGCGGGGTGCTGTTAGCGCTAGGCTGTGGAAGTCGCCAGATGCAATCTCGGCGACCCTAAAGTCCTCGAGTCCGTAGATCGGCGTAGGGTTGAGAACCTGGTCACCCTCCTCATCTTCGACAAAGAATCCGGTCGGCTCCGAAACGTGCCCTGCCTGCGAGTAAAAGTTGCAGCCCCTGGGATGAAGGGTTGGACGGACATTTGACGGCTTGTGAGTACACACCCGGGTTGGAGCCGAACGTGAGATTTGGCCGCAACAGGAACCATCGAGGAACTGGCGCAGATCTTGAGTACCTACCAAGCATGAACAGTCTGCGGTTGCGGCGAGTCCACGATCGCCACGGTGTGCATCGCCTGTCCGTCCGTTTGTCGATAAAAGCTGTCAGTCGAGCACCCGTCGTTGGCAGACGCAACAGATGCAACAGATCATGGACAAGCCCAGATGTTGCTGCGGAATGTGCCATACCCCACAAGCGAGTGCCCGCACTGGAGCCCGATGGAAAGCGTTGTCCCGAGTTAGTCGCTCGTTTGATCGCTGTCCAAGACCGTCATGCCAGATCGCCCTTGACTCCGTCATCAAAGCCAAGCCCAAAGCACACCATTCATGTCGACTGACCAGATACATCGTTCAGCCTCGGGATGACGGTGGTTCTTGACTTTGAAGCCGTGGTACCGTGACCGAGCTTCCCTTCTCTGCGGTTGTGATGGTGGCAAAGGAACGGCCAAGGTCAGCCCGTGTCGAGCCGACTCAGATGCTGGGGGATGCGCAGGATGAAGAGATTGCATCGTCACGGCATTTGAAATAGAAGCAGCCACGCTCATGCGCACTGCATTTGCGCACAGAGGCTGCCGGAATTGTTACGCACTTGCCGGATCCCCAGGAGAGCGTAAAGGTGCTGTGATGGGCCCATGGATCGTAGCTGTCGACATCGAGGGTGTTTGCATCGCCGGGCTTGGAGGCTCGCTTCCCAAATGCTCTCGCCGGCACCCGCAGCAAGGCAGAGCGGAGCAAGAGTGTGGCCTTCTGAGTGGGTCTCGCCAGCATCGGTGCGATCTGTGCCTTGCTGCAATCGAATGGAGTGGGCGTTTCCGATGGGGAGTGCTGCAACCGATGCTGGATGGCCAGCCCCAGCACGCCCAAACCAGAGAAACCAATTGCCAGGAGGATTGTTGCACCAACTTTTTTTTTCTTCTGTCCTTGGCCCGCCGACTGATGCTGTTGGATCGCTGGGTGCGCTGATGCAGCCGGGCTTGATTCGCAATCTGCCTTCTCCAATCGCCTCTCTGGTCGAGCCCTCGCCAGCCCTCGCCATGCAAGACTGCACCCACAGCACCGACAGCCCTGATGCGCCGCAATGGAACATGTCGCAGACCTTCTTCCTGACCACCCACAACCACAGCCTCAAGCTTGCTGCTCATCCGAAGCGGGGCCGAGGCGTCTATGCCACCAAGACCATCCCCGCCAACACCCTCGTCGACATCTCGCCCATCCTTTTCTTCACACCGGAAGAGTACCAGGCGCACGGGCGACACACCATCCTGGACCACTACACCTACAAGTGGCAGAATGGCTCCATGGCCCTGGCGCTCGGCCTCGGATCGCTCTTCAATCACTCGTCGCGGTGTCAGAACGTTGGATTCATCCGTGACTTTGAGCATTCGTGCATCAAATACTACACCCTGAGGGACATTCAGCCGGAGCAGGAGCTGTTCATATCATATGGCGACCATCTGTGGTTCGACGACGGCGGCAGCGATGGCCAAGACCGGAACCGAGACCAGAGCGACCAGGTCAACGATGGCGCTAGATCCGACGAAGAGACGGCGGAATCGTTCCTCTCCTCTTTTGAGTGATTCTCCTGGAAGCACCCAAGCCAGACAGCCATCCGACTGGACAGAGCCGACTGGATAGAACAGAAGCAGAAGCAAGTCGATCTGCTCCTGCAGGTCAAGCGGTGCCGCCAGATCAATGGTTCATGAGGCTGCAAGGCGCTCGGAAGGTCGCCGCCTCTCCCATCTGCGGAATAGTCGATGCAACACCAAACGATACGGGCTAGCTGCAGTTCAGCACAAGAGTTTCGAATCCTTTTTGAACGCTCCGATCGAGCCAGCCGAGTTCGTCAAACTGACGGCATCACAGGATTGCTTGTTGACTCCCCGACGAGTCTCAGCTTGTCGTCTTCGCCTTCGGCAGTGGCTCATCGTGTCGGAAAGTTCAATGCAGCTCGAAGGGCAGGCTCCATCCCCGAAACAATGCGCCGATTGCTGCGGCAGTATCCTGGGAGGGTGATTCATACGGAGCAATATAGAGCCATGTGCCGACAGATCGAAAATCCATCTTCACTATCGCAGCGCTGTTTCAGTCGCAGGCTGCATTGCACCTTCATTCCGTGGGTATATTATTTGCGTTCATTCGAGACCGATTATCCCTTCAGTCTTTCAACATATGTCATCCACTGCCCACACAAATGCTTTAGCCCCAGCTTGCGTCCGGGGTCTTGCTCACTGGCAAGAGCCTCGAGGAGGCAGCCGAGGCCAGTAGTGTAGGAGGCGATGGCTGCGATCGAATCATATCGATACTCACACTCGAGTCCTTCCAAAAGCGATCGATTTGCTAAATTGATCGTGGCGCCGACTGTGGGCCCGAAGCCGGTGCTCTGGATGGGGAAAGGCAGCGATATGCAGTGGAACTCGGGTGTCCAAAGTAAACCCGAGCGCTCGAGTTGGGCATGTGCTTGCTTGCACTCTTGGATCCAAGTCGGAGGTGATGCGGTGCGGAGGGACATGTCTTGCTCCAGGTACCGAACATGTTCTGCGCGACTGATGAGCGCAGCAGCTCTCCGTCGCAGCATATGGAGTTCGGCGTGCCTGTAGCTGGAGGGAGGTTTCATGCTCAAGAACTCTGAGGGAGAAGCTGGAGGGCAAAGTCCATTGCAGTACTCGATCCACGACAGGATGTGGGCGGCCGCTTCAGTGTATTCGCGGGCCAGGCTTCTGGCCTCTCGTAGAGTGAGCTTACTGTCGGCCCAGCGCCGCTCCAGCTTTAGGGCATTGTCGAGGGCTCTGTTCGATAGCGCAAGTGATCCGAGATGTGGAATATGGTCGAGGTCGATGTACGGATGCGCGACCAGCTCGCCGATGCTGATGCGCTGGGAGGGTGCCCGAGTCAGCAAGGACGAGACCAGCAAGCGGCAGTCTTGAGTGGTTGATGGGATTGCAGACGAGGCCGGGAGAGACAGCGAAGGCGGCTCAGAGCGCAAGAGCTCCTGCATGAGCCCGCTCTCCGATTGGCAATCTGAAAATGGGGCAGCGCCTGCCAGCATCTCTGGTTGCATCGAGTTGGGTGTATCAGTAAGCGGCGCGATCTGACCGGACCTGGAAAGCAGCCACAGAGAGTTCTCACCATAGAGGATGGCCCCGATCGACCACAGATCGCAGCGTTGGTCGTAGGTCTCGTGCGCCAGGACCTCTGGAGCCATGTATCTGCGGCCGAGTTCAGCACAGCGGAGTGGGATCCGCATGAGATTCAACACGAGATTCAACACGAGATTCAGCATGAGAATCGGGGTGCAGATGTCTGTTGTCCAAGTGAAAGGGTATGGCTTGCTGACGAGCTGTTTGCCATATCATCAGGTGTATCCCAGGTGCCGACACAGCAAGACCAATGGCACGACCAATAGCAAGTGACAAGTAGTATGCATCGTAGATACCTCAACGAGCCGACTCTGTCGGTAAACTCGTGTGCCTCTTGGGTGATTTCATCGGCAATTCCAAAGTCGGCAATCTTGAGGATCACGTATCCGTGGGCATCGTCTTGTGCAAGCAGAAGAGTGTCGGGAGTATCGTTCTCCGAGAGCGGGACGGTGCGCGTGAGAAGCAGGTTGGCCGCTGGATCGAAACCCATTGCAGTGGGGTCAGTAGCTCGCAACAGCAAAGGACAGGCATGAGAGGCGAAGCATCAGAGGAAGCGCATGGTGTTGACCACAGAACATACGTTTGAGGTCCCGATGGATAAAGTTGTTTCTCCATATAAAGTCCATGCCTGGCAAGCGATTGAGCGAGCGATCGATCGTCAGCACAGGCAAATGGCCAACGTTTGTTATGGCATGAGAGAGAGGATAGGAGCGACTTTGCATCATGCCTACCGCACACAATCTGCCTGAGAAGGAGACGGGCATCGATCTCGGCAAGCTTGCGCCGCCTCAGCAGCAGGGATTGGAGGGAGCCCAGCGGACAGTATTCCATCAATATGAACACATAGACGGGGTTCCACTGGATGGGTCCAGACGGGAGGCCGCATGGGCGATCAGCCGCATGAACAGTGAGGCAGCAACGACGATGGCATTTCAAGGCGGCATGCTGCCCCGACCAGCTGCGAAGAGCATGGAGGGGAGGGATAGACGCTGGATCAAGAGCGGCGCACCTCCAGATCGATGAAGCGGACGACGTTGCGGTGGTGGAGACGCTTGAGGATCTCAATCTCCTTGAGCAGCCTCTCCTGGCGGGCCGGCAGAGCCAGCAGTGACGCCCGCGGAATGGCCTTGGCGGCAACAAGCCCGGACGAAACAGCCAGGGCCCTGGACGACGGCCGGGGCTTGGTGCGGAAGCGGTAGACCCTGCCAAAGGAGCCCTGGCCCAGCTTCTGGAGCGGCAGGTCCGGGACGCACGAGGGAGGGACGAGATCAAGGGCGGACTGGTCGCGGCTGGTCATTCTGCGGGGCGGGAGTCAGGATCGACCATGATGCGACTTGCGTATTTGGGTTGTTGGGTTGTTGGGTTGTTGGTTGTTGGGTTGTTGGGTTATGGTGTGTGTGTGTGTGCTGATGTGTGTGTGTGTGTGGCTCGAGTGGGATCCAGCCAGCGAGAAGATGCTCTCGGTCGACGAGGCCGGAGCGAGAGGCTGGAGCGAGAGGCTGGAACGGGGGTCGCACAAGGGTTTGCAGCCAGGGTTGCAGTGATGGTCGCACAGGGGTTGCATCCAGGGTCACACAGCAACAGCAACAGCAACAGCAACAGCAACCGCCACAGCAACCGCCACAGTGTCTGCTGGCTGCAACCGCCACTCGAACCGCCGCTCGCCACCACGCCTCCCGTTCTCCCCAAACCCCCTTCGTCGCTCTTCCGCCAAATGCGCTGCAGAATGGATCGCAGATCCACGCTCCCGTCTCTTCGCTCTCTGCAGGCCTGGCCCTGATCCCACTGCCTCCCTCCCACCTGCCTACCGCTCTTCTGCATCGCCGCTGGCTGGCCTCTACCCCCCATCGGCCTCCTCGGCATCGGTCTACTCTCCGACCTGTCTGTCGCTCCTGCCGGCCCAATCACGGCCCGTGCTCCTCCTTTGTCTCGCCAGCGTCCGCAAATCCAGCTTCGTATTTCTCGCTGGCTATCCAGGACAACCTGCCGCTTCCTGTCTGTTTCGTCTCGAAGCCGCTTCCCTCTCCGGGCCCCCTGGACTCCAGTACACGTCAGTGTCCTCGCATGTCGATCCCCGCCGATCGGCCCAATGTCCTTCTCTGGCTGCATGGGAATCATCGCCTCAACCGCCACAGATCTTGTTGCTCCCAAAGCATCCAACACACTCGCCCTCTCCGCCTCCTCTATCCTTCCTGGCTCCTTATCCACGGCTGCCCGATCGTCTCTCTTGTCTTGAGTCTGCTCTCTCGCTCACCCTCACGTCGTCCTCAATCCTTCCCCACATCCATCCGTCTCGTTTGCTACCTGGGGCCTTCCTTCGTCCTCGCGCCTGGCTCGCAAACGCATGCTCTAACTTGCCCGCTCTCGTGCCGCTTTCCTCCAACAGCATCCTTGGCTTGGCACACTGCACCTCTCCCGGTTTCCGCTCCTCTCTGCTAGCGAATGAACCAAGGACAGTTTTCCCTCCCTCCTCCGCCCAGTTCGCACTCCACAGTGGTCGACAATAACCCCAGCATGGCCGGCAACCCTCTGCTCATGAATGGCTCAGGGCTCGCGATCGGTGCAATGTCCTCCGCCGACGCCATGGCCTTTCTTCCACAACAACAGCAACAGCTACAGCAGTTTCAACAGCAGCAGCAGCAGCAACAGCAACAGCAGCAGCAACACCAGCAGCCGCAGAGCATGCTCCAGCAATTTAATGCCAACCAGATCTCGCAACAGCACTTCCAACAGCAACAACAGCAACAACAGCAACAACAGCAACAGCAGCAACAGCAGCAACAACAGCAGCAATTTCATTCTCAGCAGCTATCTGCTCTGCATCCCTCTCAGCTACAGCAGATTCGTATGTTGCAGCAGCAGCATCAGCATGAAAAGAGTCAGCATCAGTTGAGCCTCCAACAGCTGCAGCACCGTCACATACAGCAGATGTACCAACAGCGTCCACAAATCCACCAACAAGTTGCCCAACTTCAGCCGCAGCACCTTCAGCAACATCTCCAACAGCCGCAGCTTCAACAGCTCCAACAACAACAGCAACCCCAGCAGCAACCCCAGCAGCAGCCTCAGCAGCAGCTTCAGCCCCAACAACCAAATCAACCCTTCAAGCCACAAAAACTCTTGCACGACGACCCCGCTCATGCTGCCGACACTCCCTCCGACCCATCTATAAAGCTGCTCGATCCGGCGCTCCTCAGTGCCCAGCCTACGGCTATGGCCGAAGCCGATGCCCACGACCCAAACCTTGGGAGGAACCCAATGCCGACGCCCGCAACGTCGTCGGCTGTCGGGTTGCCGTCCTCGATTGCTGCGCCGGGTGCTTCGTTGCAGGCCACTAATCCCTCGCCAATCCCGCTGCCAAATGGCTTGATGGTTCAGACGGTCCTCGCTCAGTCGGCGCTGGGTCAGCCCGGCCACCAAGCCGTTCTTGGTATCGCCGGCAACCCTTTGATCGGCCATCCTGTCGGTGCCGCTGCCACCGCGCAATCTACCTTCTTTTCCCCAGAGCCGGACACCGGCCTGGGCCGGATCGCCTTTTCCGATGAACACATGAAATTGTATGTACCGTGGCCGATAGTGATCTTGAGATGCCGTGCCAGCCACTGTATGCTCACTTGCTTCAGTCGCTCCTTGCCGCAGTTGCTGGGGCACTCCTTGATTGAGCTGGCCCGCCGTGTCTGCCTTTGCCGCTGTCCGATTCAATATCGACGCCACTCGGACCGTTCTCGATGCTGTCCGGACCATGCTAACGCCCTCGGGTCATCACTGCTTGTGCTTGCTGCCAACCATCCTCCAACTGTGCTTCCATCCACCTCTGTCTGTCTCCAAAAAATTACGCAGCCTGAATGCTTCAATCTACGACTATCTGGCCAAGCACAAATGCCCCCGTTCTGCTACTCTCCTTGCTGAGGAGTCCAACATACCGGCCGAACTCATTACCGGGCAGAATCCTTTCGTCGACCAACTCCCGGAGCTGTGGGCAATCTACTACGAGTTGCGCAAGTCCGGAATCATCCATACCCCTCTTGAGCTGGCCGGCCTGATTTCAGAGGTACGCACTCGTCTGCTTGAAGAACGTGTGGGCTTGCCTGAACCCCCGCTGTTGCATCGTCCCCGTAGGACTCTTTCTTCGTGACTCTGCCGTCCTCACTCGCCCTTGAAACTGGTCATATTGTCCTCATTTGCTGGTGGCCAGGTTCGAGCGTCACTCCAAGGTCGAAACTTTCTTGTCCGTCAGCGGAATGCCATGGCACTGCGGCAGAGGCAACAGCAACAACAACAACAACAACAACAACCGCAACATCAACAGCAGCAGCAGCAACAGCAGCAACAGCATCCTTCGCCGCTCGCGTTGTCCGCACAAATGCTTCAGCAGGTCCAACTTTCCCAGCAAGCCTCGCCGCAGCCGCTGAACCAACAGCTACAATCGCAGTTGCAGTCCCCGGCCCCGACTCATCAGCAGCTACATCTCCCACAAGGCGTCGTCAACGTAAATCCTGTCCAGCCGGGAGTGTTCCCATATGTCAATCCGGTGGCTGTACCGATGGTACCCGGAGATCGCACCGGTGCTCGCATGGTCCCTGGAGGCGGCCCTAATCCCATACTGGGCGGAACGCCTCCGATCGTGGGTGCATCTGGCATCGCTGTCTCTCGCCCCGGTACGCCTGGAGGTACGTGCTCGCCGTCTGCCATTCGTTAGACTGATTGCTGCGTGTGCCGATCCACCACGTCAGCCCCACTATGTCACATCTATGTCATATCTCACCGCTTATGTCAAATACCCCTCGTTCTCTCGTTAATATCGGTCCCTCCCTTCCCACCTCCTTTACAGCCAATGCAGCGGAGTTGTCCGCCTTCGCCTCTGCTGCCGCCAATTCCATGAACCAGGGTCTGAGGGCAGCGGCGTTGGCCCAGCACGCCGCGGGAGCACAGGGTCCTGTGGCCCATATGTCCATGGCCGAGGCAATGGGGATGCGCCGTGATGACATCATACAGAGCATGAACGAGCTGGGCCTGTCCAATATGCGGGTCGAGGATCTCAGCAGCGAGCAGAAAGCTCGGATCGTCCACCACTTTAACGAAAAGAACGGACACGGAAGGTACTTCCCTCCTGCACCACCTTCGCTTCATCCGCTTACCGCGCAGCCTCGCCTCCTGCATGGTCTCCTCGCTTTCCTTTGCTGATCTCTAGCGTCGTTGTTCAGAGGGGCCCTGGTACGAAGCAACTCCCAGCCGATCCCTGGCGCCATTCAGCCTGATGCAGCGCATCCTCAAGGCCAGATTCGGGTATGGACACAGCCGTCGACTGCACCTAATGCGATCGCCCGACCTGCTCGTTGAGCCCGCAGCGGCATTTTGTAGCCCTTGCCGCCATCGTCTCCAACCTGCGCACCCTAATCATCACATTATCTTTGCGCCTGCTGTTGGAATCCTCAACTACCCTCCCACAGCATGCTGGTGACGCAGTTGTTGCAGACAACCGGATGTCGGCGACGCCTATGAGTCAGCAAAACGCTCTGGCTGGCAACATGCCGGCGGAGAAGCGTCAGAGGAACAACAGTATTGGGAGCTTCAGTCCATCCCCAAGCGTCGTCCCTGGACGGCAAAGTCCCATTGTCACGAGCGCTCAGCGTACGTTGCGCACATGTCCGCGATGATCTGCTTGCGGCTCTGCTCCGAGTCAGAGCTGGCTACTGATACCGCGTGCACCTGTCTGTATTCTGGATCCAGTAGTTCAAGGCATCGGTATCCGTCAGAGTCCGATTGTTCCAAATGGTACACCCGTTATCCGTAGCTTTGCATCGCTTTGATTCTTGATGTCGACTTGATAGAGCACCTGTCCTAATGCTGATCCACTCTGTTCACAGCCATGCTCGAGGGATCCAACGTCAATGCGGCCGTGATGATGAACTCGTCGCCGCTCGTGAGCCAGCAGCAGCTCATGGGTGGGATTGCCGCTCCTGGACAGCCGCTCATGGCCCATGTGAAAGGCAACCCTGCCTTTGCGATGCACGCCCAACGCCAGCCTCCCGTGAACTATCTCCAGCAGAAAGTGCAGCTGCAGCAACAGATGGGCATGCCTGGCATGGGCGCAGTGCCTGCTGGGCAGCCGCCATCGATGCGAAGGGCTCCGAGTGAGGTACGTGCTCTAGACTCATCGCGGGCGCGGGTGTCGCTTTGGCCGGTAAAATGGCCGCATGCTCGGTCAAGTCTCAATCGCCGAATCGGTTGGGCAATGTCGCTGACCGGTTCGCCTGCTTCGCGTTGGCCAGACCATCCAGTCCGACGGTATGAGGCGAGCCGTGGCCGCCCAGATGGACAGTGCCCAGCCAACGGTAATGCAAAACGTGATGGGCACGCAGCCATCGTCCCCCGTCGTTGACCCGTCGTCGCTACAGTCCTCGCAGCAGTCCACGCCGCAAATGCCTTCGTCTGTTCTCAAATCGTCGTTCTCCAATCAGCGCACCTTTTCGATTCCCCCTCAGTCTCCCCAGTCCCATTCGTCGTCGCTGCCGACGTCGCAACCGGCAACGCCGCAACAACTGGGCGGCGCCGCTGGCTTTGGTCTGGCCCGTGCAAATCTTGACGGCAGCGTCCACGCTATGGGTCAGAATGCCGCAGCAGTGAGCGCTCTCAACATGAGCCGAGCCGTATCCTCGCCGCCTGTCCACCCGTCCAGCCTGCACGGCGCACCAAGTTCACAGCCTCCGTCGTTACTGTCTCAGTCGTCCCTGCCGGGCTCGGTCTCTATGATGTCTATGAAGAAGGATCCTGGCAGCGCCGAAGACTCGGCCGAGAGCTCCTCCACCAGCGATTTATTGTCGGTCTTTACGGCGAATGTCAAGTCTGAGATTGGCGATGGCTCGCTCGGAACACAAGGTGATATCTTTGGCTTTTTGCGATGCACTTGGCCTTGCCCTCCCACTCGTCCGTGGCTTCCTCGATATCGCCGTATTTGCTCATCCGCGTCTCTCGATTGCATCGTCTCTGCAGATATTTCTGGCGGTTCAAATGCAAACAAGGCCATGGACATGATGGTCGACTCTAAATTCCCTCAGCCGGGCCTGCCTTCGCTCGCCGAATCAACAAAGGACATCCAGAAGAAGGCCCAGGACGAAATGAATCGTCTCCGGCTCTACCCCAACCCGGTGAGTTGACATGCGCGACATGTCTGTCCGTGTAATCACACTCTCACCGAGCCACGAAAAACTGTCTTGGTGTGCCGATCGCACAATCGCGCTGCCCTCGCTCTCTCCGCCCGTGCGCTATCGTGCTGCCTCACCACGATAGATCGTGTCGATTCGGCTCAGCTGCTCACAAGACCCTTTGACTCATCTCCCCACCTTCCTCGCTCCAGACTGCCCCGATGTCTGCGGGCTCTATCACAAGCCCTCCCGTGGCACCCCGAACAGGCTCTACAGACAACCTGGCTGGCCACATGTCCCTGAAGCGCAAGGCAGGCACCGAGGAGCCGACCACACCAACCCTCACCGAGCCCGGTATCAAATCTGGACAGGCGCTGCCTGGGCGCCAGAACACTTCGCCGTCAGAACAGACGCCCAACGAGTGTATCATGGCCGCCCAGCAGCACAGCGCTACCCAGCAAAATCGGCTGCGCGAGATGCTCGCCTCTCCCAACACCACCAACAGCGCCCTCGGCATGGTTGTCCACGGCCCTGCTAACATGATGGCCCAGGGCAACCCATCGCTGGCAGGGCCGGTGAGGCCGCCAATGGTGATTGGCAACCCCATGGGCGTGCCGATGCCGGGCATGGTGCCCCCTCCCGGAAGCTATGTCCGCCCCGGCATCGCAGGCATGATGAACGCAACGGCGCCGGCAACGCCCGGCAACGTGATTCACATGATTCCCGGTGCTCGTCCTATGATTGTTCGTGGCCCGGCGAACGGCCCGCAGTATGCCATCGGCCGCGGCATGGCCATGGCGATGCCAGGTGCCGTCAGCAGCCCCGAGATCCAGCGCATGGTGGCCATGGGCCAGCCTGGGATGCAGCCTCGGTTTCGACCCGCAATGATGATGCGGCCCCCGCCTGGCGGCTCACATATGCCCGGTGTAGCCGGTCCACAGCGGCCGCCACAGCAGCCTTCTATGCGCCTCCCTCCCGGAATGATCGTCAACAGTGCCGCGCGGCCCATGCCTGTTCCACCGACACATCCGTCCGCGGTCGGACATGATACCTCTTCGCCGCAGCTCACTGCCGCCCAGCTCGCGAATCGGCAGTCTGGCGCTGCCGACACCCCACCCCAGCCAAGCCAGGCACCGTCGGAAAACAGCACCGGTGCCAACACCCCCACATCCAGCACCGATGCTGCGGCGGTAAGTCGTGTGATGGGCCTTGCATTGCATGCGCACAGAGCATCGCGCTTCCTCCCTCCCAGCGGCATGCTTGGTGATTTGCGAGAACTCTGGCGGGGCGAAGGCAATTCAGTATTGACTCGGAGCTCGGCGCACTTGGTGTACAACCGTTGGCAATGTATGGCTCATTGACAACGTCACTGATTCCTTCTTCTCTCCTCCAGCCACCGCCGCCACCTGCATCAAAACCACAAAAGCTAACGAAGCGGCAGCAGCAGCAACAGCAAAAGCAACTGCTGCAGCAACAAAAGCAGCAGCAACTGGAACAACAGCAGCAACTGGACCAGCAGAAGCACAAGCAGCAGCTCGAGCAGCAGCCGTTGGAACAGTTGGAGCCGCAGCCGCAAGAACCGTTGGAGCCGTTAGAGTCGCGCCAAAATTCAGCGCTGCCGAATTCGCAGGATCCCCTGCTCTCCAATCCGACAAACGAGCCGCACGAAGATATGCTGGATCCCACATCCCAGAATGTCGGCGAATCTGGCGGCGATCCCATGGACGGATCGCTTTCCGGGGACCGCGGACTGGACTTGGGCTTGACCGATACAGGCATGCTGGATGACAACATTTTTGGAGACTGGAACGGCAACGGCATCAACGACTTTCTTTCGTCTGTCTTTGACAGCAACGGCCCGGCCGACCTTGAAGGTCTGAACGATGATGGTGTTGGCGGCAACTTTGGGTTCTGAGGCGCAATTCCGTGCGGAGGCGGCAAGCTCCTGGGACAAGTTCTGGGGGGGGGGAAGCAATGACGGAGCGGAAATCTGGGGCACCTGGCCCTAACCATTTTTTCCCTCCCTGTGATGGGCTCTGTTCTTTGTTACTACTATTATCATCCTTGTAATTATTATTGGCTTTTGACTTTTGACTTGGCTTTTGGCTTTGGCTTTGGATTTGGATTTGGGTTTGAATTTGGATTTGAACTTGGATTTGGATTTGGATTCTGGCTTTTGGTTTCGCTCGGCTCAAAGACCAGTGACGCAGTAGTCGACGGACGGACGATGATCGATGCGCGGTGACTCCAAAACCAAATCAAGCCGAGCCACAACAAAAGCGAATGCCCCACCCCTCTGTTCATCAGCAGCTATGATTGCTCTCATCCTTTACTGCCTCCTCCCTCCATAACCACCACCTTCGCTCGACAGCAACTAGTATAACATCCTTCCCCGCGCCTATCCCATTCATCTCGGACCCTATTCTTACTGCTCACTGGCAGCCGCTCCCTGTTCTTTATTTGGTACTCGTTACTCTTCCATCCCCCCCCCCTTCCTTCCTACTTCCTTTGCCTTCTTCCTTTCTTTCTTTCTCTCTCTATTTTTTTGGACTGCGAAGACCAAACTCTCGGACACGTATATTGACACAAATACCATAAACGACACCAATACAAGTTTGAGCGATACTTTGCTGCCACCAGGGCCGAGGAGCGAACTTGGGTCCTGAGGGCCAGCCGAGTTGCTCAGGAGGGCTTTCATAACGAGAGTGCAACCAAGAGCAGCCAGAGGATCAGAGTCAGCTCGCAATTTTAATATACATGCACGTATCCGTCCGTCTGGTTCATCGTTCGCCGACTGAGGGAAGGATGACTTGGCTGTTGCTCTCGTGAAAGAAGCGGTCAAAAGCAGATACAAAATACAATTCTCCCAAAAGTAGGCGGGGGACACTCCGACATCGCGCTTGAGATATCCTGTAGTCGCGCCAGATCACAGCGCCGTTGTTGACAGAGTCGTCCGAGTGAAATGGCCTCTGATCCGCAACCGCGCGAGCAACGACAGCAGCAAAAAAGGTGTTTATTACAGTTTGGCTTGCCAAAATGGAGTGGAAAGGAAGGAAAGAGAATGACGGTGGCGGTGGTCTCAGACCCCGAGAAGTGAAAGAAAGGCAGAGTGCAAGAATGTCATCGGCAGCACCGAGAACTCAGTAAGACGAGGACTTGGGTTTGCAGCGGTAGCGCTTGTTGCCTCCGGACATGTTGTTGTTGTTGGAGTTGGAGAGCATGTTGGCCGAGGCGACAAAGTTCACAGCAACGGGGTCGACAACCTGCCAGGGGATCGGGGTTTGGGCCGGGGTGTTACCGGTGCCGGCGACGGCAGCATAGACCATGTACGGTCCGGGCTCGGAAGAATCCGTGGGCAGCGGCGTCCACACAAACTGGGTCGAGCCGAGGATCTTGGGCTGCGGGTTGGAGTGGGTCAGGGTCGAGGCATCGTCGCCAACAAAGCCCAGGTTCTTGCAGATCTCGGTCTGGGCGTGGAAGTTGGTCTGATCAAACTGGGTAAAGTGGCCGAGGTGGTGGGTCAGGTTGGCGCCGGCGACGTACAGCAGGATGCCCTGGAAGTTCATGCTGCTGTTCTGGACGTTGCTGATGGTGATGGTGATGCTCATGTCGCCGGCGTTCTGGGGAGAGACATTTAGCCGGAAGCCAAAGTCTTGCGGCTGGAAGTTATGGCCGTTGGCGATGGCAGTGGCATTGATTCCACAGCGACTGTGACCATACGAGACAGAGGCAACGCAATTAGTGCTTTGGGGAGGGGCAGAGGTCTCGAGGGAGGTGACAGCACCTATGGCGACGATAGCAGCACAAGTCTGGGCGAGACTTACGGGGCGCCGGTGGGCAGAGCGTAAACGGCCGTGGAGAAGGCGGCGATGAAGAAGGCAAGCAGGACGGATCGCATGTTGGCGGGGCTGTCAAGTGCAAGGCGTGCTTTGATCGGAGAGAGACGAGCGAGGTCGATATGCAGCAGGCAAGTGCGAGCGAGAACGGATAGTGATCAACAGACTGCGGCGGCGAGTTGCACGATAGGAGGGTCCCCAAATCGATCGATCGAATGCGACGCTGCGATGAAGCCGGACTGGTCCAGTGGGGAGATGGGGAGGGGAAGGGACTTTGGGCTATATATGCCGTGCGGCGCCATGGCGGCCTCGTTTCTCACGGCCGGCGCAGGGCTTTGCTTGGCTGGCGCATGGGTTGTGCTGCGGTGGGAGCAATCAGCAACTTGGTCGGTGTGCGGTTGCCCAGAGCCGCCGCTTGTTTGTTGTTGGGCTGGGCTGCATTTGGATTGAACAGAGCCATCGACTCAAGTTGATTCACCTCCATTCAATGCTATTCAATTCAATGCTATTCAATTCAATGCCATACTATTCAATGCTATTCAACCGTCTGGCTCGGCCCGCTGGTGCCGCATTCTCCCACTGGGCCCTGTGTGGCGCGACAGCGGCGGGCCGTGCGCCAAGGGCCTCCGTGCCAGCGCCATGGCGCCGGCCGCCGTGGAGACGCGTCCAAGGCGCTCGCCTGGTCTGCAGCGGCCCAGCTCCCAAGACCGGCTTGGAAGGGGCGGGTGATGTCATGCCCGACAAACAATCCCGAGAATCGCCTCCCTCCCCCCACGGCGGCATGATGGCGGGCGGATGCTGTTGCGCGAGGGCGAATATGCGTGTATGTGAGTAGGTGGGCTCACGGCCCAAAGCCACCAAGATCGCATCGCATCACATCCGTCTGTGGGCAGCGATATGCATGTCTCGGCGAGAACGCTGTGGATTGACTCGATTGCACCTTGCCTACGAACGGGACTCTCCCCCCATGATTCTACCTGATCGCGCTGCAGACCGATGTGATGAGCTCGAATGTTTAGATTATTTGTGCTGCTCGGCCACTTATTGTACAAGATGATGATGGTGCAGGAACCAGACCAGTTCCCGTCTCCATCTCTGCTCCCCCCCCCGTTCTCCGGTCTCTGTTCTCCGACGCTCTGGGGACATTGTCTGCTTGTCGCATCTTTCCCCGCATTCGTCCTTGCTCTGCTCTTTGGCTACGGAGACGCCTTTGATGTTGTCCTCCTGTCCGTCCCGCCAGGAGACGGAGTCCCAAAAACGGCAGCCACGAGCCACCGGCATCAATATGCTGCCAACTTGCGGGGGGGGGAGAAAAAGGTGGAGGAGCCGCAAAGGCCAACTAGCCGGCCTTCTCTTGCATTTTCCTTCCAGGCATCGGGTGGGTTTCCTTTGGTTTGCTTAAAAGTGCTCCTTCCGGAAGGTGAAGGTGATGTTGCCGCCGGTGGCGTTGTTGCAGGCCTGCTTCAGCGACGATGCCAGCGGCGATGGGCCACAGTAAAAGACGCCAATCTCGTGCTTGCGATCCCGCACCGAGTTGGCCGCGGCCTGGCGAACACCAGCAAAGATGCGATTCCACTCGGGGCGGCCAAAGTGGCAGCGGCTCTGCAGCTCCGTCAGGGGATCGACACCATCGGCGTCGTGCAGGACAATGTTCTGAATCTCGTCGGATGAGAGCTTGGCGGTCAGGTACACATGGATCTCCAGGAACGATGTCGGCACGGACTCCTCGAGCGACGACAGCAGCGACTGGAACCACTCAAAGGCCTCCTTGTCGCGGTTGACCCAGAAAAAGTACACCTTCTTGAGAGGCATCTGCGCCTTGCGGTAGTGGCGATACCACACCGACTTGAGCAGCGAGGCCGCGGGCGTCACGCCAATACCGGCGCCGATCAGGATGGCGGTCTCGTAGTTGTAAAAGTCCTCGGCGGGAGCTCCGTAGGGGCCGTCGACACGGATGGTCGGGAGCCGCGGCGAATCAACCTTGAGGATCGAGCCCTGGGCCGAGTAGCTCTGCAGCAGCTTGGCCGAGGCCTTGGTCCAGTCGCCGACGAGGCGGATGTGCAGCGAGACAAAGCCCTCCTCGGGGGTCGAGGTGATGGTAAAGGGATGCCATTGGTACTTGGAGACCTCGGGGATGCTCAGGAACAGGTACTGGCCCGACTTGTACTGGAACGACGGCTTCTCGAACTGGATCTCCATGGTGTTGCCGGGGTGCATGATGACCTTGCTCAGGGTCGTCTGCTGGCGGGCACGCAGCTCGCGGATGATGCGCTCGAGGATGTAGATCGAAAAGACCGGGACGGTGTAAAAGTTGGAGCCATAGCCCTTGCACTGGCCGGTGACGGTCGAGTGCACAAAGCAGCCAAAGGAGTGGTAGAACAGGAGCAGGTAGAAGGGAATGGCCAGGTGGTGGGTGAACCAGAAGGCCTCAAAGTTGCGATGGCGGACCTCGATCTTGGCCGAGGTGTAGATCAGGAACATGAACAGCAGCATGATGTGTCCGGTGGTGCCGGCCCAGGTGGTGTAGTGGACCTGCCAGTTCCTGAGATGGAGGGCATCGAAAAGCATCATCTCGACGCGGTAAAAGTTGACGTAGTGGGCGTTGGTGTGGATCAGGGTAAAGAACAGCATGGCATAGGCCGTGCACTTGTGCAGATAGACATTGTAGTCGAACGGGATGATGAAGTTGAGGGGCTTGAAGTCGCGGACGTATCGGATCAGGTTGCGGCACATGGGCAGCAAGAGCAACGCACAGTCAAAGGCCAGCACCAGACCGGCGCCACGCGAGGTGAAGACTGAGGCGCCGAGCGAGTCGAGTACGAACAACTCGGGGTCATCCTTTTGCTTGCTGGAGGCGGAAGAATGAGGCGGGTCAGGAAGATGTGAGTGGAAACTCCAGCAGCGCGGTGGTCTGATCCGGCCGAATACGACCCCTGCCGAGCTGTCGGTCGCTCTGAATGACTTTGACATCGACATGGGACTGACTGCACCCATCACGTTCGAGCGAGTACGTACATGTATCCAAAGACGAACAGACCCACATGGATCGCAGTCCAGAGGACATAAAAGATGACTCGGCGTGGTGTGATCTCTGTGGTAGGAGAGGCGGATCAGTAAACGATCGCCGAACAAACGCAAGAGCGAAAGCCCCAGGATTTCGGGATGTGGGACGCCAGGCTCGACCAAGACACTGTGTGAGACAGTCCTGATGATGCTCACCCCACAGGCCCATTGTTCTTCTGGAGAGCTCGGCAGGTGGTTGTGATTTGCAGTTGGAAGAGCTGGCTGATCGGTGGAGATTCGCAGATCGAGGCAGCCAAAGATGGAGAGAAGCGGGTTCGCAGGGCAGACACTTGACCCGCCGGCGAGGGCGAGACCGAGAGCGCTATTAAATGGCGTGTCTGTGGTCCCACCCCCGAGCAGCCCGCATGGCGACCCGCAGACCGCCAGCTCGGCGGGAGGCGGCCAGCCGCTGCGTCCCCCCTGCGCCAGAGGACAAGCCCAGTGCCCGGCTCAGCCAGGCGCGGCGCCAACGAGCCGAGAGCGCGTCGGCCGCGCCAGCCGCGCCAGCTCAAGAGGGACACCGGGGACGAAAGGCGACTCACCATGCATGCCCAGGTGGGCACGGCCTTGTCGTCGCCGCCGAAATGGGACGGCACGGTGTCGGATGGGACGAGCGTCGGTGCAGGCGTCGTCTGGGACCGGCGCAGATATCGAGCAATACGGACACGGACAGCGGCAAGCAACAGCGGGTGGGCGTGATATGACGTGAGCGAGACAAGCAGTCGCAAGGGGGGACGGGCGTCGCGGCGATGCAACCATGTCGCGTTGATGAAGGCATTTCGGCGTCGGTGGATGTTGCGCCGGATCGATATCCATGGAGATCAAGTCAGGAATGTGGGGATATTCGTCAAATCCCGTGGAGATTCGTGACGGCGGTGGGGGGGGGATGCAGCGTGCCAATCCGATCAGCTGGCATTTCGGAGTGATGCGCCGTCGGTGCGGCGGCTGAAAGTGCTGTCCATCGATGCGCATGTCGACGCTGTGGTCAGCGATTGACTGGCAACCCCCGATCGCGTCGGCCGTTGAGAGAGCCTGGACGAGTCTCGAGACACTGCGCACTCGACAAGATGTGATTGTGGATGAGGGCACAAGGAGCGGTGCGGCAGGCAGAGCATTGGCAGTACGATAACAAATGACGACCATTTCTATCTGAGTGGACTAGCGCTGAGTATATTAACGGAGCATAACACAATCGTGGAACATGAATACAATGAAAAGTAGCTGCTTTGGCACCGGCGAGCCCCCGTGCGGGGCAACAGCACCGTACCAGCACCGTACCAGCACCGTACCAGCACCGTACCAGCACCGTACCAGCACACCCACCAGTAGTGTTGCTGGCGCAAAGGTCGGTGCATGGGCGCAAAGTGTACAAAAAGGGACATGGCAGAAGGTGGGAGAGCGCGAGTTCAACGAGCGCAGAAAATCGAGAGCAAAATCGGGCTGCGTAGAAGCAGACGTTGTTTGGCAATGTGTACACCACAGGAGTACTTTGCTGTTTGGACGGCGCTTGGAGATATCCGTTGCTGGAGCCTTGCTGACAATAGGCGCATCCGTGCTGCTTGAAGAGTCCGAACTCGGCTTCTGGCGAGGCAGATTCACGACAGCGACAATGGCACCAGCAGCCAAGATCATCTACTTCCGGCCCCGGTCTTCACGAGGCGGCTCCTTGGAAAACGCAGCGATTCCGAATGTGATGGAGGTGATGAGCAGGGCCGAGGCACCCCAGATGTTGGAGAACTGGAGGATGACAAAGGCGCCGGCGAGGAGAAAGAGGATGATCTTTGGCCAAAAGTTCATGGCGGCGTTGACAGGCTTGAGAAACGGCAGCGTCTCGAGGAGGAGGAGGAGCACGCCAAAGACGATGGCAGCCACGCCGGGGATGCTGAATGGGGTGAAAAACGACGGGATCAGGCTGCGGAGGCTGTCGACCAAGGGCCAGGAGTAGAAGAGACTGTGGACACCACCATCGATGAGAACTGGGTCGGGAGCGAGAGATGGAGATGATGAGCGTGTTAGCGATGCGATCGATTCAGATCCTGCCAGCGATGCGATCGATTCGGATCCTGCCAGCGATGTCACTTACTAAACGCGGTGGTGATGGACTGGTACTTTCCCCAGACCTCGGCGGTGGACTCCCACTTTTTCTGCCTGGAGCTCATGATTTGACGGAGAGGAGGGATTGGCTGGAGAGATGCAGATCAAGTGGGATGGGATGCCGAAACGACGAGGGACTCGAAACGGACGACCCGGAAGGCGCGGGTCGGGTTATAACGTCGAGACCGGCTTTGGATGGCAATAGACAGCGACACAGCGACGGACGCGGACATGGCAAGACACCACCACGGGCTGGCGCACACGGCGCACCGACACCGAGGCCGCCATGAGGGCCGTGCGGAGTGTTTGGGCCCGAGCGGCGTTGTTGCCAGGGCTGGGTTTGCAGGGCCGTTTGGCTGGCTGTGGGATTTCTGCCGAGCAGCCACAGAGTCTGTCGACTGTACAGTGGCCCGTGGGACTGGGCCCGATTTGGCGTGGGCTGTCGCCGCGGCCGCGCCCAGCCACGTTGGCGTCGCGAGCGTTACGGCGCAGGAGACGACGGGCGCGCGCTGCGCCAAGCGCCAAGGGCGCACCGACGCGACGAGGAGTCAGCAAGACGGATGATGTCGATCGAGAAGGGCGAGAGGGCGAGAGGGCGAGCGAGAGAGAGAGACAGATCAAATGGATAGATCGATAGATGGACGCGATATGGACAGCTCGGATTGATATGCTAATGTTTGCAGATGCTGTGGATGTGGTGGATGTGGTGGATGTGGTGGATGTGATGCACTGGTGCATTCCGAAATCGCTGTCCAAACCATCGACCGAAACCGATCTGCATTCGATATCCCACCCAAACCAACACCCCAAACCAACACCCCAAATCAACACCGCAACCGGCACAGCGATCGGCGGAACCGCCCGGGCCTGCCCTTGTGCCCGCACAGCATGCGGTTGTCGTCATGCCCTGTCGTCCGTGGCTGCCGCCGCCATTTAGACCGCCCCCGTCTCCCGTTTGCACCCGCATCTGTACTTGAGCTGCTTGTCCGTCTTCTGCGCTCCCGCCGTGTGCATCTCATCTGCCAAGTCGCATCGTCCGCCGGCTCCGTCTGTGCAATCGCATCTCTGTGGGTCTCGCACACAGTCCTTTGCCAGCAGTCGATCATCGCCTTCTTCTCCTCCCCGGGCTGCTGCGATCGCATCCGCCAACTAATCTATTCCTCTGCCCTCGCTTCCCTGCGTCTCTCTCTCCATCCACCTGCGATTCACCCCCCTCCTCCGGCCTGCCTTGGCCGCACCCCGCAGTTCCCGGACCACTCGTCGACGCCACCTGCGCCCGCTCCTCAAACTCTCTCCCGCTCCTCAGCAACTTGGGCTATCGTTCTTCCGCCTCGAACCCCCCCCTCCCGACTTCTTAAAAGCGCCGTCGCATCCGCCGCCTCCCAATCGCTCCATCAGCAGTCTTCGCCATGACCACCAAGGAGGAAATCGAGCTCTGGGACAAGGGCATCAAAGCCTACGAGAAGGGCGACTTCAACGGTGCCCTGGGGGCATTCAAGGTAAGATCCGGCTCCTCCGTCGATCCGACTCTCCGTCTTCCGACTGAATTGCCCGGTCGCTGGCTCCTTGGTCCCCCTCTCGATCTGCCCTGTCGATCCCCGCCCGGCACATCGACATGTCGTTACATCCTGCTCTTAGCTAACCTCCAGCCTCGCCCTTCATCCTCCCGCTGCATGCCGCTGCAGGAAATTGGAGATTATTCCCGCATCTCGTTCAACATCGCCATGGTCTACTCTCAACTGGGCGACCACTACACTTCATCCATGATGTACACCCGCGCCATTGCTGCCGATCCTTTCTTTGCGATCGCCTTCTTCCAGCGTGCATACAGCAGCTTTGCCAAGCAAGACTATGAATACGCCATCTCGGACTACGACGAGGCGCTCAAGGTACGGATCTCGTCCTTGCTTTCGCTTGGTTCCTGCTCTAGGGCGAGACCTGCCCGCTCTCGATCTTAGCATTGCCACTGGTCTCGATATTAACATCCACGGGCTGCTGCTCCACCCTTCGTGGTTCTGCACCGCATATGCCACCCTCTTAGCTCCTGCGCGACAACGATAACATCGACTATGCCCAGGTGGGCCTCAAATACAAGCTCTATCGCTGCGAAATCCACTTCAACCGTGCCATGTGCTTCGAGATGCTTGGCGACTCCAAGGAGGCCTCCAGGGACATTGAAAGCGCCCGGCTGGTCGTTCGAACCTCGGAGCACAAGAATATCATCGAGCGAGCAGCCCGTGTGGGCTTGCAGGTATGTGGTTGCAAACCAGTCCACTCTGTCTCGCTGCTGGGTCCAAAACACATATCTGTCGTCGAACCTGGTTGTGCGGCGTCTGTTCTTCACGCAGCGCCCTTGGGCTCTACACCATCTTATCTCATCAGTCATTGCCGCCGCACTCGCCTCGGGCCCGATGCTCACCGCCCTCTCTATTGCAGGAAATCACCATCTTTACCGTGCCGCACGAAACCCTCTTCACTGTCAGCGAGTCCAAGATGAAGAATCTCAAAAAGAAGCAGTATCTGGACGGCGCCAAGGTCGTCGTCGCCCGTGACAACGACGACACCTTCACAGGCTTCTCTGGTGCCGCCATCACCAGTCCTGGTCCACAGCGCACCAAGACCACCGAGGCCTATGACTACCTCAACGGCAACCGACGGTTCGAAGATATGGACGATATTTCCAAGTTCCCAACCTCATCGCTACCGCGCAAAACCACCTTTGACGGGCCCACCCCGATTCCGCCGGGCCCTCGCCACAAGGCCAGCAACCCCGGGCTCCCCCGGGCTGGAACCTTCCGCGACGAGGCCCTGCCGATCCCCCTCCGACTCAACTCGGACTCGAGTGACGAATACCAGGACCCTGGTCGCAGCTATCCGAGTCCGCCCATGAACACTCGACACACTCCGCGCCTCTCGTCGCTAAGCCGACCGGTGATCCCAAGATCCAACACCGAGAACAGCATCCAAGGGTCGATCTTTGGCCGTGATCAAGAGGATAGCATCGCCCCAAGCGCCAGTCTCTCGAATTCCGGCTACACAAAGTCAAAACTGGGCAAGGTGAGGGATTCGTGCTGACTTGTTGCGGAAACAGTCGCCGGGGTCTGGGCGATGAAGGGACACGGCGACGTTCCATCAGCTTCACAAACAACCACAATCCCGCCGTGCTAGTATCTAATTTGTGTCTACACATTCACCCTTGCCCCCTCTCTCTCTCACCCATCTGGTGCACCTTTTCGCCACTGTGCCACTCAGATCAAGGTCAAGATCCATGCCAAGGAAACGGTCGTCATCCTCATTGAGGACTCGATGAGCTTTGCTGACTTTTCAGTCAAGGTCATGCAGAAGCTCGGTCTCTCCAAGATGCCACAGCTGTCGTTCCGCGACGAGGATGAGCCCGAACACGAACAAGTTCTGATTTCCATGATGGACGACGAGGATTTCAGCATTGCTATTGACTCGGCGCTGTCACATGGCAATGTCATGCACATCTGGGCTCAGTAGCGGTGCAACGGCTCCCAGCACTGTCAGCACTGTCAGCGCTGCTGCACGATACAGCACCGTGCAATCACTGCCCTCCCTCAAAGTGTCGGGATGAAACCTTTCGAACCTTAGATATCATTTTGTTTTGCGGCCTCCTCATTATCGAGCCTCTCATCTTCATTTCAAGGTTGCACTCGCACTCCCTTTCTTCAGCAGGACCATTGAGTCAACAGGGTCGTTGACTCAACAGGACCGTTGAATTACCACCCCCCCCCAGCTGCAACTTTGGCTTTGTTCCACCATGGCGCCTGTCGTTGCTTTTGCGAGCTCCGTTACTCTTCTCACATCTCCCTGCGTCCCAGCTCCGACGCCCTCAGAGGCTATTGCTTGGCATGCCAACACACCCACCAGCTCCGACCTATTATTTCTCCAAAGCCAAATCGTTTCGTTTGCGCACCGGCTTGCTCCCTATCCTCTGCTCTCTGTTTTTCTTTTCTGATCGCTTGTAACCACCAATCCAGCATGCCACTCAATACACAACTCACAGCCACACTCCATTCAATCGATCCTTGGTTCTTTCGTGAGTCGCCCTCGACACCGCGCTTGATGGTATCATGTGGCGCAGCCTGGTGTGACGCACGTGACTACACAAGCCACCTTCCATCACGGAAACGAGCAAGCCCTGTTTTGGGGAGGTTTGGTCTGTTCTGGATTGACTTTCCCGCCTCGTCGTTGTCAACCCTCCCCCTTCTTCTGGTGTTTGATTGCCCTCCGAGGTCCCTCGGTCAATCGCGCCATCATGTCGGCCGTCACCCCGATCGACCCCACCAATATCATGTGGATCACAACCCACAGCTCGGTCCGCATGAACCCGCAGTGCGCCACAGCCTCGATGTCTGGGCTGCAGGTTGTCACCCAGTCGGGAGACTGGGTCTATGCGACCAACCGCTGCATGTGTCTGCCCTCGACTTCGGGCGAAACTTGCTTCTATTTTTCGCTGTCGACGACCCTAAACACAGTCGATTACATCACCTGCGGCACCGACAACACATGCAAGAGCAACTGTCAAGCCAGCGAATTCTCCATCGCATCCGTCAACCCTTGCGCCAGCAACGGCTTCACGGGAACTTACAGCAAGAATGACTTTACGACATCCGAGTGAGTGCTTGCTCCGTTGAGCCGGATGGGTGAATGCAGAGGGTGCCCACCGCTTTTGGCATAAGCGACCAAGCGAGTGCACACGTCGTGAGTTACAGGGACGGGATATCCAGTCCAAACCATCCAAAGCACACATGGTCGTTGTTTCCCCCAGCCTCTGCCCCCTGGCTCAGCCAGAGACCACTCACCCGCTTTGAATCGGCCGTTTTCCTTGCACACAGCACCTGGGAGTCGGGCTTCAACACGCCGTATTTTTACTACTGGTCCTACAGCTACAATGACCCAACTTGCAAGAACCCTGCCTCTGGCACGAGAATCCCGATGTATCCGACCTGCACCCAGGTGCTGAATGGGGTGTATTCGATAACTATCAACAACACCTTGGGCGGGACCATCGATGCATACGAATGCACCGACTCGACCTGCAGCACCTGCCAATTAGCTTGGGCCCATACCCTCTTTGGAAACGTTTGTCAGTATGACTCGGGATCAAGCGGGACCAATTATTCGACTTATGAAGGGGGTGGAATGCCCAGCACACCCTCTCTGACCTTTAGAACTGCCTTGCCGAGCAAGGGTGCTCCTACCCCAGCCGTCACCGGCGCAAGCTCCACGCCTTCTCCATCCGATGTACAGCCAGCCCAGAGCGGAAGCAATATGCCGTTGATTGTTGGAATGGTTGGCGGGTTTATCGGTAAGCATCGAGGAGCTTAGATTGGACATCCATTGGGGCTCCGATAACACTTGGGTGGGCGATAATGAGTAGTGGGAGTGCGCACGGCCCAGCATATGCTGTGTATGCAGTAATCGAGTCGACCTTGAATAACCGCGACGTTACTTTGCTACCAAAGTTCTGCTCCTAGCGGTCGGCGGTGGTCTCGTCTTTTGGTATCGAGTCAAGATGGCCACCATCAAGAATCAAGCCCCTCCCGCTCCTCCTCCGCCTGATGTGACTCCTGTAGGACCGCCAACCCATTACCAAATCTCAACCGCCAGTAGCGCGGTTCCCGTGGCAGCCCTGACGGTGCCAACCATGCCAGTGTTTCCAGCAGCGGCTCAGGGAGGCAGCAGGGACAGTACTTTGACGGCGGTGCCTCCGCCATACTCAACCCTGTCATATAACACTGAGACTGCATCCTATGCGAACAATCCGAAATATCCACCACCAACCGAATATGGGCAAAAGGTCAATATCATTTGAAGGAACTGTTAAGTCAAGCCCAACCACGATGTCTGGGTAGAAGCTTGTCTGTCTAGTGCAGTTGTGGAAGCATCAGCCATGTCGGATAGAGCCCCCAACCCTACCAGCGATAGTCATTGGTACGGTGACGATCGGAGCAGGGCAGAGAGAGATGTATTCGAGAACAGCAGCGGTACAACTGTGGTGCAAAATAAACAAGGCACCCCCCATTTCAGTGAAATCATTGGGTCGTGAACGCTCGGTGCGGGGCGGACAAGCCACCTGCTCTGCGCAGTGTCCAGCGGAGGAGGCACCTGCATGAGAGGACAGCATCTTTTCGTCGGATCCAGGTCGTTCGCCGCCTTTGTCGTCCTGTTGTTGCACACACTCGGAGATCCACTCGGAGATCCACTCGGAGATCCACTCGGCCAGGCCACCTGTGCCTGAATGTAGGATCTCCTCGAGGTTGCGGGATGCCAAATTGGCTGGCGTCGAGCGACATCACTTGCGATGGGTGTGGGGTGCAGTATGCTGGCTGCTTGCATGTGTTCAGTCTTGCGGCTTGATCATGGAGAGTGGCACTCGGGCGGAACTCGAGGATCAAGGCCACTTGCCGAGATACCTGAGTCTGTTGATGGCCGGATTATATCCATTCTCGGCGGACTTGCGATACCAGAAGATGGCGGTGTCGATGCTCTTGGGGACACCATACCCATTTTGATAGCAGGTACCAAGATTATCCTGTCCGATCCGATTGCTCTGCTCGGCCGACTTGCGATACCACTCGACTGCCTTTGTATAATCCTTGGCGACTCCATATCCATAATAGTAGCACTGGCCAATCATCCACTGTCCATTTGAATTGCCCCGACTAGCCGATTTTCTGAACCACTCGAATGTCTTCGAAGGATCCTGCGATACTCCCCAGCCATAGTGGCAGTATCCGATCCACACCTGGCTGTCGCTGTGACCTTCGCTGGCGAGCTGCTCAAAGATACCGGCTGCTTTCGTCTGGTCCTGGGTGGTTCCGAATCCACGAAACAGACACACAGCCATCAAGTGGCTGCAGAGCCATTCTCGATCAGATCCCAGCTGGCATAGCTGGAAGAACTTGCAGGAGGCAGGCGAGTCGGATGGGGCTGAGTTCCATTGCGCTGCCAGACACTCGTCCTCTCCAAACTTGAAGTCATCCGATTTGTTGTCTCGGATGATCTTGATACCCTTCTGCTTGTCGAGGGGTGTGCCCCGGCCAAGATAGTGCATCCACCCGACCATGTGGGTGGCGATGGGCTTGAGGACCTTGTCATCCGACTTGGTGCTGACTTCCTGCCAGAACCAGAAGGCGCTGCGGTCGTTCTTGGCCATTCCCTCGCCCAGGAATGTGAGCCAGGCCATCTGGAAGGATGCTTCGAGGTTGCCGCGGTCGGCAGCGACCTTATAGAGCTGGATGGCGAGCTTCCAATCCTGGTGGCGGGCAGGGAGACCCTCCGAGACCATCTTGGCGACTTTGAGACAGGCATCGGGATCACCTTGCTTGGCGCGAGAGACGATGGGGCCACGGATGTGGACGACATCATCGATGCCGTCAAACTTGAGCTCGTCGGGTCGACTGGACTGGGGCGGGGGCTGGTTGTCCACGCTGAGAGTGGTGAGATGACCAACAACCTGACTGACGGAAGGGGACTTGGCGGCGGCGGGAGCGGCGAGAGCAGGGATGGCAGGGGCGGCGACACCGTTGTATGGCTGGAGGACGGCAAGGATGTCGGGGAAGGCAGGACGGGCGGCGGGATCTTGGGCCCAGCAGCGTTCGATGAGGGCCCAGATATCGTCGGGGATGCCATCGATCCGTTTGGGACGTCTGCCGTTGCATGAAATGCGTTCAATGGCACGGCCGAGCATGGCTTGTCCGTTGCTGGTGACCCAGACGGGTTTGGCATCGTTGAGTACTTCATACATTGTGATGGCGAAGGCGTAGACGTCGGTCTTCATGGTGGTACCGCTGGGATCATCGTCGTCCAGCATCTCGGGTGCAACATAGCCTTCGGTGCCGCCGGTGCCGCCCTTGGTTCGGTTGCGGTCCAGCGAGGCAGAGGTGTGCTTGGTGCGGGACATGCCAAAGTCGGTGACGATGGCGTTGTTCAAGCCGTCCAGGAGGATGTTCAGGGCCCTGAGATCGCCGTGGATGATGCGGCGGGAATGGAGGTATGCCAGAGCCGATGCAGCTTGGAAGAGGAGACGGAGCTTCTCCTCGAGTGGGACATTGTTGTTGGCAACATGGTTGCGAAGGGTGCCGTTGGGCATGAACGGCGACACCATGAAGGGAGGAATCGGGTTGCCGTCGTCGTCCTGGTCGCAAGCGCCGAGCAGAGGGAGGATGTTGGGGTGGCTGAGTTTCTGCCAGATATTGATTTCATGGTTGTAGTCAGCGAGCTCCCGGTTGTTGTAGTTTCCAAGGAGCTGCTTGATGGCGACCTTGGAGCCAAAGTATGTGCCAGTGAAGACCTCGCCAAAGCCACCGCGGCCGATGGGGTTGGCCGAGCGGTCGGTGATGTCCCTGGGCGAGATGTACCAGGACGGACGCTCGGGAGCGGGGCGGATGATGGCTCTGCTTGCCATGTTGCGAGAGATGGATGCTGGAAGGAATTGGTTGGTGATGACAAGGTCAAATGGACAAGAGACAGGGAGGGAAGCCAAACCCTGGTCAGCCATGCTCTGGCAAGCCAAACACTGGCCATTGTGCACACACACACACACAAGCCTGGCTCGATCCGATGGCTTGCTGGCTGGATTCGTTGTTGCCGCTTATACTGCCACATTCATCGAACATGGAATCGAACATGGAATCGAACATTGTATCGAGTCCCTCGGGCTCGCTATCCAAGCCAAGATGTAACAGCCATTCCATCCAGTTCCACATCGACTGCGACACCCTGGCTCCAGCTTGCTGCACCGAGCACCGCCAGTTCGCCTCCAAGCATCCGTTTCCTCATCGCAACATGCTGACCGTGAGAATCAAACAGGCCATCAGCGAAGATGTCTGCCTCTCCCAACGAATGTTACTTCCCACCCATTGCTTCCGCATACCTGCCGCTTCAGCGGACTGGTATCAGAAACAAAAGTTGAACAGCCATCGTATTGCATCACAAGGATTGGAAATAGTCTCAAATGGGTGTTTACCAGGCTACACCATGCTCCTACCAAGTATCTCCTCGGTGCTCACACTCTTCAACAGTATGGTGCGGGCCGTTAATGTCTCGATCATCAACTCACATTTGCCATTCGAAAGTTCTCAAGCTGGCCCATTCCGGTCTATCCAAGTCTGACAAGGACCAGTGGAAAGCCTTGGTCGATGCCATCCCGGTCCCGCGTCATGGCAAGTGCCCCTCCTTCTGCCACATGGTCCTGACCCAGCTCCGTCAGCGCTATGTCAATGTCGGCACCCGGGTCTTCTCCGACAAGCACTGCATCAGTACCGAGAAGTACGCCTACGACTTCCTCGACGGAATCATCAACGAGTTTGTCGAGAACCTGGCCTCCAATCTCGCCAAGTGCGCGGCCATGAAGGCCCGTGGCGAGAAGACCAAGCACTTCCGCCCCCGCTTTCTCAGCAAGAAGCGACCCACCTCCGAGTTCTGCTACATGAGGAAGCGACTCTGGGGCCCTGTCCAGTCCACCTCCAGCTTCTGGAACCGAGTCAACATTCGCGAGTTCCTCGGCATCGCTCCTCCTGGTGCACAAGACACTCCTGTGCAGCTTCTGCGTCCGCCTCTTCCACAGCCTGTGGATGCTGATGGCGACCCCATGCTGTCCAGAAGCATGAAGAGTGTCAAGAAGCCACCCAAGCACAGCCGGATGGAGAGGAGATTCCTTCCCGCCTCCGTGCCGACGGGACCATCGAGGATCGCCGACTGCAGCTTCCCTTCCTCTGCGAGACTCGCATCATGCGGACCAAGACCGGCAAGTTTTACATTGTGGTCTCGGAGCTACTTGTCCGTCCGGGCGAAAGCCAAGCCCAGGACACGGCCAAGAAAGTCGTCTCTATCGATCGTGGCGTCCGAGACTTCATCACCACATACGACCCTTCCGGCCTTGTCACCGCCTGGGGTGCCTCCAAATCTCACTCGACCAATGGTGGCAGGGACACCAAGAACATCGCTCGCATCTTCAGCCTCAAGAAGTGGTACGACGATCTCCAGTCCCGCATCTCGACCCCGGCGATGAAGGACGGAGAAACCCAATGCTCCTACCGATTCCGCAAGAACAGGATGCGTCGAGCAGCCCTCCGCATCCTCGAGCGCATCCGATGCCTTGTCAACGATCTCCACCGCAAGGCAGCCAACTGGCTCTGCTCGACGTACAACGTCATCTACATCCCCAAGCTCAACTTCCACCAGCTGGCAGCACACTGCTCTGGACGAGTGGTCAACGAGAAGATGGCCATGCTGGCCCACTGTCGCTTTGTCGACACCCTCGTCCACAAGCCCAGGGAGTATGCTGACTGCAGGGTGTGTATTGTTGGGGAAGAGTACACGAGCAAGACATGCACTCGGTGCGGGCACATCAAGCGGGACTTGGGAGCAGCCAAGGTGTATCATTGCAGGGAGTGTGGGTTGATGATAGATCGCGACATCAATGGGGCTCGTAACATTCTGTTGAAGAATGCGAGCTCGGAGGACATTCTTGGCGAGGGCATGGTGTAGCCTCGCAAACACCCCTTTGAAGCCTATTTCCACTTTGTGCATTACGGTGAGCTGTCTTACTTTGTCGCTTTCCCAGTTCGCTGGGGAGGCGGGTAAGGATGTTGTTATCATGAATTCAATATTGGCATATTTGGTACGAAGCGCAAGACCAACCCACGCGAGCGACTTGCACGAAGCAGGACATGATTTGGGGGTGTCGGGCCTGGTACTCCATCGTCCTCGACAGGGGTCATCAGTACTCTCACTTCTCTCGTAATGGCAGGCAAGTGATTGAATTCCCCATTGGGCTTGTACTGCTGGAGCAGCCTGTGTGTCGTCTTGAGCACCACCATGGGGCAGTCGCCGTGATCGGTCGTGAGAGCTGGGATCGCTTTCCTGGCCAATGCAAAGTGTGGGTTCATGCCACTCGGGTGGGCAGGTTGCTTCGAAAAGTCTGCCAGGAAACGATGCGACCATGCTGCCGAGGGCCTTCTTGATGAGACACAGCAGATCCTCCTTGCCACTGAGCATTTTGTCTCCCATCCAGAACAAAACGAATGTCAGGGTGCATGAGGCAAAGATCAAGCACAGGGCCAGGAAATCCAGCAGGTACTCGAGGACATCCATTACACCCCACATTCCCGGACAAGAAGTGCATCACTTTCACCGTGGATGCACAATCGGTATAGTCGTCCAAATATTCTGGCGAGAATGCAAAGGGAAGAGTGGAGGCAAATCTATCACCAGCACGAGCGGGACGGGTCTGCATGGTCATCAAGTCGAGCACGGTGCCATCTTGAATACCACTGAGTTAGTGGCGCTGTTGATCTTCTCCTGGAATCAGGCACTCTTGTGGGAAGGTGTGTTCATATGTCACCACTCATCTGCATGTGTCTTGACGAATCTGCGATACATCGTTGGAGCCAGCATCATCCCCGCACTGCACACCTCGGCAACATGGGGGAGCAACTCCAGGCGATCGCGATAGACTGCCAAGACAGAATGACCAATGCTCTGGAAGGAACGGCAGGGATCGACAAAGATGGCCGTGAATGTCTTGAGATGCGGGGCGATACGCCAAACTCCATTGAAGTGGCAGTACCAGGCACGCTTCTCATCGAGCCCAAAGAGGAGGGGACTTGATCATTGTCCAGCACAACCATGAAGACACTCTCTCGCATCTCGCAATGAAAGCCTCCTCCATTTGGGCGGCCTGGGACGGGGAAGCACCAAAGGGGACACCATCGCTATCGGCGCGGGCCCACAGCGCATAGAGACGTTCGAGCTCGGAGGACATGCTGAGGATGTGGGATGGGTTGGATCTCTGAGCACTGGTGGAGAGAGAGAATGAGATCTGGCCAGGGCATTCGAGGATGCTGCCGCGCCATGATCGATCAGCCCGAACGACCACGAAAGTCGCAGTTTCGAATGCTCAATCGGGGTGAACAGCCCGAAACAGCCCGAAACACTCCACATGGACAGCCGAGAACAACCGAGGAACAAGCTTCGACAGCCGAGCTCACCAACCACACCAGCACCATGAAGAGAGGATGGATGGCCCGTTACTGGCGACAACACATGGAGAGCGGGTATGGGCTGGAGGGTGATCGAAGAGGAATCGAACCTGCGACCACGCCATATCAATCCGGCACCATTGACACTGGCTGGATCCAATTCGATCCAGCACGAGAAACAAGGTTTGCCCAGCCCGATTTGGCATCCGCTGCGCTCGTGTGTCGCGCATCTGACACCTGTATCGCCACCGTGACCCGGGTGGCGAGGCATGTACAGCGCTTCTCCTCCGACTGCCAGGGTCTGGTTTGCTTTCCATAAATCCTCTCGCCGTCTCCCGCCGATCGCCATCGTCATCGCCCACCCGCTTCTCACCTATCCCTGCTGCCTCTCGTATTCAACATGACCAGCTTGAACGAACGTACTTCAACCACGGCATCATCAGCCACCCACCAAAGCCAAGCTGAAGCCAGAGCAACCTCGTCGATGCCCAATATCAACCAGCCCTCGCTCGACCACAGCCCTGACATCTTCACAATCATCTGCTGCAACGAGAGCTTCCAGATTGCCCTCGAACACAGCACCATCAAGACCCTCCTACGAGTGTGCAAACGAGTCCGCCCTCTCCTGAGCTCCAAGCTGGCTCGCTTCCAAAGCTGGTGCCATAAGGCAGGACTATGTCATCCAGACGGACAGCTGCGGATCGGCCTCACACCGAGCGACAAGATTGCCATCTCGCTGCATTTCAAGGATCAGGTCACAGCCGACCGGTCCTGGCTTGAAGATCAAGCCGAAAAGGGCAATGCCGCTGCTTCCTATTTCCTGGCTCGGATGTTGCAATCGGGGATCGACTCAGAAGCGGAAGACGACGATCAAACTGACGATCAAACTGACGATCAAACTGACGATCAAACTGACGATTGGGCTGACGATGACGATGAGCCAGAAGATAATACCAAGCATCAGCGGATATTCCACCATCTGACGAAAGCCGCTGAAGCCCAACATCCAATGGCACAGTTACGCCTGGCCGAGTGCTATCGCAACGGCCATGGTGTCGATCAAGACTTTACTATAGCTGTCGAGATGTATCGCAGGCTTGCAGATCGTGGGATCCCTCAGGCACAAATCTCTCTCGGAAGTTGCTATGAGAATGGCGAAGGTGTTGGACAAGACATTGACTCAGCCATCGAGTGGTACTCCAAGGCTGTAGATCAAGGCAGCGAAGATGGTCGACTCCATATCGTGTTCCTCTGTGGATGGTTCTCGTTCATCGGCCATGGCGTCGAGCAGAACGACACCGACGCCTTTGCTCGCTGGCGGGAGGTCAGCAGCAAGTCGACTGGCTCGGTCCTCAAACCCATCGCCACTCACTTGGTCGGATGGATGCACTACCTCGGCCGAGGTGTCCAGCAGGACAAACATAAGGGAATCAAGATCATCCGAGAAAACAGATCGGACGAGTTCCCACTCGGAGAGCTTGAGTGTCTGGCATCGTACAGATGGGGTGACTCATCCGACTCATCCTCATCTCGCAAGTTCTTCAATCTCTGCCAGCTGGGATCGGATCGAGACTGGTTGTGCAGACATCTCATGGCCGTATGTCTGTTCCATGGATTCGGAACAACAAAGGATCAGCAGAAAGCTGCGAGCATCTTTGAGGTGCTCGCCAACGAGGGCCACAGCGATAGCCAGTTATGGATTGGAGATTGCTACCACCATGGCGATGGAGTATCGGAGGACAACGAGAAGGCATTTGTGTGGTTCAGCAAGTCGGCTGACCAAGGCAACTCATATGGGCAGTGGATTGTTGGTGGGTGCCACTACTCTGGACACGGAGTCACCAAGGATTATACCAAGGCAGTCGAGTGGTATCGCAAGTCGGCCGAGCAGGGCAATCGATACGGACAGTCCAATCTCGGCTATTGCCACCAATATGGCCGTGGTACCCCCGAGGACATCGACACCGCTGTTTTCTGGTACCGCAAGTCTGCCGATCAGAATTCCTGGGCTGCCATCGACAGCCTCAAGTATCTCGGCAAGTGGCCCTGATCCTCGAGTTCCTCCGAGTTCCACTTCCAACCGCCAACCTCGGCAATGAAATGCAAGCAGATCAACCAAGCAAACCGCGCCGCCCACACCCACACCTAACACCGTGATACCAAAGAACGGACTTGCCAAGTGATTCCGATGTTGTGGCAATGGCCGAGTGGTGTTGTATTTGACATCCAATACATCCAATAAATCCAATATACAACAGTGCTGTCCCATATTCATCGTTGATGTTGATCGACCGAGAGAATATCCGATGACTCGATAACGACAGCTCTATCACAACATTCGATACTCGTTCTGCAGCCATAGATGGCGAGCACGACCCAGACCATCCCTCGCCACATGGTACCGAAGAAAGCAGGCAGCAAGCCACCAGCCTTCCCCGGCACCAATACCACCCTCCCTCGATCCGACACCAGGCAGCGTGCCCTGATCAGCATCGATGGACCGACAAATGGATGGCAAAGGCGACGAATGGCCTGGATCCAAATGGGCAGAGGTTCGCCTCTCCAGCCGCCAAAGGAAAGAAAATGGCCACACTGCATCTTGCTGGTCCACCCTCGATTCGACCCAGGGACGCCGGGGCACGCCGGCGTATGTGGTCAGACCATGAGAGGATGAAACCAGTCCACTGCAGTGCAGCCTGGCGACTGAGAGAGGACTCTTTGGGTCCAAGAGTGACAAGTACCACTCCCTCTCGATCCACATCTTCTGCCAGGATACGAGCGTCCTCACGAACGATCTCGTCCGTATCTATGCCCACCTCAATACAGGTGCCCATGACCTTGCCCAGTTCACTGACAAGGCCGATGCCACCATGGGCTATCTATTCGAGTTTCCGGTGTGGAAAGAGCTACGACTCTCAAACATCCTTGGCCGCCTCCTTCGGGACGAAAACCTGGCATTCACCGAGGCACTCCACGCCGCCAAGCGCTTCTACCAGGCCCAAATCGATGCGATCCCACACAGCAATCACTGCTGCCCAGATCGACAAGATCCACTGTGACGTGATCACCAAGGACGGTAGCGGACTCACCAACCACCACTCGTCGTTCAAGACCGTCTTCGCCAAGGATACAAGGCCTTTGTGGGCACCCTGGACACATCGACGGACAGCGTCGTGTTCAGTGATGGCACTCTCATCAACTCCTGGATGGCACACGGCGCATGGCCACGGCAGGGGAAATGTTCACGACGACGCTCGAGGTCCGATACGACCATGCGGCACTGACTGCCGAACGCAACGGCGAAATGATCACATTCCTTGTGGTTGACACCCAGGACGGCAAGTCAATGCGGCTCAATATCATCGAGACCATGCTCAAGGGTTGTTTGTCATTCGATGGCGACAAGCTCCGCAACAATGGAATCGGCTCCACTGGCGACGATGTAACTCACCTCTTCAACAAGCTGATCAGGGCACGCTGTGCGATTGCAAGTGAGATCAAGGGCAGCAGCACCCTGAACCACAAGGCCCTCAAGCAGCTCGCGAGCAACGATTCGATCGAGTATCGCACCCTCTATTCACCGATCTCGGACTACACGCCCATATTCAAGGCGATCGTGGCGACCAACACCATCCCAGAGTTCAGCGCGGAAGCAAAGGCATCGGCGGACATCAGCACCCTCTTTCGCAGGATGATCATCGTCAACTTCCCCATGAAAGTGGTCAATATCCCCGAAAGCCAGCCCTCCGCAAGCGCGAATTGCGCAACGATTCACCGCTGGCAAGGAAGATCAAGACCACGAACTGGATATATGCCATGCTCGGGCTCCTCGTCGACTCCTTCCCGGAAGCTGCCGACAAAACCAAGCCACTCAGCGCCCACGACGACCTCCAGACGCCATCCACAAGTGCACGCAATTCTGCCTCTGCAACTTTGACATTGTGGAGTACCTTGTCACCAAGTGCTTCGACGTGGACCCTGCACAGAAGCAAGGCCGGATGAAACTCAGCGATATCCACACGTGCTACGCCTGGTGTGGATATGAGAGTGCCCGTCGAAACAGGAATAGTTGCCAACACTTCGCTTGAGGTCATTGATCTTGATTGATCTTGGAGTATCCACTGACATTGGGACTCCAGGCTGTGACCAGCCCAGAGGGGTCAAAGGTGGTGATGAAATCGCGCACACCAGGATCGACAGAGACAACCCCGAGATCACCCTGAGGAGCTTGGCTTTCGCTCCTCTTTGGTAGTGGCTCGGCGACGACAATATACACCTTGTTGGTGCGTGTCTTGATCAGGCGGGTGTCATGGGCCAGGGGGAGAGTGAGTTGCTTGCCTCGCTCGACTCGGCCCTCGACATTGAGCTTGAAGGGATTGAGTCTGTTCCAGAAGCTGTCCTCCTTGACGATCTTGCCCCAGTGCTTCTTGAGCAGGACACAGGACTCTTGTTTGGCCCGTTTCTTGCTCGAGAAATGCATGTCGAATGGACTGGGGTTGTTGCCTTGGGCTTGCTGGGACAGGTATCGCTGCTGGTTCGAGAACCAGTTCTTGACAATGTCTCGGACTGCTTCATCGATGAAATCGGCAGCGACACCAGTCTGGCGGATCCAGTGGTCCTTGTCGTAGCAAGACAGGACACCGACGCGCTGTCTCAGGTGCTCCAGGGGGACTGCCTTCTTCTTCTTGGGTGGATGGGGTTTCGGTGGCTCTGGAACCAGGATCTCGCCAAGGCGATTCTTCCACTGCTTGGGATACTGCTTCTGGAGAGCCTTGCGGGCAGCCATGTATGGCTCTCGCTCTCGTTTCCAGACTTGGAGTCGCTCGAGGTCTGCTCGCTGGTGGGATGAACTGACTCTGGCATAGTAGACGACGATCCTGGTTGTGATGGGCTGGGTGAGGCAGAAGACTCGCTCAATGTCCCGCACGTTGTAGAGTCTGTGTCCATTCTCGTTGGGGTGGATGTATCGCACTTTCCCAGCATCGGCCCACTTGGACAGGGTGGATGGGACGAGGCCGAACTGCTTGGTGAGCTTGTGGATGGATATGTATTTTTCATCGCTCATGGCAGACAGGGTTGTTGTCGATGCTGGCCCGTTCTTACCCTTGCCCAAGGAAAAAACAGCCAGAATCAACGCACGTTTTGAACAGGTACTGGCCTGGACGACGAGGATATTCTGCCCCAATTCATGGTGGGCTCATCCTCGTCGTTTCCTCTTGAGCGGCAAGTACAACGGCATCAAGTTCAAGACACACCGCTTCCCCGCGAACCTGCCCCCTCGGTGATGGATGGAGAAACCACTCTGTCAACTATCGAATCAAAAGAATGAAGGAATAGGCATAGTGTGGTGGAAGAGGGCTTCTCACAAAAGGTCGCGAACAGCATCTTTCCACTTTCTCTCACAGACCTCGACCATCTCATGTGCTCTTGGATCTCCGAGCCGATCTGCCATCCTGAACATCATGTACGCCAGCCGGTGCCTGCAAATGGGCTTGGAGTACAATGACATTCCAGTGTCGAACAACGGGGTTGCCATCAGGGCATCATCGTCGCCCATTGAGACCATATTCTGGATGATGGCTTTGTACTCTTGCTCGAATTCAACACCATGCTTTTGAGGGTCCTTCTTGGTGGCTTGAGCCAGGAGCATGAGTCCCTCCTGTCGTTGTCGGACTGACGGATTACTGGCGTTCTTGGCGTCGAGCCAATATTCGTACTCACTCTTGTTGTGGCGAGAGCCTGCCTCTCCATCAATCGCAATCGACACAAGGGGCGAGACAATGAACGTGGTCTGGAGCATGTGAGCGATCGCTCTGCGCATTGGTCTTGGACACACTGACTGAATGGTACTGAACCATTTTCTTGCTTGGCCAGAACCAGTCACATCAAAGTATACTGGATGGCTCTGAAGCCTCCGGATGTGTGCCTCGGATTCTTGGCATCCCAAATCGAGGGCCTTCTTGAACCAGTAGAGGGCGAGAATGGGATTTCGTCGTTTGTTGTTCGGATTGAAGAATGTGACTCCAAGCTTCACCAAGAGATGTCCATTTTGGACCGAATCAAAGAAACGAACTGTGGTTTGCATGTTCTTTCCTAGGTCCAACAGATACATCCCGCAGTCATAGACCACAAAGGGGTCGAGACCTTCGAAGGACACGATAGATACGAGGAATCTCGTGGCGTGGGGGGCAAGTTTCGCATGCATGTACATCTGGGCGAGATCGAGGAGTGCCCTGGAATCGCCATTTGTAGCAGCTCTCCGCATAAAGTAGTGATATCGCAGTCGATCAGAGGCAGTGTAGCGACGTTTGCTCTTCTTGATGGTAAGAGCATGTGCATAGAAGTCGCCAGTGACATCGGGACCAATGTAGGTGGTGTGGTATGCTGGAAAGTGGCTGTGGATGTCCAAGTTGTTCTTGATGATCAAGTCAGATGTAGCGATGCACCCCGTGTCCTCCACTAGACGAACAAGCTCGCCTACTTGTGCCTTGCTGATATCGCCATTCCCATATCCCATACTGGCGTGCGCCATGGTGAGCGACGCAAAGGCGTCGCCTTCACGAGCGAGTTCTTGGATCTCGATACGAACATCGCGATCCTTGGACTGCTTGATGCGAGCAGCGACGCTCCTGGCAAGCAGGCGGAGCTCGGGGCTTTCTTGCTTCTGGATCCTGGTTTGAAGCCAGCGTGCGTTTTCGTGGGCTGGTGGCTTTTGGGGAAACAGGTGGGTGAGCACCTTCTTGGCCTCATGGTCGAACAGCCCAATCTCGAAGGGTTTCCCTACAATGCCAAGGGTGTGTGTCGTGGAAGACGAGGGGAGCACAGCCAGTCCGTTCTTGGCCATCCATCTGCGAAAGGCGATGGTCTTGAAGCTTGCCAGGAAGCAGAACATGTAGCGACAGGTGCGCATGAGCCTGATGATTTCGCGGGGCTCGAGAATCCAGAGCAGGTCTCCTTCCATGACACAGGCGTTCACGATTTCTGCCAGTTGGTCGATGTTGGGCTGGGTGGCCACGAGATCGCTCATGGAAACCTCAGAGCAGTCGAACCCATCGACGTAGCTGATCGTGCGCTTGAGACGCTTGGTGCCTCGGGGAGCAGGGGGCTGCGTGCTGGCTCGCTTGGGCATGGCTTGCTTGGATGTGGGCTGCGAGATGGAGGGGAAAGAGGAAAAGTCCAGCACCTCTCTGTTTGATTCATCCAGCACAGAAAATCCACACAGAACTCCAGACGCAGCGCCAACAAGATGCATCAACGCATTCCACCACCCCAACGCTCGCTCGTCGCAGACCTGATTTGCACTCCCCACAGGGATGGCCAAGCGACTCCATGACCCATTCTGGATCTTTGATCCCGCGATACTCCTGACGAGAGCCGACGAGTTTGTGCCGCGCGCCGAGTTCAACCTGGAAGAGAAGCGCAACTCGATCACCAGGTTTGTCGCCTATGTATGCCGGCCTGTTCCTGGCGACCTACAACCGAAACCTGGGCTATGGCTGTGTGGGCGTGATGGTCCTGATGCTGATCTGCGGAATGTACCTGCGGGTCTACAACATGGACCAGGCCAACGAAGAAGAGCAGCACAACGTCTCGCAGACCGCCCGACTCACATCCTCTGCCGCCGCATCCCAGACCGTCCTCAACATCAACGACCAGATCACGAGTAGTATAGGGGTATATCGGTAACTATACCGTTTTTGCGGGGATGAGGGTGATGACGGGAACGGGGGAAAACGGTATAGCTGGCTAACCTAAAGGAAGAGGGGGTAGACGAGGGGACGGTATAGTTGGCGTGGTAGGGGTAGCCGTGGGGTGGGGCGGTGGAGGACGGTAGGGTTGGCGTAACCTAAGGAAGAGGGGGTAGTCGTAGGGTAGGGTGTATTCGGTGTAGTTGGTGTAGTTGGTTGGGTTGGGGTATGTGGGGTAGCTGGGGTAGTTGGGGTAGTAGGGGTAGTTGGGCTTTATTGGTGTCGTTGGGGTGGTCGGGGTATTTGGGGTATTGGGTGCGGGTTTAGGTTAACTTAGGTTAGGTTAGGTTAGGGTTGTGAGGGGTGGGGTGGGCGTGGGAGTCGGGCTTGGTGGGGTACTTGGGAGTAGTCGGGGTAGTCGTGGGAATTGGAGTACTTGGGTGCACTTGGGGTATTGGGGTACTTGGGTACTTGGGGTACTTGGGGTACTTGGGGTACTTGGGTGTCGTCGGGGTAGGCGTTGTTCTTCGGGTGAGAGTGGGTTTGCTGATGGAGGCGGGGATGCTGCTGCTTTTTATGTTGCTGGGTGAGATGGGGTGTGGCTTGGTTTTCGGGTGCGCAGTGTGGCGGATTACATATCTGGGGTATTTTGGGTATCTGGGATATCTGGGGTGTTCGTTGGGGTTCGGTGTTGTTCGTTGGGTCGGGTGGTATGGTTGGGTTGGTTGGGTTGATGGATCTCGCGTATTCGTGTGGCCGTTGGTGCTGGGGGCTTGGTGGTATCCCTGGTTGCGATGCGCGGGTGGAGAGACTTGCGTTTTGGGTGGTTCGATGCAGGGGCTGGGTTTTGCGTTGTCTCTGTGTTCGCTACAGGCTTGTGGGTTTCCTGCAGTGGTATGGCGAGACTGGGCTCATTGTGTGTCCAGGTAGGCAGCCCTGGTGGTGTGTGTGTGTGTGTGTGTGTGTGGTAGGAATCTCGGCGGAATCTTTCTCATATGAAAAGGAATCTTTTCGGAATCTTTTATTATGTGTTTCATATCAAATGGGAATCTCTGGGGTAAAGTCCTCCCCGGGGAGCCAAATACAAAATGACAAAATGACAAACCGATGTCGTGGCCAATGCGTTGTGACGGGGTTAGGGGTTTTTGTCGTTTTGTCATTTTGTCGTTTTGTTTTTGCCCTCCCTAGGCTCGACTTTTGGTCTATAGATTCCTATTTGATATGAAATACACAATAAAAGATTCCTAAAAGATTCCTATTCATATATAAAAAGATTCCGAGGAGATTCCGTTCGCGTGTGTTGGAGGGCAGCCATGGTCTGGGCCATGGGTGATGGTGGGTTGGGGGTATGCCCCGGTCGCCATACGCGAGTGGCGAGACTCGCATTTTGGGTGGTTCGATGCAGGGGCTGGGTTTTGCGTTGTCTCTGTGATCGCTACAGGCTTGTGAGTATCCAGCAGTGGTATGGCGAGACCATGCTTCTCGCCGGCGTTCGTCGGCTCTTGCTGTGTCCAGGTATCCAGCGCAGCCAGGCGAGGCTCCGCTTTCCGTTTTCCATCTATGGAAGTCTGGTGGTTGTCGTTCGAGCGCGCAGCAAGCGAAGCCCGCATTGGTGTTGCTGTGTTTCACCCCCCATCTGTGTGTTTGTGTTGTCTGTAACCCCTTCATGGTTGGTCCTCGGCTGTTTCGGGCTGTTTCGGGCTGTTGTTTTGCTCCTTAAGTATGTAATCCGGCTGTCTATTATTGAAAAATGCCCTGTTTTCAAAACACCCGAAAAACACATTTTGTTTCTGAATCAAAATTTTGTTTTGCTATGCAAGGACAGCCCCAGGAAAATCCATAATAGACACCCCGGCTACACAAACAATGCGTTTGCAGCTCTATCTCACCTGAGTGGACAGCCCTCAACATCCCATTGGCCGGCTTGGCGCGTTTGTATCACTCGGTTGTGTGGCGGTGCATGGCGTGTGGTTGTTTGGCTTGTGGGCCGCCCACGCTCTCTGTGGTGGCGATTTGCTTACTGCCGTTTGGGGTTACACAAGACACGCCCATTCCGATGCACCGGGTTCGATTCCTGCCCTGCGCCGCTTGGCCCGCCTTGACCGGGATCGGGTGGTTAGCATGTCCCAGGTCGCAGGTTCGATTCCTGCCCCCGCGTGGTTTGGTTCTCATGGTGGTTCTCCCCCGGACTGGGTGGTCGGCGTGCCACAGGTCGTAGGTTCGACCCCTGGTTCCGCCGTTTGGCTCTTCCGTTGCCGCGCCCCCGTAGCCGGCTTCGTTGGGGTGTCGGGGTTGCAGGTTCGATCCCGATGATCTCGCGACCCAGCGCAAAAATGCCGCGGTCGTATGCGCCATAGACATATCGAAGTCCACTGCCTCGTCGGCCAAGATGATACCATTCGTCTGAGTCATGGATTACAGATGCCTTTATTATGGGAAAAGCGAGGTGCATTCGGGTGACGACCACATACAGAAAAATGTTTCCCTTTCGAACGACTACTCAAATCACATATTTTGTGGTGCTGACAAAGCCATCGTAGAAGAGATGAATTTCATGTAGGGGCTGGAGGTCGCGCGTGGAGGGGTCGAACGAGGGTTCCAGCAAAGTGGACAGAGTGTGGTAGAGCAAGTTGGTGCGCCTTTTCCATTCGCCCCGGTCTTGGATATCTTCACCGGTTTGCGAATCGTTCCGTTTGAAGCACCCACGATGCTTGGTCCCGGTCGAGTCGGTATACTGGTCGGGATTGAAGCGAACCATGATCACCTGGCCACAGCCACTATCGCCCCAGAGCTCCTCTTTTCGCTTGGCCTCGCAGGTGTAGCCACGGTGCTGTCTTTCATCGCACTCTAAAATGAGCTGGAATTGAGAGGTCTCATAGAGCCAGTCAGGACGGCGGGCGCTGCATGCACCAGGGAGGGTTTGGTCACGGACGAATGTCAGATGGGGAAATTTGGTCTCGAGGAAGGTGTTGACGTAGTCCTCTTTGAGCTTGAATCGCTTTGGTTTGGTGGAACCGGGGTTGGACGCACAATAGCAGCGGGTACACTGATTTCCGTACTTTTTTCTGTTCGCATAGGTGTCTTTGCACGTTATACATGTTTGCCCATTGACAAGGATCATCGTTTTCTCTGCGCATTTCGCACATGCGCGAGGGGTTATATCATCAACGTATCCGTAGCTGGCACCAGTCTGCAGGCATTTTTGACACGCCCTTGTTTTCAAAATCATTCCAACTTGTTTGCATTTCCCACAATGAGTGGACCCTTTAACCTTCGGGTCTCCAAATACCGCCGTTCGGGTCTCGCACACACAACAGAGGCGCCTTCTGAGGTTTTCCATACCCTTTTTTTTGCATACTTGACAAGCAACCTTCTTTCCTTTGGCTCGATAGCCATAGTACATTGGTTTGCCTGATCGGCACTTACAAAGTTTGACACCGAGATCGATCATCGCCGCTGTCTTGTGTTTCTTGCAAGCAACCATTTTTCCAACCCGGCGGTACCCAAAGGTTGCATAGGTTCCACAGGGACAGACCTTGGATGTACTCACATAGTGCGCCTCGGTGGGTTTGCATTGAAAGCAATGGGTGGCTAGAGGAGTGTTCTTCTTTTTGGTATTCTGGTTCTTTTTCTGGTTCTTTTTCTTCGCCTTCTTGTCATCCAGTAATCCCCACAACTTCATAGCACCGCTGCCACAGGGACACGGTTTGAATTCCCTCATGGCCGCGCTCTTGCAATCATGGCAATGGGTGCGATGTCCGTTATAGCCATAGAGTGCGATTTTTCCACAGACGCAACAATAACACGTCTCGGACTCAACGAACGAGCCCAGCGATTCGAATTCCTGGTCGGTAAGCATGCTGAATGTCCTTGCCGGCAGCTCTATGATACCTTGGTCGACATTATTTTCCTTCAAAATTCACGCAGATATTCCGACCACCCGAGCTTGTACGCCCAGCCCGGTAACCACGGAGCCATGAAGACGGTGGTGGCTGGTGGTGCCGCAGATCACCGTGGATATCCGCCAGAGGCATAGTTAGCCTATGCTTCTTGCGGACGTTGGTATTGCTCAGTTCCGCGGCTAGACCATGCCTCGGCGGTTACCAACAAGCCACAGTAATAACGGAAGCGTGGGAATCAACAACGTCCCTTGCAAAAAGCGAGTCTCGCCAGACACGCAAGGAGAACCAACCAACCCACCATCCACCACCCCATCTACGCCAGCACCTATGGCCCAGGTGGATGCGCGATTTTTGCGCTGGGGCGCGAGACCACGTGAATCGTCCACGTGACCACAGATCTGGTTGGATCCGATCCGATTCGAGCCAACGGGAGCAGGTGACCATGCGCAGCACACCAGGGCCAATCAGGATCCACAGCCAGACCAGATCTCCTCGGCCCATAAACCTCCTTCAACCGCACCCTCGCCCACCACGATCGACAAGCACCGAATCCTTGCCCTCGACACCATGATGCACACAGGTAAGCGGGTCGAGCCGTGTAAGTGGTGCGGGGCATCGCATCCCATCGCCGGCAGAGCCCACCGGCACCCAGCGAACCCGCCAGCGGCAGATCTCTGCTCGAAGATTCCAGATCGTTTAGCCCGCCATCCCACCATCCTCGGAGACCCTGTGGACCCTGAATTGTATGCCGATTCCCATCTCTCTCCCCAGCCTCTCGCTCCAGCAAGCAGCCAATCACGCATTCCCATTCTGCATCTCGCTTCTCGGACAGAGCCACGGACCATGAAGACGCAAGGATTTCCTCTGCGCTGGACCAAGTGGACCACCACCAATGCCAGGGTCTTCTTGCCCCGATCGCAAGATTCACATGTCTCTCCCTTCCATGCGATCTCCCTCAAAACCGCCTGCAAACCGCCCTCGCACTTTCGCTCTCCCTCCCTCTGATCTATCGATTTTACGATGACCGCCCGTTCCTCTGACTCCTTCTCTGACTCTGCCTATGCCACTGGCCATGCCCCCGGCTACGGCTCTGACTCCGAACCCGACTTTTCCCCTGATCCTGATCTCGAGCCCTGCACCGATCGGGACGACGACAGCATGTCGATCGATTTCGATCTCGATTCGATCGATTTCTTTGCCGAAGACACTGCGAATCGCAGCCCCACAGGTGTCGTTAATGGCTTTGTGTGCCTTGCTGACAGCTACATGGTCCATGCCCACTCTGGACACCGCCTTGTCCCCACTCGCTTTGCTGCCCGTCACTCTGGTCTCGCGAAGGACGACTTTGTCGCCCAGATCAACGCCGGCCCGCTCAAGAACGGCCAATGCATCCTCCAAGACCTGGGTGATGCCACCACCGTCGAGGACATCCTCAACGCCCGCAACATCGTCTTTGATCCAGCCATGGGCCTCTACCTGAACAAGCGCAACAAGAGCCCTTCCAGGCGCTTCGTCTGCTATGAGGCGATCCCTCCTGGTGCCCGCACCAAGCTGTACTTTGATGTGGACTGCCACCTCCGTGCACACCGCGATCCCGTCGATGTCCTCCAGTACTGCGACCGAGCCATCAAGGCCGCCTTCCCGCAGGTCCTCTCCATCAAGTATGCCATGTACTTTGGCCCCAAGAAGGGCAAGGATCGCTTCCTCTCGATCCACATCTTCTGTCAGGACACCAGCGTCGTCAAGAGCGACCTCGTCCGCATCTATGCCCACCTTAATGCCAGTGCCCATGACTTTGCCCAGTTCACCGACAAGGCCGATGCCACTATGGTCGACCCCAGTGCCAACACGCACTTCCGTGTGATCTTGTCGGCCAAGACCCTCCAGCGCAATGGAACCTCTGAAGACGACATCCGCCCCTTGGTCCCCGTCGATCCCGCAACCGGTCTTCCCTTGGAGGCCTTTGAGTTTACCGATTACCTCTGCCAGTACCTCACGGGCAACGAGTCCCCGCTTGCCTTCACCGATCCCGGTGTCTCCCCCGCCGCCGTTTCTGGCGCCTATTCCGCCTCTGCCTCGGGACCTGTCCCTCCTGAGCTCCAAGCGGCGATCATTGACATTCTCGCAAAGGAAAAGGGTGCAAACAACTCCTTCTCGCTCAGTGAACTGATCCGCGACCCCGCTTCGGATCTCGACTTCAGCGACTACAGCGTGGTCAGCGATGGACCCACCAGCCAAGGGTTCGTCCGAATCCGATTCGCCACGAAGCGCTGCATGTACAAGGCGATCCGCCTGAACGCGAACCACTATGTTGACCACCAGAGCAACACCAATTATCTCCTCGTCAGCCCCAAGAAGATCCTGGTCCGCTGCTTCGACTCTGAGTGCACAGAATTCTACCGCGAACACCCCAAGTTCTTGCTCCGACTCCAGCCACGCACTCCCCAGCGCCCCAACAAGTACTGGCGCGCTCTGGAGCTTGCTTTTCCGGGCAGCGTCAGTAGCAACACCAATTTGCACATGGCGACTCGTATGCTCCAGCAGCAGCAGGAAGCCACACCCATTCGCCCAGCTGGGCCCCGCGCCGACATTCATGCGGTCAAGCTCGAGTGGCGTGATTTCAAGCACCATCTGGGCCATGAAGCCGGCCACGCCCTTCTCAGATTCCTTTGGAATACGCCGCTGGCCATTCCCCGATTCGCCAGTGTCCCCGTCAAGATGACGATGACGACGGCAAGCATCCTCGAGATCGAGTGTGAGACGTGCACTCAATGCGACCCGGACTCGATGTGTTCCTCCAACAGCACCTTGTACAAGCTCGACTTTGCCACCACCATGAGCTACTCCATCACCTCGAGCTGTCTCCCGGGCCCATTGTGTGATGAGATTCCCGTGGAAATCGCCAATCTCCTCATGCAGCTGCACGAACGCGCCTCGGCCAGCAGCGACCCCGACTCCTCAGCCGCCAGAGCCCGCAACGCGGCCTTGGAGGAGGACTTGAAGCGGGTGGCGGCCCCCTACGCACCCAACGCCGTTATTGAGCGCTTCGGGGTCGAGAACAACACTGGATCAATCGTCGCTACCATTCAGCGCACCTGTCCCTTCTGTTGCTCGGAGGAAGAGCGGGCTCAGACCCAGCTCTCGATGAACCCTGTCGGCCTCACGTTCCAATGCCTTCGCTGTGGCAAGAGCGATCCCGTGCACAAGGGGGAAGCGTACCCGACTTCGACGTTCCTGGCACTAAACCCGCGGACCCCGCTTGCGCAGACGATCAACAACATCACGATCTACTATACGCAGCACATTCACCAGCACATCACTGTCCAAAACGGCGAAGTGAGCAGCAAGGATGCCCACATGCGCGATCCGACCCCGTATTTGGGCCCCATGCCTGCCGAGATTTCGACATCGTTCAAGGAGGCGATCACGAGTACCTACCCCCATACTGCCTGGCCCCAGGTGCTGTTCCATCTGCTCGGCGACAAGTGGATCGGTGAGAACACCACGGTCAACGACTGGTACCACTTCACTGGTGTCTACTGGAAATATCACAAGGGCAATCGCGAGTTCCATGTTGCCATCATCGAGCGAATGTGGGCTCTGATCGACTCGGCTATTGAGTGGTATTCCTTCAAAGGCGGCAAGGACTTGAAGCATGCGCAAAAGACGATCGATGCGCTCAAGACCCTCCGACAGAGGACCCAAGACGATGGCCATCTCAACAAGATCACCGCGATTGCGCACCTGCGCTTTTCGCGATGCCGGGAGGAGTTCGTGGAAAAGAAGGATCGCAAGTCGCACCTGAACGTCAACCGCAGCTGTGTGGTCGATCTCCGCACAATGGAATGCCGCCGCGGCTTCCCCGAGGACTACATGACCGTCTCCTGCAACGCCTTTTTGACGGACCCAGTGACGTCCGAGACCCTTCAAGCCATGGAAGAGATCGAGACGATGATTGGCGATATTTTCACGGATCCGGCGCAGCTCGACTGGAACCAGCGATTCATGGCCAGCCTCCTCGACGGCGACACCACGGAGCAGTTCATGGTGTTCTGCGTCGGTGGAGGATCGAATGGCAAGACGCTGCTTGCAAATCTCATCCAGCGCACCCTGGGCGAGTATTCAAAGAGTCTGCCAAATCGCTTCCTGTACTGCGCACCAGTCTCATCGAGTGCCCCATCCCCCGAGCTCGAGTTCATTGTGGGTGCTCGCTATGTCACCGTCGAGGAGCTTGACGGCTCTGACAACCACACCAAGCTTCGTATGAACGCGTCCCGCATCAAGATGCTGGTCGGTGCGGGCATGTCATCCTTCCGAGGCATGTATGGCAAGCAAACGCAGACGCGCTTCTCATGCAAGTTCATGGTACTGTGCAACTACGAGGACCTCGATTTGAAGGCCTTCAGTGGCTCGGACTCGATCGTTCGACGCATCGTGATCAATCCATTTGGGTCGCACTTCTTCGCCAAAATGGAGGACTACGAAAAGGCCCGTCGTATTGACCCCAACGCACCCAACTTCATGGCCAATGGCGAGTACCTGACCAAAGCCGAACACTCGCAGGCGTGGGTTGATGGTATGTATCGCCTGATGCTCAAGTGGTACCCCAAGTACAAGGAGGGTGGCAAACTGTGCGAGACCATCCCCGTGATCATGAAAGAAGCCACCCATGGGCAGCTCTCCCCTGTGACCTGCATCGACGAGTTCTTGGCAGCAACGTACAACTTGATCGACCCTGAGGACGAGGCCGATGCCTACAAGGACCCCATCAACATGGTCACGCAGCCAGCATTGGCCGAGGAATTCTACCACTGGTTCCAGCGGGCCCGCCCCACTGACATCCTGGCTCAGAAACTCCGCGAGGAGGTTTTTGTTGCACAGACCAGCCAGGAGCGCGCACTAGGCAGGATCCCTCACAAGTACAAGTACAACATCGGGCAGTATCTGCAGAGCAATATTTATCTGCGCTCGCGCCTGGTGATGCGCAAGGAAGGCACTCACGCCAACAACAAGTTCCAAGGCCTCTATCGTCGTTCTTTGAGCGACGAACGTGAATAGGGTGTTCGCAGGATGCTGTCTGGGGTGTTTTAGGCGAGACACGGAGTGTGTGTGTGCGGCGAGGAATCTCGGCGGAATGTTGGTGGCTGAATTATGGTGTGCGGCGGAATCTCCCCGGAATCTTTAATAGTGTGTTTTATATCAAATCGGAATCCTCAGGGTAAAGTCCTCCCCGGGGAGCCAAATACAAAATGACAAAATGACAAAATGACAAAACGATGTCGTGGCCAATGCGTTATGGTGGGGGTTGGGTGGGTTTTGTCGTTTTGTCGTTTTGTCGTTTTGTTTTTGCCCTCCCAAGGCTCGACTTTTGGTCGATAGATTCCGATTTATTATGAAAATACACTATAAAAGATTCCTAAAAGATTCCTATTCATATATAAAAAGATTCCGAGGACATTCCGCTCGCGTGTGTTGGAGGGCGGCCATGGTCTGGGCCATAGGTGCTGGGGGCTTGGGGAATCCCATCATAGACACCCCAAAACACCCCGACTACACAAACAATGCATTTCAGCATTATCTCGCCTGAGTGAACAGCCTCTGCATATCATTGGTCGGCTAAGCGCGTTTGTGTCACTCGGCTGTGTGGCAGTACATGGCGTGTGTGTTGGCTTGTGGGCCGCCCACGCTCCCTATGGTGGCGATTTGCTTACTGCCGTTTGGGGTTACACAAGGTATACCCATTCCGATGCACCCGGTTCGATTCCTGCCCGTGTCGTTTGCCCGGCGTGACCGGGATGGATGTGGCGATGCTGTACCCGGTTTCGATTCCCGGCCCCTGCTTTTTGGCTTTTCCGTTGGCCTCGGTGTGATCGTGGTGGATGATCATGCTGGGGTTGCGGGTTCGATCCTCGTCATGCCGCGCCACTGGGTCCGGGATGGGTCGGGGCCGTGTTGGGATCGTAGGTCGCAGGTTCGATTCCAGCCCCCGCGTCGTTCTCCGTTGCGGCACCCGGGATCGGGTGGTTAGCATGTCCCAGGTTGCAGGTTCGATTCTCATGGTTTCGCGCCCCAGCGCAAACATCCCGCATTCGTGCGGGCCATAGGTGCCGGGTGCTTGGTGGTATGCCCCAGTCGCAATGCGCGAGTGGCGAGATTCGCATTTTGGGTGGTTCGATGCAGGGGTGGTTGCGTTGTCTCTGACCGAGGCCCTTCGACGTGCGAGCATCACCACACCGCACAGCCAAAACGGAATATCGAGTTCAGGCGTGGGTGTGGTGGCCCTGCCGTCTCTCGGCGCTGGGTCGGTGGTGGGCGGATCGAGGCGCGCGCAGCATGGCCGGCGAGGTGACACAAAAGTCGCCCTAAACGTTTTTTCCTCTGTGATATCGTGGGCTGGCCTGGATGGGCAACGCGTCTCTGCGCAGCAGCCACACACGGACAGGCAGCACTTGGTTTCATGGCTCTTTCCCGCTCCTTGGCCGCCCACATGAGTCCCATTTGCTGCACTGGTCGAAGCATGCCTCCATGCCGATGGAGAGGTGAGGATTGTGAGGATTGAAGTGGGATTTTCGTGAGGATTTTTTATTAGTAATATAGTGGGGCGATGAGGGTTTGGAGGATCTTTGGGTCTTTTTGACCATCCGGCCGGAATCTTGTTTGCTAGCGACCGGCGAGAGGTCAGGCCTCTCTTGTCGGCATGAGGCAAGCAATGACGTTGCTTACCAAATCATCTGCACTGCCACACACCTTCCGATACGGGCTCCACACATATCCACTCACCAGGCCAATACAGAAAGGCGTGCTTTCTTCCTCCCCCGGTCGCAAGCTAGCAAGATTCCGGCCGGATGGTCAAAAAGACCCAAAGATCCTCCAAACCCTCATCGCCCCACTATATTACTAATAAAAAATCCTCACGAAAATCCCACTTCAATCCTCACAATCCTCACCTCTCCATCGGCATGGAGGCATGCGGTGGTGAAGTGACCGGGAGGCCATGGAGGAGGCGTGACTGATGGAGACTCCCGGTTGTCTCCTCCTGCCCGTGCTACTGGGCAGGGCATCGGCGAGCCAGCGGGTTTGGCGTCTCGGTGATGTCGGAATATCCTGGGCTCGGCGCGGATTCGACGACCATCTCTCCTCCGGCGGAGATCGTTGGCGGTTGGGCGAGCTGGATGTTCGCTCATGTTTCGCGTGCTCTGAGACACCGCTCCATCGTCATGGAGACGTGAGGAACTTGAGGATTGATGTGGGATTATCGTGAGGATCTTTATGGAGTGGCCATGGAGTGCCATGTGGGATAGAGCGGATTCCGGGGTCTTCGAAACCCTCTGCCGGATTTCTTGTTACTTTGGGTGCATGGCATATATTTTGGTATTCTGGGTCTCAACCACAACCCATATACCCGCGCACATACACAGGGAAAGGTCGGATATCTTTGGACCCGATTGTCCAGCCAACACACTCCATGCTCGGCGGGTTACGCTGTATGTAGATGGTGTGTGAGAAACGATGTGTACCTGGGCCCCCCAATCACTGGCACTGCCTCCCCCGGCTTTGGAGAGAGTGCCATTTTGGGGGCCCAGCACAGCATTGATGCGTTTCCACGGGATCGCGAGAGGCTCAATCCCAGGAGGAGTCTTGGATGACTCGAAGATCACAGCGACGTCATCGAGCATGGCGGCCCCTCCAGGGAGGGCGGATGCACCAGTGTAGCTGTAGAAGCTCATTATTGAACTTGTCCGAAAAAGCCCTCCATACCCCTACGATGCGCTTGGGTCGAAGTTGCGGCTGACAGCGCCAATAAACCCATCGAGTACGGGCATGAGGTCGTCGCTGAGTTGCTCGTCATCGTCGTCAATGGTCATTTGATCTGATGAGGTAGAATATCAGCAAACAAACAACTCAAAATCCGGCAGAGGGTTTCGAAGGCCCCGGAACCCTCGGGATCCCACCTGGCACTCCATGGCCACTCCATAAAGATCCTCACGAAAATCCCACACAGATCCTCAAGTTCCTCACGTCTCCATGACGATGGAGTGCCGGGATCAAGCGTCTACTCACCGTAACCAACGGGGTTGTCGTTGTCGTTGTCGTCGTCGACTGGGCTGCGGGCTGCAAGCAAAGAAATGGGTGAGATCGGGGGAGTTGCGATCGGCTCAGAGGGGTGGCTGGAGTGGTGGGAATGCATCGTACCTGTCAGCATCCTGGGCAGAGGAGGAGGGCTCCGTTCTTCGAGATGAGGAGGAAACGCTCTTGCCCTGCCGGACCGGGCGTATTTGAGGGAAGGCGAGTCAATCCTGGCATCGGGGAGGAGGGAGTACGCAGGACGGAGGGAGGAGGGCGGAGGATGGCGGAGATCTGGACATCGGACGGGGCGGAGGTTTGCGAGATGGCCGTGCTGGCCTCTCGTTGTCCGGCCTCGACCGGGATGGATGGCAGGGTCATGTGATCACGGCGTTCCTGGGGTGTGAATGGTCGATTGCCGCCAGAGCGAGGGGTTGGTTGGCTCTGTCGGGGATGATGGAGTGGTCAGGCTCTGCTGGCGATGCGATGTGATGCTATGGCGCACCACGTATACCCGACTCGACTGGCTTACCTGTGTGCATCATGGTGTCGAGGGCAGGAATTCGGTGCTTGTCGATCGTGGATGGTGAGGGTGTGGATGGAAGGGGGAGCTTATGTGCCGAGGAGGTTTGATTTGGTCGTGGGTCGCCCTTCCAAAAAGGGTTATATTGATTTTCCCATCCGAGATCAGCGTTTTGCTTTTGCTTTCCGGGGATGCCCTCTTGGGCTAATCTGCGATGCGGCGGGTCGCTATCGGGTCGATCCTCTTGTTCAGGTGAGTCAGGCCGGGTGCGTATCGCTTGCGCTCGCTGGTCGACCCGGTCGGGGATCGGGCTCGTCGGATCGCTCGATTTGATGATTGGATCTGGCTGGGTCGAGCGATGTGGTCGGTGAGTCAACGCAAGGGAGATTGCGAGCGACGATGGCATGGGAGAGGCCGGGAATCGATGCAGCTGATCGCCCCGGTTGTAACGTCCACTACTGGGACGTTGGGGCAAGACGGGGAGGGAGGGGGTACAAGACAAGACAGGACGGGGCAGAACAGGGCGGTGCTAGGCTACTCTAGCGGACGGGTGAGCTCGGGGAGCACTTACGTTTATTCACGATAAAACCGAACTCCAGACAAACGGGGGGAACGGGGGCAACCCGCAGGTATACCCTGCGGTGGCCTGCCTGCGGTGCGTGAAAACGCAAAGCGCAGCACAGGTCACGACCCACTGCGCCGCGCAGTACGCGCAGTACGCGCAGCACAGCGTCGGAGATACCATCTCCTACACTCCCACACTTAAGAAGGCTTCCTGCGAGGAGCCCTGCGTGTGCTCTTTATTTGGGGCTCCTCGAGGTGTTTACCGTATTTACTCAGCTCCTCGGGTGCATGGGACAAGTCCTCCAGTGTTTGCCATGTGTTGCCCGAGTGTGGGTAACCAACCCACTTGACATAAAACCGAAGTGACCCATCAGCCACTTTCTTGTGCCTCACGATCCTTTCGACTTCATATTCTTGAGTATAGTATTGTCCGAGGTCGTCTTCCAGTGGTGCGTCGTCCGGGACACCTTCGTCGGCGTCGGGGAACTGTGCTTGTGAGGACCACGACAAGCAACGACACTGGACGACCAGGTGCTTGGCGAACAACGATAAGCTATATTACGACTTATCAGATAACAACAAGTGTTGTTCGAACTGAAGATACAAAATGGGTGCAAGAAAGGAGGGGCTTTATAGCCAAGAGGGAAACCGAAGGGCGAAAGTGGGCGAGAAGGGTGGAGCGACAAACGAGGGACGAGAAGGGGGTGCGAGGGAGGCGGAGCATCCAGCGAGAGGGGCGAAGCACAGCGCAGTCGGAGGCGAAGTAAGAGTCATCGGCGCCAGCCAATCAGGGAATACACGCCAAGACAAACAAACATGACTCACGGTGCATCACGCGCAGCAGTCCACACGTGTTCCCAACGTGCATGATCATCACATCATCCCCTCCCCAAACTACGGCCACTCCTACGAACAATAAGTCCAGGCTTGTCGGGGTACCGGCGGTGGAAGTCGGCTATCTTGTCGGGAGCGTTAACGTAGTTGGCGGGCTCCCAGCTGCGATGATCAGTCGAGTAGCCCTTCCAATCAACGAAATAGCTCAACTTACCGCGGACCAGCTTGGAGTCGAGGATCTCCTGAACTTCATACTCCAAGTGGTCGTCGACGCGGACTGGCGGAGGAGGGTCTTGGATGCGGCCGGGGAGGGTGTTCGACTTGTGGGGCTCGAGGAGGGAGACATGGAACACCGGATGGATCTTGAGATCCTTGGGAAGGTCGAGGCGGAAGGCGAGGGAACCGATGGCTTCGACGATCTTGTAGGGTCCGATGCGCTGGTAGTCCAACTTCTTGCTTGGACGGGTGGTCTTGATGTTGCGTGTTAGGACCCAGACTTGATCGCCAGGAGCGAACTTGGGAGCGTCGGACTTGTGGGCATCCGCAAAGCGCTTGTAGTCCGCCTTGGCCTTCTCGAGGTTCTCCTTCAGCAACGCCAAGTTGTGCTGAAGGTGTTCGACTCGGTCGGTCGCGGAGGGGACATCGAGACTGGAAGGAAGGACCGGAGACTCGAATCGAGGGTTGAAGCCGTAAGTCGCCAGGAACGGGGAGGCCTTGGTCGAGGTGTGCTCGAGGTTGTTGTATGAGAACTCGGCGAGCGGGAGCAGCATCGCCCAGTCATCCTGCTGGTACGAGGTGTAGCAGCGGAGATGCTGGTTGATGACTTGGTTGACCCGCTCAGTCTGTCCATCGGTTTGGGGATGGAACGCCGTGGACAGACTGGTCTTGATGCCGAGTTCCGAGCACAGGGCCTGCCAGAACCGCGAGGTGAACTGGCTTCCTCGGTCCGAGACGATGTTGTCCGGGAGACCGTGGAGGCGGAAGATGTTGTCGAGGAACAGCGACGCTGTTTCCTCGGCACTTGGGAGGGACCGACAGGGAAGGAAGTGGGCCATCTTGGTCAGGCTATCGACGACGACAAAGATGCAAGTCTTGCCGTTGGACTCGGGGAGGTCGGTGATAAAGTCCATCGTCACCAGAGACCAGGGTCGCGATGCCGTCGGGAGGGGCTGCAAGTATCCAAACGGCTTATGTCGAGGGACTTTCGAGCGTGCACAAGTGTCGCACGTCGAGACATAAGCCTGGACATCCTTGCGGATCGAGGGCCACCAGAACTGCCTCGAGATCAGTGCTCGGGTCCGCCGAATGCCAGGATGTCCAACAGCGACAGGGTCGTGGCATGACTTGAGGACGGGGACTCGACACGACTCTGGCACAACGATCTTGTCCATGAAGGTGAGGAGATCATCCTTCAGGACATACTTGGGATCGTTGCGGAGCTGGTCCAGGGACGGGTCCTTTGGTTGCTCCTCGGCAATGAGCTTGAGCAAGTCCACAGGGCGAGTGGAACTTGCATCCGAGGAGCGACGGACGGCACAGGCGAACGCCGAAGGTGGCAGCAACGGGGGAGGCTCCTTGGACACAGGTGCGGACGGAGGGACGTAGTCCGGGCGGCGGGAGAGAGCGTCGGCCTTGCCGTTCTTTGGACCGGGGAGGTATTGAATCCGGAGGTCGAACCGAGACAGGAACTGCGACCACCGGGCGTGTCGCTGGTTGAGGATGCGGGCCGACGCCAGGTATTCCAAGTTCTTGTGGTCGGTAAGGACTTGGACTGGGTGTTGGGCGCCTTCGAGGTAGTGTCGCCAGACCTCGAATGCCTCCTTGATGGCCAAGAGCTCCTTCTCATAGATGCTGTAGTTGCGTTCAGCATCCATGAGCGTGCGGGAGTGAAAGGAGCACGGGTGCAGGTGGCCATCGGAGCCGCGCTGGGACAGGACGCATCCGATCGCAAAGTCTGAGGCATCAGACTCCACGACAAAGGGCTTGGATGGGTCGGGGTGCGCAAGGACGGGCTCGGAGACGAAGGCTTCCTTGAGGGACTGGAAAGCCTTGTGGGCGTCGGGGGACCAGCGGAAGACCTGGGACTTCTTGAACAGGAGCGTGAGCGGACCGGCGATCTTGGCATATCCGTCAATGAAGCGACGGTAAAAGTTCGAGAACCCAATGAAGGAGCGAAGGTCGGAGACATTGCGGGGGACGGGCCAGTCGACAATGGCGGAGAGCTTTGCTCGTTCCATCTCGATACCCTTGGGCGAGATGACGTAGCCGAGGAACGAGACCTTGTCCTTGGAGAACTCGCACTTCTCCAGCTTGCAGTACAACTTTGCAGCCTGGAGCTTGGCCAGGACCTGCTTGACGTGATTTGCATGCTGAGTGGGGTCAGCGCTGTAAATCAAGATGTCGTCAAGGTAGGCAATCGCAAAGTTGTCCAGCTCCTCACGAAGGACATCGTTGATGAAGTGCTGGAAGGTGGCCGGAGCATTGGTGAGTCCAAAGGGCATCACCAAGTACTCGAACTGGCCGTAACGAGTGCGGAAGGCCGTCTTCCACTCGTCGCCTGCGCGGATACGCAGCAGGTTGTAGGCCCCGCGGAGGTCCAGCTTCGTGAACACCTTCGCGTCCCGGACTCGGTCCAGCATCTCGTTGATCAACGGTAAGGGATAACGATTCTTGACCGTGATCGTGTTCAATGCGCGATAGTCCACGCAGAGACGCAGAGAGCCGTCCTTCTTCTTGACGAAGAGGATCGGGGAACCGGCGGGAGAGGACGAAGGACGGATGAACCCTTTGACGAGGTTGTCGTCGAGGTATTCACGAAGGGCCTTGAGTTCGGGCTCTGACAGGGAGTAGAGTGGTCCGAACTTGGGGGTCTTGCCGGGCTCCAGGTCGATCGGGCAGTCGTACGTCCGGTGCGGGGGCAACGAGTCGGCTTCCTGCTTCGAGAAGACTGAGCCAAACGACTTGTACTCCTCTGGGATCGACGTCGAGAGGGGCGTCGGATCCGGATCGGTGGCAGGAAGGACGAGGACTTGGAACACAGTCAGGGGGTCGGGGCTAGACTGTGTGTCGAGGACGGACTGCTCCAACGACTTGTACCTGATCGCTTGGACACGGACAGGAGCGGGGCTGGGAGCAACGGGACCGGGGAGACCAGGACGGACGGAGACGAGACCGGAGGGACCAGGACGAGCAGCACAGGAACAGGGCACCTCACTCGGAACACAATCAGAATAACGTTGAGCGATCACTTTATTCTGATCATCTTCGCGAGTACAAACGGTGCGAGGCGAAGAAGCGAGCACCACAGTGGTGTCGGTAGAGGCACGAGGGAAAACATTGGGTGTGTCGCCAACAAGAGGAAGGGGAGAAGGAGAAACGGAAGAAACGGAAGGGAGGGAAGAGGCATCCACAACCTTGAGGATGTGGTTTGCAGGACGGGGAAGGCAAAGGAGTCCACGAGCCCAGTGGAACCTGGGTTCGATGGACTGCAGCCAGGGATAGCCAAGGATAACAGGTTGGTGGGGAGACTTAATGACATCAAAGGAAAGGTGTTGAGTGTAGTCCCCAAGAACAATCTTGAGGGGTTCCGTCTCAAAAGTGATGGGGCCGGAAGAAAGTGGCTGG